ATAAATTAAATACTTATTCGAGCGCGGTACTTAGATTCTATATAAGTTATGCGTTTTTAATATATATTTAATTAAGTATTTAATATACCCGCGGGAAGTACTTTATATTCCTTTTATTATATACCTTTTTACGATTCCTATAAAGAGATATACCGTAGTTATATATATATAGATTATTAAAATACGGGGTTATTAGTTTAGAATCCTATATTTAATAACCTATTTATTATTAGCGTTAATATCGCTTTTATTAATTAATTTTTATTATAATAAACGAGTCTTTATTATTAGCCTCCCGTAAAGTAATATTATAAATAAATATCGTTATTAATACCGCTTCGTTTTAAGCTTTTTAAAGAGGTTTATAAAAAGGTATATTTTATAAGCTTTAATAATTATAAGTTAACTTATTCTCTTTATATTACCTACGGGTTCTTTTATATATAGAGGTAGAAGTTCTATTTTAATTTTTAATTTATTATATTACGTTTTATAAGCGCGTTTAATGTTTATTATAAGGACTACGGTTTTATTATTATTTTAAAAAAAGTAAATTAGAATTCTTTTTTAACGACGGATCGCTACTTCGAAGCTCTAGAGTACGTAAAGACTTCTTCTTCGGTTTTATTTTTTAAAAAGAACCCCTAAGCTATTTACTATATTTATTAAAGGTTATAAATATATATTATTATTTATTTAGAGAGGGCTCGAAATAAAAAAGATCTTAATATATTTATACTATAGCTATAAGGCGTTTTAAGAGCGGTCCTTTTAAAATTATTAATTTAGCTTTAAATATTATATAAGCTTTATATTTAATTTATATTAAAGCTTAATACGTACTTTACGAGTTTTATATAGAAGTTAATAAAAAGTATTAGGTCCTAAATAACCGGTTTTAAAGTATTATAAAAGCGTATTATTAAATCTTTTACGAATATATTAATATAAGTAGTAGAACTTTTTATAGCTAATTAGTAATATAATATTAGCTAGGTTCTTAAAAATATGGTTAAGGGTATAGTAAAAGGGTAGGATTAAAAAGCTTATATTTAAAAAAGACTAGGTTATTTTTTTAAATTAATTACTTTTTAACGGTGTTTTTGTAAAGCGTTCTTTATTATAAAGTATAATTAGACTATAATATTAGAGTACGCTTTTATTTAAAAGAGTTTTAAGACTATATTTATATAGAAACCCTCGATATAAGTAACGTTTTAAAGCTTTAAATTATATATTCCCTCCCTTTAAGTCTATTTAAAACGCCCTTTATAATCCGAGTCCTATATATAATAACGGGTAATATAGTAGTTCTTAATTTAACGTAGTTATTATCGTTTAATAGTACGTAGCTCTTAAGTTTTAATAGCTTTTATTATTAACTAAGTATATTACCCCTATAGCTATTTATTATATACTCTAAGATAAAAGATAAGCGCTATTTATAGGGGTATTAAAAATTGCGTTTAATTCTATTTTTTAACCCTTAATAAATACGGCGATTATATAGCCCTTATTTTAATCTATTAATAAGCTCGTCGTAAGCTAGTTAAAGGATCTTTTAAAAGCCGAGGCTTTTTAAGGGTTCTATTATCCTTTAATTAACTAACTTTTTTAAGTTTATTATAAAGTAATTTTTATTTATTTAATTTAATTACAGTAAGGACCTCCTCTATATAGCTATTAAATATTTATATTAAGGATTTATTAATATTACGACTTATAAGTACCTATTTTAGTTTTTAATATACCGAAGGCTACTAGCGATATATATAATTATATAAATATATAACGTCCCCTTTATTATTTACGTCTTTATATAAATTAGAACGCTTTAAAAAAGTAAAGTAAGCCCCTCTTTAGCCTAAAGGCCGTTTCGTATATACTTCCTAGGTTATTAAACTAAATATATATATAATCTCCCCGAGGGTTCTAATATACGTTTTAAAAGCGATTAATTTATAAAAAGCGTTATAAATTCGTTAGCCCTATATAGGGTTAAGCCTAGACTTAACTATTTTTAAGAAATTAATTATAGCGATCTCTTTTTAAATTTTTAAGATATTATATATTTTTATTTAGAAGTAAGTAGACTATTACTTTTTATATTAGCGTTAGGCGTTAATTCTATTTTTTATTTTATTAAGGACTTATCTATATTTTTATTAAACTATACTTTTAACTATAGCTTCGGAGGGCGCTAAATCCTATTTTAATTACTAAACGATCCGTTAAATACTAAACTTAACGCTTTCTTAAATTACTTTTTAGAATACGTATTTATAAAAAGTAGCGGTAATAAATTTTTTTAATTACTAAATAAGGAGTTTAATATACGTATTAATATTATTATATTTAGGAGCTATAATTTAATAATACTTAGCGGAAAGCTCCTATTCTTTTTAAATATTTTTAAACGTATAGATTTTCTTTATAAATATAGTATAGGGATATATTTAGTTATATAAAGTTAATAATATAGCTAGTTTTATAAAAAGAACTTTAATTAGATTTTATAGATTATTTATATTTAAGGATATTAAAAGGGTCGTGTTAAAAGTTAAGGCTAGAAGTTATTAATAAAAGATCTTTTATTCTCGTTAATCGTTTTTAAACGCTTTACGGCGAGTTTTATAGGTTTATTATTCTTTTTTATTATAGGTTAAAAATAATAGTTCGAAGTTTAATAATAAAAAGAATATTATAAAAAGAGCGAGGAGTATATTAGAGTTTAGAGCGTTTAGATCGACGTATTTTTAAACTTCGAGGCCCTCGTTTATAAAATAGAAAGCTTAGAACTATTTAATTTAATTATCGTAGCTAATTAACTTAGTTTAATTAAAAGTTAATATAAAGATATTTATTATTTTAAAAAGATAATAAGAATTATATTAATAAATGTATTATTATATTTTAAAGTCTTAATTAAGAGCTAGGCTTATAACTATTATAAATTATAATATATAATAATAAATATATAAAATATAATAAAGTAGCCTAATTTATTAAAATAGAAATAGATAAAAAAAAAAGGTCTATATATAGGATATAAGTGAGATATACGTAATATAGCACGTAATAGGCACTTTGTGGATTGCGGTCCCTATCCTTATTACGTGACACCTTGTCGAGTGGCAGCTTCAGCTTCTATAGACCCTCATCTCCCCATCCTGTGATCTACTAGCTATCTAGCCGTCCGGCTGAGAAATCATGACTACCCAACCAGAATCCTTATCTCCGCATAACTCGGTGTAAGATTTGTGGAGATCTGTATAGGACTGCTGACCTGAGGTCGTATCTCTAGTTCCTTGTGCTTGGACCGGCATACGGCCAGACCAGTCTGCAGAATCGTGGCCTCGCCGGCCTCGTCGGGGCTCGCGATCCCGGTCATTCTTGCATACTGCATACTTGTCATAGCTCATGCATGTATGTGAGTTGCCACATGCACAAGCGGCTTCCGCACCATCCGTCTATTCTGGACTTATCCTCTCGTTTCGAATCAGCTCGTCTAGCCTCATGGGGTTTTCAAAGGAATCACCACTCGGGTGCTAGTTTGCTACGAAGCCACGTTCTAGACCATTCGTGTTTTAGCTGCCAAGCCTCACGGTCTCCGCGAATCCTTTTTCGGGTCTTGAGAGTATGGGAAACACTGCGGGGAGACACGATCTCGGCCGACTCTTCAGAAATAGTTCATAAGTGCCGGGCTTCATCGCGATATTTCGATCAAAATGAAGTTATCCACCACTCTCATCTCTCACAGTCTGATATCTGGCAAACTGATCTAGCCGACTAAGACATACCTTCATCATGTATTCGGCAAAGTCAATCTTCTATGCGGCATTGAGTGCCTCGGTCTCTTTCACATCTATACAAGCGCAGGCTGCAGACTATCCCTTCGACATTAACGGAGCGTTCGAGGGGTAAGCATACGTCCCTCCAGTCATAAGACAGTACTTGGTGAATTTCAGACTGACATGGAAACTGCAGCGCTTCTGCCAGCACAACAGACTTCAACGCGGGTGGCACCTTCAGGTGCAATGGCCACGCAATCACTGTGCCCAAGAATCTTCAAGTCACATTCCCTGCGGCCTTCATCCCGTACAAGGAATTCGTGGGCAGCAGTGGTGGCTATACTGGCTACAACTGCGAGGTCACAGGCAATGTCGTCAACGGGATTCCCATCGCTGCTCAGGTCTCAATCGCTCAATCGCTTCTGAACGGTGCCTCTGGTTTCGTTGATAGCGTGAACACTGATGGCCGGATCAAGTTGACGGACGGAAGCACCATCCGCATCAACGACCCTAACGCCATCTACTCCGTTGGATACACTTCCCAGCCTTTCTTCACTGCAGACGACGCCAACCCAAGCGTCAGCTCTTTCTCTGGCTTTCCTATGTGCGTTCCTCGTAGCGCTACCGATGCTCTCTGCCCTCAGTCCAACAGACCAGATGTCACTCCTGGAGTCAAGCAAGGACTTTTGTAAGTCTTGATGATCACCTTCACCTGAAAACTTCTAACAATCTCTCAGCAAAGCACCCGATGCCCTGGTAATGGCTCCCATTGCGGCTGGTGATTTCGTCGAGTACTCTGGTGTTCAGTCCGGTAGCGAGATCATCGTCTACAACCTCGTCGTGAGCAACGTCCAAATCACCACCACGGGCGCCCCGACATACATCCGTATGGAGGATGCCAACATCGGTGTGTGGACCGCCGACACTGTCAACCAGGAAATCGCACAGACTAGGGTCAGTCCCCATGCCGCTGCTTCCGCATCGTGAATTGCCCGTGTAGCTAACACAAAACAGTTTGTCGGCTACACATCTGACTCTGCCGCAAATGTCAACCCCATCAAGATCTATGCCATTGAGTACGATCCGTGCACCGGCGAGGCCGTCGACCGTGAGATCGCGGGTGTGAGCGTGCCCGGCACCGAGGTCCGCAACAAATTTGAGTACCGTATCAAGGCGACCCAGAACGACAACTACGCCCGCGAGTACCGCGTCGTCGCCGGCACCGGTACCGTGAAGACCAAGAACGGTATCATGGCCGGCCAGTACGTAATGCCTGTCTCGGAATGGATCCAGCCTGAGGACTCCGTCCCGGGCCGTCCTCCCAGCCCGCATGACTTCCGCAGCTACGCTTTCTTGACCAAGGGATTGGGCCGCGATGCCGAGGGCAACCTTTGGGGCCCGCTGAACCCCTTCCCCCAGACTGGTGCCACCCTCTACGATAACTCCAAGTGCCCTCCCGCTACTATCCCTACCACGGGCACTGGTACTGGAACAGGTACTGGAACTGGCACAAGCACAACCCCTGTCACCGCTGCCAGCAGCTCAGCAGTAGTCGTCAAGTACAAGGATGTCGTGACGATGCCCACCTTCAACTGGGTCTCATCCCAGAGCGGCACCCTGACCGTCGGCTGCCAGTCCAACAGCACCGACGATGCCGCGGTCGCAATGAAGCTGAGCTACACCAACAAGGACGGCACCACCACCGGCCTCGCAATGACCTCCGGTGGCAAGGGTCTCTGGAACTTCAATAGTAACAAGATCAAGCAGCCCACGACTGGAACGGTCATTTGCAAGAGTGGTCTTGGCGGCCAGGTGGCGCGCTGAGGTGCTTGACAGGGAAAATTGGCTGTTGATCTTTCGTGGGATACCTGTGGCGTTTCATTTGGGACTCGAGTGCGCGATACCTTTTAGATTTAGATTCCATATTAATGAATGATGACCACTATTGCAACAATTTCCCCTTTTACCGTGTTCATACTTTGCCAGATGTGGATAGTCAACGCCGAAAGCTTACGTGCCAAGACGATTCGATAAGTCATGAGTAATCACCCCAAATAGAGGAGTGTGTTGGTTTTTCGACAACGTCCGGATAGGGTCCGGGGCTCGGACGACTCGCCATATCCAAAGTTCACTTAGAGTCCCCGTGAGTTTGAGAAGAGGAAAGGATAGCCGACTAAGTCCATCCTTGGCGTCGCGCTTTCGAGTCATTCTTGACGAACGATTGATAGTGTTTAGTGGAGATGAGGGGGGGAGCGTTGGACTTTTTGGCGGCTAGAGCTAGACGAGCTAACCGCATACTCATTGGCTGCTCCGAAGACGTGCGGCTGATGGTGGAGGGGTTCTTTAGGTGATTGAGCCATTACGTCTCTCTATTTCGGGACAGGGGTTCAGGTCTACTTGCCAAGGCCTTGCCATCTCTCACCCCTTTGCAAGACTTTCCCTCAAAGCAAGGTAGATACCCGGACCGCCATCCGTCCGGAGGCTCCAGCCTCCCTCATCATTATATCTAAGTCTCATTCATTCGGTCCATGACACTTAAGTTTTGGCACACTCTTTGCGAAGCAAGAATCTCATGAGTTGGCCCTAGTATCTCTAAGTTCTGCTACTGGGCAATGGTCTTATTCTCTCTCTGTCGCTCCAAGAGATCAAGACTCATCATTGTTGCCTATATAAAGTAGCTATGAGCCGAAACGGCTTCACCTCTTCATCCATGTCTTCAGAACTTCCTGATAGAGGCCATCGCCGAATACCAAATCGCTCTTCTGGAACTCATGAAGATCATCTTGAAGATGATTAGGACCTGGTGGAAGTCCAGGATGAATTTCTTCGCGAACGAAGTAACATTTGAAACAAAGCTTGAAGTCCACACAAGACTGGCAGGACCATGCTGTGCCAATAATGAGCTATGTGATCCAAACCATTAGTAACACACTGAATTCGGCACCCGGGCCAGACAGCTCATCGTGCAAGACACAGGAAAACACATACCGATCGACAACAAATGCAAGCTGGTTTGTCGTGTACATAACCCGTCTGTAGAGAAGATGATTCCGTGAATATTTTTGACTTTTCCTCCGTCGAGGTCGATTCAGCCAAAGCGGCAATGACATTTTCCCCACTGCTGTGGAAAATAGCGATTTGCAATGGAGTCCAACTCTGACCTGCATCTCCCGGAACCGATATCGTGATATCGGCACCGCGCCTGAGAAGGTATTTAATAATGTCTGCTTGACCCTGAGGAGATCTTTCCTCGAGCTTTGCCCCTGATGTCAGACCCCGAGCAGCCCAGCATAACGCCGTCCAGCCATGCTTGTCGGCTTGATCGACATCGACCTTGATTTTGTCAGATGTGAGAATGTCTATGACGGTGTTAACATCTCCGCTTTGAGCTGCCCAGTGTAGAACAGTGCGACCGGTCTTGTCTGCGGAAAGCAAAGGCACGGTCCTCAGTCGGGGCTGCCGGGAAATGAGCCTGTATCTGCTGTATGAGAAGAGAGCTGCGAAGTGAATTGGCAAACGGCCCATCGGATCAGCGATATTCGAGTGACCTCTAAGCGTGTCTAAGATGAGCTTCCAAGGTTCGTCAGATTGCAACAGGCAAGCTATGTTGAGCGCCGTGCCGAAGAATCCACATTTTGCGTTGATATCCGCTCTGGCTTCTCCTGCGAGATGTCGGATCATATCGCATATGACGTACTTATCCGCCTTGGACAGGCATGCAGCCTGCAAGGCACTGCCGAACAAACCCTTTGAGATAAAGCCTGCGCTTGCGCCGCATTCCCGAGTAAGAAACCTGATCATTTCCAAGTTGCCGTCGTAGCATGCTTTGTTCAAGGCCGAACCGTATCGAGAGTTGTCCAAATTGACGCCGGCTATTTCTCTGAGAGTGAGATACCTGATGACTCTCTTGTCTTCTTCTCTACCGAGGTTCGCTCTTTTGATAACGTTGATAAGCGGTGTGCAGCACTTCTGGGGGCATGAAGCTTTGGGCAAGGCCCCGGTACGGATACGCTCCTTGATAATTTCATATTGAGGCACTATGTGCTGGGTGAGATAGAGCAAAGCCGTTCTTCCATGAGAGTCTTTGAAGTTGGGATCCTCATCAAATCGGTGAAAGTCATTATTCGAGGTTTCAATGGGCTCAGCGATGTGACTAGCGATGTGACCAGGGTCGTGGCCAGTAACGTGGTCAGGGATGAGAGGGACATCCGCTGCACCAACATGCAAGCTGGCGACACCTCCAGGCGGTTGGGATCTGGAGTTTTCTCCGCTCGAATTCTCTGAGCTCCAACTAAAAGGTGGCGAAGAAGGTATAGAAGACATGATGAGAGCTGAGATTTGTTGAAGACGTCAAATAGACCCTTTTGCTTTTGCTTTTGCTTTTGCTTTTGCTTTTGCTTTTGATTTCGAGTTTATTGAAGTATACTGGGCAATGAAAGCAAGACTTAGAGTGGAAAAGCTGACGGAATCTCTGATGAGAAGAAATTGGGAGAGTATAATAAAACACTTAGAACGCAATGGTGTACCCCGTCGAGACTCGATGTAGGTGTGGTGAGGCATAATTGTTCACTCGTGAAAGGCCTATGTTTGTGTGGCACAGAAGCCGACGGTAGCACATTGGCTTTGTTCTTCTTCGGACCCTGCCAGTCAATCTGAACATCTAATGAAGGTGTAAAAAAAAGCCAAGAAAAGGAATGACGCAAGAGGGGAGTCAGTCTTTCGATTGGATCGAACAGTCGAAGATACTCGCAAGCAATACCGGGAATGAGACAGGTTCGAATCGCAGCTGATGTTGCGTCTAGATAACTAGGTGGATTTATTCAAAGTATTCTTTGACCAGTCTGTGTAGTACTTGGTTAAGTGGGTGACGATTTACCAAACAAATTCCTTCGTATTGACCATCACAATACATAACGCGCCCGTTTTGTGACCGCCACGATCGTGAATTCTCTTTCTATTCAGACACATTTGTTCAAGACTTGTGTTTCCAAGAAATGTGGCGGCTAGGAAAGCCCGTCTGTCTCACTTGAAGTATTGACCCTTGAATCCCGGGAGGATCTCCTGTCCTTCTGAGTTCTGGTAGCTGACACCCTTCCTTTGTTGCCAAGTCTGCTTGAGGGTAGTAAACTCTCCCATAGTCGGCACCGGATGGCCGCCAGCCTCGAACTCATTCTGAGTGAAGCCTTCGCGCTTCAGCACCGGCGAGTCAATCGTCTTCAGTACGAGGTCGTTCTGAGGACGCGCAAAGTACAACAAACCCAGGCGATCGACATGGCGCTGGTCCTTAGGCGGCACAGATACCTGTTTTCCGAATTAGCAAACTGTAGAGGGTAAGTCAAGTTGTAGGGATGAAGGTTCACTCACCCGGTGAACCGTAGACTTGACGTAACCACCCGTCAGGAAGCTGAGGGCATCGCACGTATTGACGGTAAGACTGCCATCAAGCGGCTTGGCCCACTTCCAGTCGCCGGTCTCATGATCCCTGATTTGCAAAGCGGCCACGGGTTGACGGAAAAGCAGAGTAATCGTTCCCAGATCCGTGTGGCCGCGGGACCACAAGCCATCGTCGAGCTGCTTGATCTCTTCCGGAGTGAATTTGGAATACTTCATATAGCGCAGATGCGACTCATCATGGGTCTCCCACTTATGTACGCGTGTGAAGAAATCCTCGGGCAGCTCCAGAGCCAGAGCGATGAGGTGGTTCAGGGGGTCCAGCACCCTATCATGGAGGTTCTAAGTCTGGCGTCAGTCACGGCATCCCACGTACGATGAATAGGGCTTGTAAAGTACCTTTGCAAATCCTTCAATCTCTTCCTTGCGATCTTCCAAAAGCTTAGGCAGAGGTTGTGTAATGTGTCCAGCGCGAGCTGTATTGGATCTATCAGCAACGCTTCCTCGATTCGAGGCAATCGCTAAAGGATTGAAAAAAAGCTTACTCGCCATGTTCCAAACCTCTGTCTTATCCTTGAGGCCACCGCTCAAAAACCGCCGACCAGCGGGACGGTATCCATTGTAGTCTCCAGAGTCCAAATCCGGCTCATACTTGAGTTTGTCGTCCAATGGCAGTTCGTAAAATTTCTGGCCAAGGGCAAACTGTGCGTCGACCGCCTCTTGTGAGATGCCGTAGTTGATGACATAGAAGAAGCCCTTGGTACGAATGGCCTCGATCAAAGTCTCGGCAAGCTCCTTGTTTCCGTCTGGTGTTCCATACTTCGCAAGGTCAATGGTGGGAACTTCGGGTACCTGTCAGCTTACAAGTCCCGCAGAGTGTTGCGTGAAGAAATGATGGGCCAAGACTTACGGTCAGCCCAATCGAGGTTCTCCTCCGTCTCTGGGACGTGGGTGTATTGGTACAACTCGGATACAGCAGATGGCATTTTGAGCGGTGAGGCGAGGTATCTTTTCTTTGGAGGCTGGTTGGTCTCTGTCTAAATTTTCTCCAATACACCCAAAGCCCGGGTTCCAAGCTCGCCATTTTAACTATGAACCTTGACTGCGAATCCGGACGGCTGCACGCCGGATCTCGCTGCCCGTATTAGTCGAGCCAACACGGCACGGCGACGTCTCCGCAGGACTTAACCACCCACCAAATCCGCAACCATCAAGAGACCAATAATAGCAAGTTGATTTGGTTTCATCCTTCTCCATGGTGTCACACTCGCATTTTACCCCGCGGCACTTACCAAGCAACACAATAAATCTACTTGGTTGAGGCACTTGGAGATGCGAGATCGCCGCATGTCATCATCTGATAACGGATGGCGCAATCCCCACCCCCGTCACACGTCGTCGGGCTTTTCCCGCCAAAGAACCGACGTCTGCGCCGCAGAAAACGGGTTCAAGTCAGTCTAGGGATCCCACCCGGTAGTATTTCTCCGGTCTTGGACGTTCGGTAAACCACCGAGTTCGGCGGAAGTGGTGGGTGAGGGTTTGTCCGGACTCACGATCTCGTTGCCGCATCGGAGATTATTGGTCCTTGTTTAATGTCCTTTACCCGCTATCCCGCATCTTTACCCAATCAGTATGGGCACTCGTCATTCCTGCCACTATGGCGAATAGTGGGCGAGGCTCTTGTGCGATGCATGTAGTCGGGTCTCGGCGGGTGTTATGCTGCATGAGAGACTGGGAGTTGAGCTTATCGCGGGCAAGACGCTGCGGTGGTTGGGTGTTCATAGTAGAAGCACGTCTTGGGGGTGGCAAGCATTTGGCGAGGGCTCGACATAAGAACGAGGCGGATAAAGGGACGTAGGCAGGGGGACGAGGGTTTCTCCTGGCTCTGGTGACATTATATGTAAACCACTACCGACAGCGCAGTCCCGATTCTGACGCCTGCACGCGCATCGCAGGCGGAAATCCAGGAGAATCAGCTGAAGATGGGGTCTTTCACTCAAAAAGTGAAGGGGAACAAGATAGGGGCGGTGATATTGTCGGTTTTTGACTGGTACCGTAAGTATTCGACCGTGTATCTCACATAAGGAAGTCGCTCACGGTCATTGAACAGCCTCACACTATCCTGCAGAAGAGCGAAAACTGTTGCGAAAACTCGATCTCGCGATTCTGGTGTTTGGAAGCTTGTCTTGTAAGTCAAGCTCTCTTCATCTGATCGAAGGCCAACTGAACTAATTGTTACCCTTACCACTCTTAGTCTTTTGCAGAGTAAGGGAGTCTTAAGTCTTTTACTTGTAGCTTTCGTAGTTAGGAGAGCTAATCGTCAGTAGTTCCTTGGGCAGCAAAATGTCACCAACGCATATGTATCAGGCATGCGTGAGGATCTCGATTCTCACGGCAACGAGTTGAACTACTACGTCGTCGCTTGTAAGCCAATGTTCAAACACTCATATCACAAGCACCACTGACCCTCTTCAGACAACACCGCATACGTCATTGGCCAAATCCCGCTCATGACTCTGCAAACAAAGGCAAAGATGTATGTCTGAAAGTTCGACACTTATGCAAACGATTGTATGGACTTGCTGATCATGATTATGCAGTGCACCTTTCTTGTTACCTTCCCTCCAGATCATCTGGGCAGTCATCGCCTTTTCTCAATCCACCATCAAGCATAGCTGGCATCTGTACATCCTTCGCGCCATTACAGGTTTCCTCGAAGCTTCGTCGTTCGGCGGCACTCATCTCATTCGTAAGGATGTCGTTAAAATTCATTGTATGTACGTTGAAATACTGACCAAAAGTAGTGGGCAGTTGGTTCAAGAATGAAGAGCTCTTCAAGCGAGCTGGAGTATGGTTCATGGGTAACTCTCTAGGCTCCATGTTCTCCGGCTACTTGCAGGCCGCGGCGTATCGAAATCTCAACGGCGTTTTTGGACGTGCAGGGTGGCGATGGCTCTTCATCGTTCAGGGTATCATCACCCTACCCATATCCTTTTTGGGTTTTGCGTTCTGGCCAGGTCTTCCCACTTCACCTAAGAGGTGGTACTTCTCCGCGGAGGAGCACGCCCTTGCTGTCAAGCGGATGCCAACAGTTGAACAGGAGGGCATTACCTGGAAGACGTTCAAGTATACGCTCTCCAGACCAATGTGGTGGATTTGCGTTCCTTGTTACATGTTCGTACCCCAGACCATCTTCAGAAGCAGATGTTTCTCTGACACGTTGCAGTTTCTTGTGCCAAGCGCACTACTGGACAGGTTACATGGCTTTGTGGCTAAAGGCTGCTGGATACTCCGTTGAGTTGGTCAATATTTTGCCGACTTTTATCGACCTTCTGCGCGCACTATCCTCTTGGCTGGGAACTACATTAGCGGGTTGTTTGAGTTTGAGGGGCCTTTGGTCTTTTCAGGCAGTAAGAATCCATCTATCTTATCCAAGTTGACACAAGAATCAGTGCTAATTACTTGTAGTCATTTGTCCTCTTCTCTTGCATAGTCTTGTCGATATGGAATGTTCCCGACATTCTCAAATTTCTCGCATTCTATTTCGGAGGTTTCTCCGGAATGGCATCCCCGATCTTGGTATGTCGTTCTATACACCATGCTAGACTCACCTATTTAACAAAAGCGGCTTAGTATTCCTGGTTGAACTCTACGCTCAAGGAGAATTATGGCGAAAGAGGTCTCATCATCTCTTCAATGATGACCCTCGGATTCTGTGGACAGATTTGGATCCCTCTATTCACCTTCCCAACCGTCGAAGCCCCGCGCTATCCCCACGGATATCCCGCAGCTACAGTATTCGAAGTTGCAATGTGGGCTTTTCTCATGTTCGGCACATGGTACATGAAGAGATGGAAGCACAAGCATCCTGACTTGGAGATGAGGCTTGCGACCGAAGAAGCTGCCGCGGAAGGCTCCTCAGGCATTGGATCTGATTCCGATAGGCCTGACGGAGATAGCCCAGCTCCTCAGTATACAGGCAAAGGGGAAGAGATTGTGGCGACTCAGCCTGTGAGCCAGAAAATCTGAAAGACTTGAGTGGCGATAAGAGACTAGTAGAAGCATACGTCAGCGGCAGAGGATTTACCAGATGACTTTTAGTCTTCCGTGTACTTGTTTCTGCAGACAGAGGTGACATGGACTGGCGAGAAGAGAGACCTGCAGAAATGAGCTGCACAGAATGAATCTATTCGAGAATTGAAACTTTCGCGAATATTCAGGACGAGATAAGTGCTCTGAAGTTGATATGTTCGACCAGCGAAGGCGGCATTCTGGATTTGATAAAAGCTGCTACAGCCATACATACCAAGACGAGAGGAGGAAATGAGTGAAACCGAGGATGGAGCGGACGGGAATCCTTGATGAACAGGCGATCTGTTCAGTCTTCTCTATATTAATGACAAGCAAAGGAATTGGCGTCTCGTTGCACAAATGCAATTGTGCGACACAAAAAATATCATCCTTCAGTATGCTTAAAGACAGCCATTGAATTGTTTATTGAAAGTTGGGACGGTACTTTGGTTGGGTGGCCTAACCTGATTAGGAAAGCTGAAAATTGCGGCGGTCTGACATAAGACCGAGGTGACGCGCTCTCAAATTATTAATAATGTCAATTGCGTTTCATCTCACTTTGCTTACCTACACTTAATTACTCAATTAGCGACTTCGTCACGTCGGCTGTGCCTGGAACGCAAGCTCTGAGAAAGGGCCGACCAAATTGAGGAACCATTGTCTCCTAGGGTGGTTGTATTGCTCATACGAATACAACCGCGCATTTTTACGCCATCAAGTCAAGATGGCGCCGAATCAGAAGCCGGCAACCGGCGACTCCTTCAGTCACGACGCAACAGAAACAACTCCGTTACTCATCGCCGGCGATATCGCTCCGACCGCCGATCCCGATGTTTCCAAGGCTACAACACTCAATGAGGCATCCCAAGAGAATGAGACTCCGGACGAGGATGATAAACCATTGCCGGTATGGCAAGTCTTTTGGCTATGCTACGCGCGACTTGTAGAGCCGATGGCCTTCTTCTGCATCTTTCCGTACATCAGCCAGATGGCCGAAGAGAACGGCCACCTGGCCAAAGCGGACGTCGGTTTCTACAGCGGTCTCATCGAGTCACTCTTCTCCCTGACTCAGGCCGTCGTTATGATCTTTTGGGGTAGACTCTCTGATCGAATTGGTCGCAAGCCCGTCCTTGTCTTCTCCCTCTGCGGAGTTACCATCGCCACATCCATCTTCGGCATGGCACAGACCATTTGGCAGATGATCCTCTTCCGATGCTTGGCAGGCGTGTTCGGTGGATCTCTTGTCACGATGCGCACCATGATTGCCGAGCACGTTACCCAAAAGACGCAAGCCAGAGCCTTTAGTTGGTTCGCTCTGAGCGGTAACCTTGGAATCTTCTTCGGGCCCCTTCTCGGCGGAGCCCTAGCCGATCCGGCGCATCAATACCCGAACATCTTCAAAGCCCAATTCTTCTTCGACTACCCTTACGCACTATCCAGCTTCTGCGTTGGCTTCATTGGTTTGACGGCGACCATCACTAGCATACTGTTTGTCGAGGAGACACTGGTCAAGGAGAAGCACAGCAACAATGACGACGCAGCAGCACCGCCCAAGAAGGACAAGGGCTCCATTAAAGAGATCGTTAAATCACCAGGCGCTTCCAATGTCCTCTTCGTGTACGGTTACCTCATGCTTCTCGCATTGTCCTACACGGCCGTCGTGCCCGTCTTTTGGTTCACCCCAGTCGAGCTTGGCGGCTACGGCTTCACCCCTCTGCAAATCTCCGTCATGATGTCCGTCAATGGTATCGCCCAAGTCTCATGGCTCCTCATCATCTTTCCACCGCTGCAGCATCGCATAGGCACGAACGGTGTGCTGCGCGCCTGCGCCTATGCGTACCCTTGGTTCTTCCTCGTCTGCCCTCTCGGCAACGTCGTCCTTAAGCTCGGTGTACACAACTCGGGCTGGGTGACGTTCTTCTGGATCTTTATGCCCATTGCTCTTACCATCGGCTGCGGCGTGAGCATGAGCTTTACTGCCATACAGTTGTCGTTGAATGATATCTCGCCCAGCCCTCGTGTTCTGGGAACGCTTAATGCTTTGGCTCTTACCGGAGCGAGTGTCATCAGGGCATTTTCTCCAGCCTCATTCACCACCCTATTCGCCATAGGTGCTAACACCCAGGCCCTAGGCGGTTACGCAATCTGGGTTCTGATGGTTGCACTCGCAGCTGGGCTAATATTCGCAGTGAGGAACCTCTATGAGCCGGAGGATTTGAAGAAGGCCAGGGAACAAGAGCAGGCTGAGTCATCTTAGAGAGACTACCTTACGGTACCAACTTCATGTTGATACATCTTTGCAGCATTCTGCATGTCAAAAGAATCATATGTGCAGAGAAGTAATACAGAAGCTGCTCTTTGAGGCATCAGTTGGGATTGCGTACATCGTGAATAAACCTATTCGTCACTTACTCACATGTATCTCCACGACCGGACCACTTTGAATATCTCATCGAGGCCTCGGTTTGAAAGATTTGAGGCTTTTGCTCCATTAGCATAATTATACTAGATACTATTACAGGTTATTTACAAATACTATTCATTCATATGGGTATTCCGCCAGCATCCGTCACGTCATATCCCCGACTTCCTTTTCCTGTTAAAATCCGGCAAGACAGACTCCGGTTCTACCGGCTCCGTCGTTATCTCAACCTCGCGATGCTGCCATATCCTGTTGTCTGAGTGAGGATACCCTGAACTGCTGTCTTTCGAGATCTTCTTCCCGTGGTAGTGCTCTCTCGCACTCACACCCGCTTCGTGTTCGGGGAAGTTGTCCCGGGCTGGGCTCCGCACAGTAACGCTGACCGTGCTCTGAGGCATCAGCTCGACATCGTTTGAGCTGCGGGAGCTACGGTCATCGTCGCCTCCACCCATTGTCCGGAGGCCGATGCCGTACTTGGACTCTTCCCGGAAGTTCGGTTTGGCGTTGGCTTCGGAGAGCTTCGACCAGTCTTTCGAGCCGTCTCTCGCATGAGAGGCGTTTCCGGACCGTCCGCCACCGATGGTCATGCCTGCTGACCTTCCTGTCGACTTTTTATTGGAGGACGACTGAGCGTACTTATCCAGACCACTTCGTTGAGCGGACTCGAGGAGACCCTTCCATAGAACACGGACAATTGGACCCTGGATACTTGATCAGTCATGTTATCATCAACGTCGTCATTGCCAAACTTACAAGAGTCGGTAAGCATGCAGACACGATACCACTGCTAATTTCAATGATGTTCCAGGCTAGGCCTTGAGCAAGTGAGTCTGTTATCGTTGGGTTAGTACGAGAAAATCACAAAGTTGATTCGCGTCAGGAGACTTACAAGGAACATCGTTCTTCGTGTATAGCAAGAAAATTCTGAAGCGGTAGACACTACAGAACACGACATAGCTTCCAAGCAGGAAAGTGAAGAGGACCAGAATTCGTTGAGCCCTATTCATCTGTAGCTTTAACACGTGGGGTATCGGAAGATAGAGGATCGCAATGTCGACGATGATGCTCGGAACAGCGATGGCAAGTTGCGTCAAGAACAGGTTGATGCAAGTACCGGGCTTCCACGGTTCCCATAGTGTGTTCAGAGGAAGACACTGAATCGAGGCGGCGACGACGCAAGCGAGCGTCCAGAGCGATGTCAAACTGCCACATATCCATGCTCCCTTGCGGACTTCTCGCATTGGAAAGATGCGTAGGTATAGCAATAGTAGTGCTATTTTGTAGACGTTGACTCCGTTGACGTACAGAATCTCGGCACCGATCATAGTCTACAAAAACGATATCAGCTTAGTCCTCATAAGCAAGATAGTAAAGTGATGAGGGCCAGGGAACGTTGGTACATACTTTATCGAGGAACTGCAGCTGTTCCAGTGTAAGGCGACCTGAATGCAGTCCAATACCAGCATCAACCACTGGACTCAACTGTCAGCATGTCTTCATGATTCTATCTTCCAGAGCCACTTACAGATCAGGTTCATGACCATGTTCCCAATCAATATCACTAGCGCAAACAACATCGTGTAGTCATCTTTCAAGTATCTCGCACCCTGTAGGTGACGGGCCGTGAACCTCAAGCCAACCACAAACGCAGCAAAGACGGTAAAGGCAATCGTAATGCCTCGTACATATGGACGAAGATCCTCGGACAGGTTCTGATCTTCAGCGAAGTCGGCCAGCTTCTTCAGATAGTCCCTTTGAGGCTGATCGATAGTCGGATCGTTGTACGGATATGTCACCATAGTGGCTGCCATGGTTGGTGGCTTTATGGCCACGCGGGCTCTCGTTGAACGGCGGTGTGTAGGGAACGGGTCGTCGTCGATGGTGAGTGGAGGGGGGTTACCGAGTAAACGGACGCAAGGGGGGCGATTGCACCGGCCGCACCACGTGGGGATGGGGAATCATTTTATTCTGAATAATTCTTAGGGAATGCCAGATGCCTTCCTTGCCGCGGGCTTCGCTTACACAAAATCTAGCAAGAGAGAAAAAGCAAAAACACGTGCGACAACCCCGTCGTCGTCGTCTATCACGGCCGCGGTTTTCGGCCTCTTGGACCCGTTCGTTTTGCCCGAACCACTGTTGCATTCCCAAACTGTCAATCACTTCTGTTTTGACATGTCATGTTTGACAAGTCAACCTGCCCCCATTGCAACTGCTACCTCGGGTAGGGGCCCAGAGAGAGGCAATTTGTGGAACTGCAACCGAAAGAAGCAATGAAAAGGGGAGCAAGCCCCCGGCCAAGTCCCGAGGAGTTGTCGGGTTTGTCAATCTTTGTCAGTTTCGAGGAGGAAACCCATGAGGGTTGTCCAGACATCTGTGGACTCTGGACAGGGTGGGATGTCGTAAGGAGGCTAGGAGTATAATTTGTTTTAGTCCTAGTCTCGTCTTTCTTCTTCCTCCATCTTGGACCTACACAAGCCGGCCCGCAGCACGCTACAGACACTAGGAAGCATCGTTGCCTACGTCCGATAGACTCGGATTAGGAAGAGTGCTTCCGGCGCACGGCTCTCGTTCTGGGGTCTCGCATCCAAACTCGAAAAACCGTTGGAACTGATCCCGCGCTAGTCGACTAGTTCGAGGGGGATCCCCTCTTCTAGACCCGCCTCTAGCAACTAGGGCCCGCATGCCATGCCCCTTGACGTCCGGGCGCATCCATGCAGGCACAGGGTTGACATCGACACATCATCGCCAAAACCACGGCAATTGTGGCCTCTGCGCAGGTCCCGGAAGAGAGCTGTTGAAGACGCGGATGGGGGCCGCTTTGAGTCAACAACCCTGCAATCTGTACTCGATTTCTCACGGTGGACCACGATTCCTTCCTGTGCGTCATTATCGTCAAATACTCGATGGAATATTGACACGGAGGATTGTTTTTCTTTGGGTATGAGGGGCAAATTGAAAACGATGGGAGATATAATACGAAGCTTGCTCTCGAGCCCTCGAGCCCTCGAGCCCGCGACTGCCGAGGTAACATGGAGAAGATGGTTGCAGAAGGCCTCGGAGACTAAAGCAAACTACTTAGCGAGATGCTTGAACTCCAAAAGAAAAAGAAATGCTGAACAATGCAGAATGACGGCGCAGCATATGCTACTCCGTAGACAAAAGCAGATCCTGCCACATGCATTCTTCAAGCTGTAAGCCTGTAAGGTACCGAGCCCCTCTCGTCCTTTTGACTCCGCTCGATCGAGCCGGGTATTCACTTACGCCATAACCTGTTCTGTCATGACCCCCTCGAGTTGGCCCCCCTTCGACCCCTTTTCACAACTGGAGCAACCCACCGCCCATGTTGGGCCGTTTGTGGATAACTTCGGACGACCGCGTAAACCTCACTAGCGGATCTCAAGGACTCAAGACCTCGTGGCAATATCCGACGGTCTATCCGGCGTCCTTCCCGCTGTCACGCGTCGTTCATCGCTTTCGGCTGCTGTCATTTCGGGGATATTGCTTGCTGAGGATGTATATTCATGCCTTGATATCTATAGCAGATACGAAGTAGTACTTTAGAAAGGCCACCTGCCTCTGTCCATCACTTGCCTCTCTTGTTGTTGCTACCGGGCAGGCTACACATTCCTTTTTACAGTCCACCTCGATCAAAGTCCGCACGCATCCCTCACCCCATCTCTGCCCATATCCTCATCTCATCAATCTCTGACAGACCCAAGATCGCATCTCTCGTGGTTATCAGTTGTCACGTCACATTCTCATTACACAATGAAGCCCTCAATTCTTATTGTTCCCGGCGCTTGGCAGCTGCCTTCGGCCTTCCAGCCCTTCGCTACCGAACTGGCCGGCTCCGACTTCAACGCCTCCATCGTGGCTCTCCCCACGGTCGGCGGTACCACCACGCCCCTGGCATCTCTCTCAGATGATGTTGCCGCCGTGCGCACCGAGCTGGATAAGCTTGTTGCCGATGGCAAGGAGGTCGTCATCTACTCCCACTCCTACGGCGGTGTTGTTGCCAGCAACGCTGTCGAGGGCTACGACGTTGCCACTCGCTCCGCTGCTGGTGCTTCCGGTGGTGTCGTGAGCATTGTCTACGCCAGTGCTTTCATGCTTCCCAAGGGTTCCAGCTTGCTCGACCTTCTCGGCGGCGAGCCTCTTCCTTGGATGATTGTCGAGGTATGTAACCCAATCCCTCAGTTCCCGTCGGCTACGACGCGGCAGTCATACTAATATGCAATATAGGGGGACCGTGTTGTCGGCAACGCCACTCTGCTTCCCGAGGTCGGCTTCAACGACCTCCCAGCCTCTGAACAGGAGAAGTGGGCGTCCGAGATGACCTGGACCGCTCTAGGCGCCTTCACCAACGCTTCTGGCTACGAGCCCTGGAGCAACGGCATTGACTGTGCCTACCTCTATGCCACTCTCGACAACGCCCTGCCTCTCAGCTACCAGCAGGGCATGTCTGCCGTCCTGCCTGCCGGCTCCAAGACGGAGACCGAGCCTAGCGGTCACTGTGCTCACCTGAGCAGGCCGGCAAATGTGACTTCTATCCTCAGTAGATGGTACCCGGGCAACTAAGTGCCGCTGCGCGTCGAGGTGTGAAACGGAGAGTTTTTGGGTTTCGTGATAGCGGCGTAGCGGCGTGCGGAAGGCGCAGATCTAAATGAGCCAAGTAATTCGAATAATACCTCCAAAGAATTGATGTAACGCTGTCAAATCCCCCCAGTGGGCCTCTTTTATTTGCGACGTGGCTTTGACAGCAGGCACAGTGTTGCCTGGCCCATGGTCGAATGGGGCGACAGTCTCAAAGAGACTCGGCGAACTGGCGAGTCACTAACCTAGCCGGCCACGTTGAGGCAAGGGAATGCCGGTTTTTTACCATCTGGAGACGTTCGCGATCGTAACGGCCCGAAAGTCCTATCGTGCCACCATGAACCGTTTGTGTCCCCAGATCGTTCGCGATAAATCGTGGTCCTCTCTCTGTTGGTGGCCATCTCCACATGACGCCTGTCAAACTGTCAGGGGATAGATGTCGGAAATAATGGCTTTCGTCTGGTTTTGGGTGGGAGCTGGGAGAACCAACAAGCCATGCCCATGCTAGGGTCGTTCTGAGAGCAGATTTTCTCGCCTACCAAACACCGAACCCCACAAGGATCCTTGAAGGTTTGACGGTTAACCTGAAAGGCGGGACCTTTTCGACGAGTGATCGGGCAGTGTGCTGTAAGTGGACGCTCTCCCTGGCGGCCAGTATCTCCAAGAGGACGGATTCTTCTGTCCAGATAGTTGTCACGGGCATGGAAATGAGTTGCAAGCTGGTTCAAACTGCCGTAGTTAAATGAATGCGTCTACTGGCACTTCCTTCTATGTTGGTTTGTGCCGGGGGTTCCCTGTTTGTCTGAAGACTGCTGGACTTGAAAAAAGCAGACACATCCGTATGAATGGAGCCGTTGGAATACGCTTTTCTCTACGCCTCAAGGACCATGTTCCTAGCCTCTGATTTTTTACGTAGCCACCCACCCACTAACAATAACAGCAAAGGCAACTTCTAGCATTATGATATTGATTTTCACACTTGATAGCCTCAAACCTCTCTGCGTCAGACGGTCACAAGCTGGCAAGCAGCAAACCACTCTATAGGCTGGACTATCCAGTCACTAGTATATTGGGAGAAGATCAGACTCTTCCATATAGATAGTATCTTGGGATGGGGTCCGCAAAAGGGTAATCAAAACGAGGTGATATGTAATCATGATTCTAAGGCCGATGTAACTGATAAGCCAGGTTTATACCGATTGGATAACACATACCACTTCCATTGATGTTTAGGGGAGCCAATCTAGGATGAACAAATAATACCTTCACTGACCTGGCGGCATCAAAAAGTTGGTTCATGAGTACACGGGGACATTGCATATTGGTCTTTTTGTACGGGTGTCCTTTCTGTCGATCTTCTCAAAAGGGACTCGCCTAGATGATAATACAATTGCGCCATGGAAACATCGTGATCTAGGTCCGTGGGATCATTGGATCTATCGCATAAGAGAGATCGAGCCAACTAGATTGAGTTGGAACTAGATAGCATCAAAACTGTGAGTGGCACTCTTGGAATATCCATAAAGATGGTACTATAATTCTGATTCCAGTGCAATGTGGTAACTCTTGAAATCGAAGCTGGCATGTTTGTATTGATCACATGATCAGTGTTAGACTTAACAACCTTGAGTTTCCGCCATCAGTACTTTCAATCTCCTAATCTTCTCGTTCACGGGCTATCCTTTCCGAAAGCAAACGCCACCCTAAAGCTCGCTGCTATTGTACAAATGCAATGTTTAGATATCGCAACTTCGAAAGCCTACCATGCCCGTCCCAACATTGTTCATTGCAAACAGAAAACTTCTTCCATCATCCTGAAGAAATTGAATAGACTCAATCCGACTGGTTTTGATGCATACCTAGTACGCCTGAGTTGTGTCGACGAGTTTGACTCCGGTTCAATGTTGCTCAACACGCTCCCGTAGACTGAACAGACAAACCCTCAATGGGGCCATTGGTGACGCTGACTTCACAGTCCCTACCCATGGCGAACTGCACATACGGTCCCTGGGGAATCGAGACACCTCCAGTGTCGCCAGCGCCGACGCACCCGCCAGCTTGACCTCCTCCAGAAGCAGTGAAGGCAAATCCGCAGTTGCCTCTAGCTTGGGGATGAGCTTGGACCGTCGCAGCGCAAAGTGCAGCAAGAGCGAAGATAAAGCGAGCCATCTGTGGTCCATCAAATTAGCTCTTAACCAGGTGTGGTTGCGACAAGGATCAACAAACATTGAGTTTATTTGTTTAGAGGTTAAAGGCCTGGGAAGAGTGAAGTGTGAACAACGTTTTGTTTGGTAAAAGTGTACAATAGTAAGGTTACGAGCCGATGGGATGAACTAATGGCAATCATAGAATTTCACAACTTGTCTATTTTATAGAGTTGACGGGTTCCAGTTCCTGACCGCGGGACGCTCTTTAACTATAGTACCAGATTCCCGAAATAGCCGTTTAGCTATGGCGAAGTCATGATCGCTGGCGCAGATTGATTGTCAGCCCCACCACAACATGGAGTTACAAGTGAAATTCGCAGCGCAATCGTGAAGTGACATGACTAAGTCGTGAACTTACATAGATCAGTAGCATAATGATCTATATGACCACGGGAGCTTGAGCCTACCACAAGGAACGATTGTTCTCGCTTAAATCGCATGACTCTCTTGTGAAACTGCTTCATCAGGTACAACAATTCGTGGTTTTCTTACCGCTTCCATGGAGAATAGGCAATTGGCAGCGCGAATGTCATTTTCCGGCAATAAGTGTGCCGAAGATGGAAATGAGAGAAACCAAGATGATAATATTCGCTAAGGAGGCAGCAATTGAGGCAGGTTAATTTAGTAGTATCAACAATGACATAGCTACTAAATCCGTAATCGTGATAATCAGGAACGGAAATAGTAGAAATAAGTCTCCATTTAATGAGCCTGGACTTGATCCTTGGGGTGAAGATGTTTCATAGGGTAAGGTAGGTACTAATGGTACTGATACATCAGATGGTTCATTTCGAGGACGCCTGAAAAAACCCTGGGGTGGAAGAGATTCAGCGACAAGTCCGGAATCTTAACTCTGACTCGTCATCTAGAGCTTAGGAACAAGGACCAGATGCACCGACGGAGACCCATATGTGGCTATGTGCTTAATCGCTCTAGGGCCATTTACCATGGGCAAATTGAGACATCATGGTTGGAGTCGGCCGCCGGAAAGCTTGAAGACCGCTGGGTGCTCTGAATTTGAGTCAAATGCATCCAAGTGACTACTGACCAAGTCCTTATGTTCTTTTTAGCGGCTGGTTGATAGGTGTCCTTGTGCTCATAATAACTTACGGGGCCGATAAGCACTAGCTAGTAAAACAATTTGACATTGCGATGGTCGGTCTCCGTCCATTGCGGCCGCGCTGCTCAAGTTGCCGCTGCAAGAGTGGCTATCACCCTAGAGAGAGGGACTTGGATGTAATTCTGGCACACGTCTTCAACATCCTTTCATGGAACCGACTAATTATGGCCGGTTGGCCCAATGGCAAGGCGTCTGACTACGACTCATTAGTTATCAGGAGATTCTGGGTTCGACCCCCAGGCTGGTCAATGTTTTTGATTTTCAATGCGGGATTTCCGTCTTTGTGTGTATTTTTTGGCGCTTGTGGACGCGGGTGGTGGGTCCGGCAAAGTGGACCCTTTTCGGCGTAGATTTTTGGGGTTCTTGCCGAGATTGGCTGGTTGTCTTGGAGTAGTCCGTACATCGGCCGGGTGCGGAGGCGGGGGGGTACGGGGGCGGGTTTGTAGGGTCGGTAGGGAGCGTGGGGGTTCCGTTCGACTTACAAGGGCGACCGGAAAGCTCCCGGTCTACCTTGTCTCATTGGTGTCAATAGGCTCCGAGCCGTGAGAGGATTAGTCGGATGTAATTTGGCTCCTGTGTAATGCTGATCAATCGATGCTGGAGTATGCTTTAGTTGCCTTGGATTCAGCCAGATAAGTATCTGCTATCTTTGGTACGCACTTACGCAATAAAGTCACCTTTTCGAAATACTCATCAGATAGTGGGATGGTGCCATAGGGCCGTTGGTAGAAGTGTGCAATTCGTTCCCAGATATGGCAAGCCTTTCCACAGCCGATGGTTCAGGCTTCTTCAAACTCTAAAAAGCAAAGACGGCACTGAATTCGGAAAACGTATTGCTTCGTCAACCACTAGAGACGATGAAGCTCGCGGAGCACTCTGCAATATTCGCATCACCTTAGCATTTAGAGCTTGTCTCGTGTGCCAATTACCCCTCCCACCGGCGCGGTCTTCGGATAGCTCTTGTTTACCGTGGGCCGTAGCCTATGGCCTATGCCGCCTACTTATCTATGCCCGAACCCCCGGTCAAAGTTGCAATCGCACTTGTTATCCCAAAGTTTAATAAATACCGTTTTCTCCGACGAGCCTATCCATACCGCGGCAAATTCTCCAACTAGCAACGAGTACCGATAGTCGGGTACGTTAAGACCAAGGCGTTACTTTGATCGGAAAGTTTCATAACTCTTCGGTGGCTTTCTGTACGAGATACGGTGGGCTTGAAGGGTGGTTACGAGAGGAAGAGAATGGAAAGCTGCTACGAGTCATGGAGCTATGCTTGCCTCATAGCATGTTTCCACATGTCATCGGAGGGGTCGGAACTGTTCCGGCAGCGCTGCGAATGAATCGTATTATAAAGAAGCTCGAATTGAAGCTCAACGATCGATTACAATTCGGAGATTGGTTGCTATATACCAAAGGCCGATATCAAGAATAAATAATCATTATCACAGCAAACCACCCCCAACATGACTCTTCGCGTCCTGCTGACCGGCGCAAACGGCTTCATAGCCCAACACATCCTCGCCCAGTTCCTCGCAGCAGGCCACTCCGTCCGCGCCGTCGTCCGCTCTCAGTCCTCCGTCGACCAGCTCCAAAAGACCTTCGCCTCCTACCCCTCCACGCAGCTCGACTTCGCCCTGGTGCCCGACATCGCCGCCTCGGGTGCGTTTGACACCGTCCTCGTCTCCGACCATGCGCCCTTCGATGTCGTCCTCCACACGGCCTCGCCCTTCAACTTCCGCAAAGGCAACTCAAACGCCGACTTCCTCGACCCGGCCGTCAAGGGAACGACCGAGATCTTGCACGGCGTGGTGCGCAAGGCACCGACCGTGAAGCGGGTCATCGTCACGAGCTCGATGGCCGCCGTGATCGACATTACCGCACCCCCCATCTCCGACCCTCCTAAGATTTACAGCGAGAAGGATTGGCTCGGCGTCTCGAGGGAGGACGCAGAGGCGTCAACGCACCCGGCGATACCCTACGTCGCCAGCAAGAAATTCGCAGAAAAGGCGGCGTGGGCCTTCCTCTCCTCCGAACCGAAACCCGCCTTCGACCTCGTCACGATCTGCCCGCCCATCGTCTACGGACCCCTCTACGACGTCTCGGCGACGGCCTCCCCGCAGAACCTCAACGAGAGCAACCATATGCTCTACCAGAGCCTCTGCGGGCCGTCACTCACCAAGGAATCGCCGGTCCCGCCCGAGATACTGCACCTGTACGTCGACGTGCGGGACGTGGCGCGAGCGCACCTGCTGGCGGCGACGACGCCCGAGGCGGGCGGGAAGAGGTTCCTGGTGAGTCCCGGGGGCGTGTCGAATCAGCGGCTGGCGAATATTTTAAGGGAGAAGCTACCGCAGTGGGAGGGGCGGATACCAAAGGGGGACCCAGCTAAGGAGGCTCTAGCGGAGGGCATGTTTGGGGTTGATGCGTCGTTGGCGGAGAAGGTTCTTGGGATGGAGTATAGAATGTTGGAGGATACCATTGGGGATACTGCTGTGCAATTTGTCGAGCTTGAGAATCGGGCAAAGACTGCTTGATTGGTATGATGATCTTGGATTCATATGTATTAACTACGTCTTGGCGAGACTAGACTATCGATACGATTCTTTGACTAACACGCTCGAAAAGCATTGAGTAATTCTTCTGAAAAGCTTGTCTGCCATCGTTCTAGGCTCATCAACTCTTTCCGAATTGCAGACTTTGCGTGTAACAGTACGAATGAAGGCCGTGCTTGCCCATCTCGCCCCCATGACCACTGTCCTTCATCCCGGAGAAGTAACCCCCGTGGTGCGGTATTTCGGGGAGGTTGATCGCGACCGTTCCCGCCTCCACCCTCCGGGCGAGGCTCTCGGCACGGCCTAGATCACGGCAGTAGACCGAGGAACCGAGACCGGCGTTGGCCAGGTTGACCCGCTGGAACAGCTCGTCTTCCTCTGTCCAAGATAGGATGGGCACTATCGGGCCTGGAGACGTAGTTAGCATGGATAGCTCGTGCGTGACTACAGAGAGAGGTGGTTCCTAGCCCAAGAAACTTGGACAAGCATTAGTGGACTTACCGAATTGTTCTTCCTTGACCAAGATAGAGTCGTCGGGAGGCTTTGTGACAATGGTCGGAGGTATCCAGAAGCCTTTGGAGTCCTGGGGATGATTCGCAGCAATCATATTGAAGCCATTCTTCTTGTAGTGATCGAAGATATCCTTGACAACATCATACTGCATCTTGTTCGAGACGGGGCCGAATAAGCTAGGCGCGTGTGCATCCTTAGTGATGACATATTTCTCGGCAACTGCGCTCTTGAAGGCATCCAGGAACTTTTCATACACCGAATCGTGGACGTAAACTCGCTTCGTTGCTACGCACATCTGCCCGGCGTTGAAGAAGCATCCTTGGGCGACCTGTCCTGCTACCTTTGCAATATCAATGTCGTCAGTCACGATCGCCGCATCGTTGCCGGCCAGTTCCAAAGTCAGACGCTTAAGAGTCTTTGCGCAACTCGCCATGACGCTCTTTCCCGTGGCGATTGTCCCTGTGAAGCTGATCTTGGCGATGCATGGATGCAAGGTCATTGCGATACCAAGATCGACGCCGCCGTTGACCACCTGTACTACACCGGGAGGAAAGACATCGATGAGCAGCTCGATGGACTTCATGACGGAATACGGAGTGAAGGGTGACGGTTTAACGATGATGCAGTTGCCGGTGATGAGTGAAGATGCCACTTTGATGTTTGACAAGATGAGAGGGAAGTTCCAAGGACAAATAGCCCCCACGATGCCCAGTGGTTGGTGAGTGGCGACAATCTTGATGTTGTCGTCCTCGAAAGTGACTTCATCTTCGAGGTGAACATTTGCTGTTGATTGTGAGTATGAGTGAGTCAACTCAAGAGAACAGTGCAGGCATACAGTAGTACGAAGTTTGATTGCAGGTATTTGTGATTTCAATGTCGGCCATTAGACTCTAGACGCCACGAGTCATCAGTATCTTCATTATTGGATTGATTTCATGATAAAAGTTATGTTATTACCGATTTCCCCGTCTCTTTCATGACGATTTCTTTCAGCTCATCCTTGTGGGTGGTATAAATCTCCACAATCTTGCGCAAGAGATCAGATCTCTCTTCGATCGTAGTCTTGGACCAAGTCTTGAGGGCCTTTTGAGCGGCCGCAACGGCTTCCTCGAGATCCTGCGTCGTGGCAAGGGGAGCGTCCCAGAGCGGTTCCTCCGTGCGGGGATCTGTGCATTGGTGGTGGTTATCGCTCCCACGGCGCTCGCCATTGATGACGTTGTAGAACTTCATGTTGTCCGCTGTCGAATCTAGCAGGTATCCCATGGCTACGGAGAGTTCTAAAGAGGTAGAGAGGCCAGCTTAAGAATCGATGTGTCGGCAAAGCTATATCGACTCTCTACCTCGGTCATAGCACCGTCGAAGAGCCAAAAACTTGTCTCAGCCGGCATAGCTGGAACGCAGCCGAAATGCCACCCTGCTCCATGTTCCTGCGGAGAAGGGAGGGGTTCAAGCCATCGGCGATGTCAATCGGCCTTAGGCGTTCCGGATTTGGTACCGGGCTGCTGACACGGGGGGGGTTTAGGTTTGACGGCAGTTGAGATAGACAAAGATGGAGCTGCGGGCGGCCTGCAATAAGCAACTCTCCCCGTTCCTCAGCCCGCATCCTCTGGGGTAAGCAATACAATCCTGGAAGCATTTTCTGGGGATCGGGGTAAAAGACTTGAATGAACGACCGGGGATAGATGACAGAGGTTGGTGGAGGAGGTTTGTCAGCGCCGGAGTGTTGATGAATCATTCTCGGTGACGGAGAGCTGGGATGCCCGTCTGTCATCTAATCATTTTCGGTGTATGGCGGTGAGCACCGGTGAGCACAGGTGAGTTGAGGTGAGCTCTGGGTTGGAAACGTCGCTTCATTCTCACCGAGGTAGACTTGGTCGCGGAGCGTGGATTGAGCGTTGTATCCCTATGACGGGCCACGTACCGAACGATCCCCGTTGATGCGTACAGTACAAAATATAGAGCCGCATGGCATCTCTGAGTGCATTTGACTCGTTGAATTCAGTACAATCGTACAGCGTATGCAGGGGTTCAAGATGGGAATCGGTGCAAGATGGAACGAATTGCATGTCTGGACCTTCTCGCGATGCAGGGTGGAAGATACCGACCAAGGGGAAACGGAGCCGGCCGACAGAGGGGCCGCTGCTGAACGGCATGAAGCGCGGCAGAGCTGCACGGATCCCTCCGTGCTCATGGCTTCCACTGAAAGACGATATTTCAGTGGCGGGGAACCACCGGCTTCAGTGGGGAGGAGGGGGAGGGCCGATAACGATAACGCACCCCACCAAAATCGCAGATGCAGATTGGCGGGATCCGCTGATAAGCTCAAACTTGGGCCTTCTGATTCGCCAGACGCCCGTCGCAAACCGCAGCCAACATGTCAGCGACAGCCGACAGCTTTTGTTTTGTCTTGCCACAGCAATCACTGAGCACATGGAAACAGAAACCAGAGGGGAAAGACGCACGTTAATATGTGCAAACATTTTGGATGAAGACGAGGGGAATGCAGTAAATAGGTAGCTTGGACACAAATCCTCAAGTACGACACGCTGATTAATGGTCCCTTCTGCAAGCAAACACGACTACTAGGTACCTGCAGAGGCTTGGCTCAACCTGAATTAGCATCGTCTTCGCCTCCTCTCCTTCTACAATAAAGCTGCGGGGTTGTCTCTCTTCCACCATCCTAAGCGCATCTACACCCCTATCCTTTCCTCTCCTCTTCCTCTCCTTGCACTCCCCTCTCTTCCTCCTACCAAAAGACCTTCGAAGCGTGCTAAAGCCTTACCTGTATCATATCTCACTGTGAACCGGCGCTCGACAGCTTCCTGGCAACATGGCGCCTATCGCCATCTCCCCCGAGCGGGATGTCGGGCCTTTGAACTCGCTCACAACCAACTTTGACGATACCATCCGCTTCTACCTCAATGGCACCCGGGTGGTGCTAGACGAGATCGATCCCGAGGTAACTCTTTTGGAGTACCTGCGAGGTATCGGTTTGACGGGAACTAAGCTGTATGTCCAGGCCTTGACTTTCTGGCGCGCAGGAGATTGAAGCAATCATGACACACACTAACACCCACCAGTGGATGTGGCGAAGGCGGTTGCGGTGCCTGCACCGTCGTCATTTCCCAGTTCAATCCGACGACGAAGCAGATCTACCATGCGAGCGTAAACGCTTGTTTGGCACCCCTGGCCAGTGTCGACGGCAAGCACGTAATCACCATCGAGGGTATCGGAAACACGAAGAGGCCACATCCCACCCAGGAGCGCGTAGCGAAGAGCAATGGCAGTCAGTGTGGTTTCTGCACCCCCGGCATTGTCATGAGCTTGTACGCTCTGCTACGCAACAACGACTCGCCTTCGGAAGAAGATATCGAGGAAGCCTTTGACGGCAACTTGTGCAGGTGTACAGGCTACAAGCCTATTCTCGAGGCCGCGCAGACATTTAGCGTCGAGAGGGGATGTGGAAAGGCGAGGACGAACGGTGGTTCGGGCTGCTGCATGGAGAATGGCAACGGCGAGAAGAAGGAGGGCGGATGCTGCATGGACAAGGCAAAGCTCGACGACCAACCTATCAAGAGATTCACGCCCCCCGGCTTCATCGAGTACAACCCCGATACCGAACTCATCTTCCCGCCCGCTCTCAAGAAGCACGAGATGAGGCCACTTTCATTCGGCAACAAGAGGAAGAAGTGGTACAGGCCTGTCACCCTTCAGCAGCTGCTCGATATCAAGAGCGTACACCCCGCGGCCAAGATTATTGGTGGCAGCACCGAAACACAGATTGAAGTCAAGTTTAAGGCGGCACAATACCCCGTCTCCGTTTTCGTCGGAGACATTGCCGAATTGCGACAGTACGAATTCAAGGATGACCACCTAGAGATTGGAGGAAACGTCGTCCTGACAGATCTGGAGCACATCAGCAAAGTGGCAACGCGCCACTATGGCGACGCTCGTGGCCAGGTCTTTGAGGGCATTTACAAACAACTAAAATACTTTGCTGGCAGACAGATTCGCAACGTCGGTACACCTGCCGGTAATTTGGTTACTGCATCGCCCATTTCAGACTTGAACCCGGTGCTCTGGGCAGCCAATGCCGTCTTGGTGGCCAAGTCCCAGAGCGAAGAGACCGAGATCCCCATGTCACAGTTCTTCACAGGATACCGAAGGACGGCACTTCCTCAAGACGCTATCATCGCTTCCATCAGGATACCCGTGACAGCTGCCAAGAACGAGTTCTTCAGAGCATACAAGCAGGCCAAGAGGAAAGACGACGACATTGCCATCGTGACCGGCGCTCTACGGATCAAGACGGACGACGATGGCGTAGTCACCGAGTGCAACCTCATCTACGGTGGAATGGCCGCCATGACAGTAGCTGCCAAGAACACCATGGAATACTTGGTGGGCAAGCGCATTGCCGAGCTCGAGACTCTCGAAGGAGCAATGAATGCCTTGGGAACCGACTTTGACCTGCAATTTAGCGTTCCTGGAGGCATGGCTTCGTACCGCAAGGCGCTTGCCTTCAGCTTCTTCTACCGTTTCTACCACGATGTCATCGCCAATCTCGGTGGACAGAGCGAGCATATGGATATCGAGGCGGTCGACGAACTCGAGCGCGGCATCTCTGGCGGAACCGAAGACCACGGCGCGGCTGCTGCGTACGAGCAGGAGACCGTGGGCAAGTCCAAGAGCCACGTTGCCGCCTTGAAGCAGGTCACCGGCGAAGCACAATACATCGACGACATACCGGTAGCGAAGAACGAGCTACACGGCTGCTTCGTGTTGTCAACAAAAGCTCACGCAAAGATCAAGTCCATCGACTACTCACCCGCACTGGACATGGCTGGTGTCATCGACTACATTGATAAGGACGACGTTGATTCACCTGAGCAGAACCGCTGGGGTGCTCCCCACTTCGACGAGCTCTTCTTTGCCGAGGGTGAGGTCCATACCGCCGGTCAACCCATCGCCATGATTTTGGCTACTTCGGCATCGAGGGCCGCTGAGGCCGCGCGTGCGGTCAAGATCGAGTATGAGGACCTCCCGTCAATCCTGACGATCGAAGAAGCGATCGAGAAGGACAGCTTCCATAACTACTACCGAGAGATCAAGAACGGCGACACTGAAGAGGCATTCAAGAACTGCGATCACATCTTCACCGGCACGGCGCGAATGGGTGGCCAGGAGCACTTCTACCTCGAGACGCAAGCCTCATTGGTAGTCCCCAAGCTCGAGGATGGCGAGATGGAGGTGTTTTCCAGCACCCAAAACGCCAACGAGACGTAAGTTCACTCTTCATCAATATTGGTGCTTTTTGTACTAACAGCTTGCAGACAGGTCTTTGTTGCTCGGATGACGGGCGTAGCAGCAAACAAAATCGTCGTTCGCGTCAAGCGACTTGGCGGTGGCTTCGGAGGCAAGGAGACGAGATCAATCCAACTCAGCGCACCGCTCGCGCTCGCAGCAAGGAAAACCAGGCGGCCGTGTCGCTACATGCTGACGAGAGAGGAGGATATGGTCACTTCAGGACAGCGCCATCCGTTCTTGGGCAGATGGAAGGTCGGCGTGAACAAGGACGGCAAGATCCAAGCGCTGGATCTCGACGTCTTCAACAACGCCGGCTGGACGTTCGATTTGAGCGCGGCTGTCTGCGAGCGAGCAATGTCCCACTCGGACGGCTGCTACAAGATTCCAAACGTCTTCATCCGCGGCCGGCTGTGCAAGACCAACACCATGTCGAACACGGCCTTTAGAGGATTTGGCGGACCTCAGGGCATGTTCATTGCCGAAACTTACATGGAGGAGGTTGCGGATCGATTGGGCATGCCGGTCGAGAAGTTCCGTGAGATCAACTTCTACAAGCCTTTGGAGCCGACGCATTTCAACCAGCCCCTGACTGACTGGCACGTACCATTGATGTACAAGCAAGTTCAGGACGAGGCAAAGTACGAGCTGCGGAGGGAGCTCATCAGGCGCTTCAACGACGGCAACAAGTGGCGCAAGCGTGGCCTGGCCATCATACCGACGAAGTTTGGTATTTCCTTTACTGCCCTCTTCCTGAACCAGGCAGGCGCTCTCGTACACATTTACCACGACGGATCCGTCCTGGTGGCCCACGGCGGTACGGAGATGGGTCAGGGACTGCACACCAAGATGACGCAGATCGCCGCACAAGCTCTCGAGGTGCCGTTGGACAACGTCTTCATCTCCGAGACGGCGACCAACACGGTAGCCAACGCCTCGGCGACGGCCGCGTCGGCCTCGTCAGACCTCAACGGCTACGCCATTTACAACGCGTGCGCGCAACTCAACGAGCGCCTGGCACCATACAGGGAGAAGTTAGGACCTGGCGCGACAATGAAGGACTTGGCGCACGCTGCGTACTTTGATCGTGTGAACCTCTCGGCGCAAGGATTCTACAAGACGCCTGAGATCGGGTACACGTGGGGCGAGAACCGGGGCAAGATGTTCTTCTACTTCACGCAGGGCGTTACGGCGGCCGAGGTGGAGATTGATACCCTCACCGGCACTTGGACGTGCCTCCGGGCCGACATCAAGATGGACGTTGGGCAGTCAATCAACCCGGCGCTCGACTACGGCCAGATTCAGGGCGCCTTTGTCCAAGGGTTAGGCCTCTTCACGATGGAGGAGTCGCTCTGGCTCCGCAACGGGCCGATGGCGGGTAACCTCTTCACGCGAGGTCCTGGGGCGTACAAGATCCCCGGGTTCCGCGACATTCCGCAGGAGTTCAACGTGACGCTGCTCAAGGACGTGGAGTGGAAGGACCTGCGGACGATCCAGCGGTCGCGTGGCGTGGGTGAGCCGCCGCTGTTCATGGGCAGCGCAGTATTCTTTGCGATCCGCGACGCGCTCAAGGCGTCGAGGGCGCAGTACGGGGTGGCGGCGACGGTCGGGGAGGACCGGGAGGGGGATGGCCTGCTCAGGTTGGAGAGTCCGGCTACACCCGAGAGGATCCGGCTAAGCTGCGAGGATCCGATTATGAGGAGGGCCAGGGTGCTGCCGAAGGAGGGGGAGAAGAGCTTTTTTGTAGCCATTTAGCAACGGGCGCCAAGACATTTTCTCGGTTTGCATGGGGTTCTTTCTTGTTTTCTCGGAGGGGTTAGGTGCTCAAATGTCGATTATTTGGTGTTCAATCCGTAGAGAGACTGGCGAACTTGACGAAAATACTACGGCACATTGTGTCACTTCATTCAATTCTCCTCTTGTAGTATTGTTCAACTATTACTGCGAAGTACCCAGGAGAGCAATGCGTCACACGATCTCGAATGCGCCCCCAAATCGCCAAGTCCCGTGAGCACAGAGAGATGGGATGATGATAGGGGAAGACTCTGGGGCCGGGGTGGCCGGGGCGATGGATGAAGCAGCATGAACTTGGAAGCGGTAGTGATGTTCTTTTCAGCTGGGAAGCCTTCGACCAGGGCGGCCGAGGGGAAGCAAGAGAGTGCGAGGGAGAGTAAAAAGACCACCTTGGGCCGAATGGCGGGCTGTGGTTTCATGCTTACATTACATTGCATGCTGCAGGCGACTGGAGAATACCATCTCTCAGCCGTTGGGCTTTCTTGATTTCTCCTCCGCTGCCGTTGGAGCGCAGATTGACTAGGTACACTAGTAATACTGGCTGAAGCGTTGGAGTTAGTGGAAGATGGGACGAAGGACCACTTGGTTTGCAGCTCGTCCCTAACATTTTCGAGAGCCAAGAATTTACCGTTTGGTTTGATGCGACGGTGGTGATGGAGCTGCCCAGGGGATTTCGGGAACAACGACTAAAGATAGCTCGTAGGGCAGAAGGGAAGCTGCATTGACGGGTGGGTTCCTCTAGTAATGTCTGTGCCATGCGTGCTTGTGTGATATCATTGCTTTGAATTGGCAGATGATTGACCGAGGTACCATCTTGTGAAATGTCAACGAACTTTTGAATGTGTGTGATGAGTCCTTCACCGAGGTAAAAGGTGACAAGTCGGGATGAAGGAGAAGGCGGGGAAATCAAATCACATTCTCCCCTCCGGCATCTCTCTGTGACTCTCGCGCTCTCATTTTGCTCGTCTCATCGGGCGACGTCCGACGGGTTGGGTGAGGGGGATACCTCATTACATGACGATTACTGGTTGTAACCCACTTCTGCCCAGCTGCGCCCAGGCTTGGACATTGGACCATGAGTCCTGGTTTACTGACTTGATTAAAGCGGTAAGACTGACTCCAGGTAGGAAGAGAAGAATGTCAATTGAGGTGGATTCTCATTGAGGTTGATGAGTGAAAACATAAGTATTGAGTTAGTGAGTGAGTGAAGGTCGAGTGAGATGACGAAGCAGCATCCCCCGCCTGGGTCAGGTACTTTCCACTACCAGGAACACAACAACATCGATCTTGCCTGTCCTGTACTCGTCCCAAAGGCTAATGTAATGGGGTGGGTGGGAAGGAATGCCGGGTGCTCAATTAGCCAACCCACTTCCCATGGCAATTGGGTACGGATACGCCGCCTGCCCGTTGTCGCTCTTTTCCTTTTCCTTTTCTGCGAAGCTTTCAGCCAAGGTACCAGGTTGGTTCCCTCTCGCCTGGCTCGCCTGGTTCAGCTCCCATCCCATTCCCTTGGGACCGATCATCATTTGCTCATTGCGCCAAAAGCCCGCACCCATTTTTTCTTCTTCTCCATGCGACTGACGGTCCAAAGCCACCACCACCAAACACCAACACCAACCACCAACACCAACACCAGAACTTGCGACCACGCTCGAAAACGCCCACGATTCCACGGCTCCCGGACCCGAGGCGAACGAACAAACGAGGAGGACGAGGACTAGGAACTGGGAAGAGGGATCAGCAGTTTTCCAACGGATCCCCTGCAATTCGTGTCCAACTCGAGAACTGCGAGGCGGGACAAATCCGAACGCAAGCAAAGTAAAGCAACCATAGCCGAACTCAGCCCGCCGGCTGCCCGCACGCGACAACCTCGTTTTCCCTCCCACTCTGTCTGCAGAAACTCGCCACGCCCAATCTTTTGCGCAAACCCTCGAGAGCACACCGCGGTCGATTAACATCCTTTCACCCCCGGTGTCAAATGATCTGCGAACCCTCGTCTCCTGCGTAACCTTTGAGGTCCAATGGGAGCTGCTGCCCCATTGAACTGATTCCGAACCCGCCCTCCACCATCACCACTATTACTACCGCCACCACCCATAACTGCTGCCGTCACCCGTCCCGGGTCTCTCGCCATGCCAGAGAACGGCAAAGACGTAAAGTCTGAAGCGCAAGACGACAAGGAAAAGCGCGACAAGACCGAGAACAACGGCGGCCATGCTCACTCGGCTAAGAGCCCCAAGAAACGCCGCAAGGTCAACCACGGTATGTTAAACCTACGTCCAGCTGCGCACTGTGCCCGCGAGCTCCCTTGAGACTGCGATTGTGTCTGCTGCAGCGGCTATCTCAGTGCTGCAAGTCGTGCGGAAGCACCAGCTAACGTCATGTGCCCTCCCAGCTTGCGTATACTGCCGGCGATCTGTAAGTCAGATAGCCCTTATCCAGACAGCACAACTGGCATTGCTCCCCCGGCTCCGCGCATGGCGTCGACACTGTCGTGTCTCTGCGATTGCTGCCGTGCGATGACTCTGCCAACCAACAAAACCCCTGCCTGCATATACGCGCAACCTCGTCTCCCTACAGACGGAAATCTGCAGGGCCTGAATAAACAATTAGCGGGAAAGAGAAAAGATGGCTGACGGATAGTGTCTTGCCTGCTCTATAGCATATGACATGCGATCTCGTATGTAAGATCTCTTTCTTCACACAACCTTGACATATGACGGGCAGCCTGGCTGCGGCGTCCGTTTGTCTCTGTCTCCCCGCGCCGTCCACTCGGCTTCCTTGGAGCTCTGCGCAGGCGCGAGCGCGTGCATACCTTTCTTTGGCTCGTACCACATCCGCTGACATGTCGTGCCTAGGAACGACCGTGTACAAGATGCATCAAGCGCAATATTGGTCACCTTTGCCACGATGAGCCCCGCGACGCTGATTCCAAAAAGGCCAAGAGCTCCCACGCGCCATCCGCTGTCGATGAGTCCGAGACGACGCAATCCGAGCTCACGAGAAGCTCCATCGACCAATCCGCGACCGGGTCCATGGGTCCGCCGCCCCCTTTCGACCGCAAAGCGTCTGCTTTTGGCGCCGCCGTACTGAGCCAGGGGAACCCGCTGCACCTCGTGTCACCGGGGGCAGGCACCGGCATGGCGGGAAACGGCAGCAATATGAACCAATGTAGGTCCTCTCCCGCGGGCTTGTTTCTCCCCCTTTTCCACAGTGCCGTGTCGTTCGTACTTGAGGGCTCCTTGCTCTTTTTTGCACGCGTCTGCGCTTTCTAGGGAGTACAGAACGACAACAAGCAGCCTCAACTTGAGAGAGACTCGTAAGCTAACATGATGCGCCCCGGCCTAACAGTCGCTGGATTCTCCGATGCCTGGTTGACGGCCCAAAACCACTACCACGACATGCAAAGCTATCACCCCAACAACTACTTGATCGCCCCCGAAGTGACACACGAGTTCAACTTGTTGAATGACTTCCTGCAGACGAGCTTACTGGATGACGGCGGCATCGTCTCCGACGAGTCCCAAAACAGCCCCGCCTTTAGCAGGACCGCGGGCGCCAACGACATGCTGCCGACGTTTGGAAACCATAATGGGAATAACCGGGCCGGTGCTGGCAATGGCAACAATGCGCTTTCGCAGATGCTGCCTCCTCAGAACCTGGAGCAGGGCAAGGCAATATCACGGCCAGGCAGCATCGTCCAGGGCGACAAAGACAAGGCGCGCGAATACTACCTCCAGGCGGCCGATCCGTCAGGAAACGACACGCCCGAGGAGCGCATGGATCGTGTATTGAAGGCCAAGTACGAGGCCGGTCTGCTGAAGCCTTTCAACTACGTCAAGGGCTACGCGCGACTGGGCACGTATCTGGATGGCCATATCGCTGCATCGTCGAAGCAAAAGATTCTCCGAACGATTGATCGATTCCGACCCAAGTTCCGCGAAAAGGCACAAGCTTTGACGGATATGGAATTGCTATACGTGGAAATGTGGTTCGAGAAACAACTCATGGAGTACGACCGTGTGTTTGCCAGTATGGCGGTGCCAGCGTGTTGCTGGCGGAGAACTGGAGAAATCTTCAGAGGCAATAATGAGATGGCGGAACTTCTCCACGTTCCTGTCGAGAACCTGCGTGACGTACGTGTTCTGGTCAATTCACGCAGTTGAGGCTTTGTCGTAGCTAACAAGATGATAGGGCAAGATCTCGCTGCACGAGATTCTGACCGAAGAGTCTCTCGTGCGATACTGGGAAGAGTTTGGAACCATCGCCTTCGATCCCGCTCACGATACGCTACTTACAGCTTGCACACTAAAGAACCCAGACGACAAGGCGACAGACCCAGTGGTTCATTGCTGCTTCTCATTCATGATTCAACGAGATAATCACAAAATGTTGGTATCTGCCCACCCGCTGGTCCCGGGCCTTCTGAAGCTGACAAGTTGATAGCCCTACGCTCATCGTAGGTAACTTTTTGCCCAACGATCTAGCCCGGCCGTAATCATTTGCATCGCAGGGGACCTCTTGGAATACCTAGGTTTGGGGGTTTGGAAACACAAAATCAAATGGGGCAGGCGTCATTGGATACCAGAGCATTTTCCGGTTTGGGTGCATTTTTAAACGTTCTTTTGCATAGGTAGGCGTGAGGAAAGGTCACCGCCAGTACATAACAGGCAAATCTAGTATATCCTTGATCCAAGTCTCAAGTCATTGCTTCTCACAATGCCCTTCATGTCCTGCTCTTTCCGGTTCGGGTCAGAGCCTTGTCGGGGAGCAGTAACCCCGCGTCCGGATACAGGTGCTTTCGAGGAAAGCACCATAGAGACGTGTGCCTGCCGCGAACGATTCGGTGCTTTCCACTTTTGCAGTGTGTCACCTCTAGGTCTTCCACAACCTCTTCGCCTTTCCTGGCGGAAGTCTTCCCGTTGTCATGCGCCGTCCTCAACTTGCTCTCCACGAAGTGCACATCCTGTTCCTATAATCTCGGCCTCCCACGTTTGCCCTCGCCAAGCACAATGCCCCCTAAACGGCACGCAAAGTCGCCCAAGAGCAACAACACCGTTGACAAGATCAACTCCATCGCAAGTCCGTAGCATCCCACCGATGAAGCTTCCGCGGTCTACACAAGCTGACCCGTAGTCTGACAGCATTCTCCAAGACCCTGTCGACACGTCTACCCTCCGCAAACGACGCACTTTCCATCGACGCCCTGCTCGCGGAACTCAACCCCCAGCTCGAGACGATTATTCGCTTCTCTGGTAGCCCGAGAGCGAAATCCCAGAGGGTGGAACTTGACAAGAGAGGGACGGAACTTTGGAACCAGTGTACCCGACAACGTCGTGATAATGCAGACGGGACAGCGACGGCGGCAGCAGCACCGACTGCGAGGAAGAAGCTTCTATTGCGGAGCAGAACGTATGCTTTCTTCATGATTAGCATCGCGAGGGGTGTGTCGGGCGGTGCCGAGCCTCAGCTTGCGGATGTGGCGCATGTGATGAAGTTGGCGCTCAAGGCGGGCAAGACGTGTCTTGGTAAGTCGGGAGTCTGGCGGGACATTTGGGACGAGGAAGAAGCTATTTACACCGTGTATAGATGACGGCGGTACCAGTTCGAGTGCCTTGAAGCTCGCCGAAACTGTTTTTGAGAAGGGAGCGGAATACAGTGCGGCATTAGGTCAGCTACAGACGAAAATGTTGGGACCTGATGATTTACAAGAATGCAAAAAGCTGGACGCTGAATACTTTATCCTCAGAGCTGCACTGGCAAGTTCGCTCTTGGCTTTGATAACACGACCGTTCCTACAGCTGACTGTGAAAAGTAGGCCTGGAAAACTGATAACTTTCCCGTCATGGAGTTCATGTATCGCAAAGGACACCTCCAGCCGAGTGCGCTCGATCCTAGTTCGGCCGAGAAGATGGCAGAAGTGTTGTTCGAGATCGGCAAGGGTCTCTCCAAGAAGGAAGACTTCGGCATGGCGGTGCGGTGGCTCGAACGGGGTTACGACATCATCAACGCCCAGGACCTGTCGATTCTCTCCCGCGACGCCATCGAGCTGCGCCTCTCCGTCTGTCAAGCCCTGATTCACGCGCTGCTGGGTCTCGGTACGCCAGAGTCCTCGCAAAAGGCGCTGGACTTGATCAGCTATATCGAATCCGAGATTGGCGAGAAGCCCGTTGTCCTCCTTCTTCGCTTGGAGCTCTTGCAGAAGGCGCCGGCCGAAGTGTTTGATATCGAGGCCTATGCTGATATTCTGAGGCGCATGGTCCGGACATTCAACTTCTCCGAAGCGCATTTTAAGCTCTTGGTCCATCATGCACGAAAGTTGCACGACAAAAGCCCGACGCTGGCGACGAGCGTCGTGGATGGGATGCTCAGAGGCACCATTGTCTCTTCTGGACGCGAAGAGTGGGTCGAGAGATTGGTGCTGTTGAGGATATGGATGGAGACGACACAGAGGGATGGTATGAGGGCCATAGAAGAGCTGATGGGGGTCTTAGCTGGACTCCAAGATAACTTGAGTAAGCCTTTTGGGGCTTCTACGGCAGTGGGGGCGTTGACTGTGAGCTCGATCCGGGAAAGATGAAAAACAAATAATGCTGATATTGGCGCAGCTCATTTGGAAAAAGATCGAGGTCAACTACAATCAGGGGCACTTCGACTTCGCAGATGGCTGGTGCCAGGTAGCCCTGCAGCCTCTGTTCCAAAATGGCGGACCTGCGAATATGTCGAGACTCGGCAGGTGCGTATCTTCACGGGAGTCTCAAGCTATGTGCACTGATGATCGTAGAAAGCTCATTCTCTGCGCACTTGGGAGAAACGACACCGAGAGGGCGCGGCAAGTCTTTCATAGCATGTCTGAGGCAGCGCAAAATGAACCGATGACGAGGTACTTGATGTACAAGGCTGCCCTCCGATTGTCTGACCAAGAGTTGGCTGCTCAGTGTCTGGAACGAGTAGCTCTTTCGGCACCAGGAGACCCTAACTTTCTTTATGCTTGTGTCCTCGAGGCGCAACAGGCTGGAGATAAGGTCTGCGCGATGCAGGCTATGAAGCAGCTAGTGGAAAAGTTCGACTTCAGCGAAGCGTCTCCAATTCATCTACCAGCGCTGTTGCGATGCAATATCCGCCTTGCTGTGTCGGTTGTTGAGAGCGAGAAAGGTGCGAGGGAGCGGCATAGTGCAGTGGAAGAAGTGATTGTGCTCCTTGAAGTAGGTGAGAAAGCGTCGTCCATCGCTTTCCATCATAGGCTGATCATGTCGCACCATAGCCGTCAAGGCAATCCAGCGAGACCCCAGGAACAAGGACGGCAACCGGCTGTTCACAGTCAAGGAACTCGACTGGTTCTGCCAAAATGCGTATAACCTTGGCCTCAAGCACTCGGAGAGCTGGGACGTAAAGCATCTCATCCGGCTTTACAACAGCTGCCTCGCTATCGCGAAGCATTATCCAGAGGACCTCCCTGCCGAAGCTGCGAGTGACCTCGTGTTCAGGACAATGTTTTGCGACTTCATCGCCGCTGCTGCTCTCGTATCGCTCGCCCGTACTGAAGACAACGTCGAGGAGCAGCTACAGCATTATCTCGTCATGCGGAGGCACGTCATGGCGTACAATGCAGCAATGGAGAAGCAAATTAGCGACTGTTTGGATACGAGGCTGAAGATCGATCTAACGGCCAAGCTTGCGACGTTGATGGTGTTTGATTTTGAGGCTGCAATGGCATTGAAGAAGACTGACGAGCTAGGGTTCATCATCCGCACGGCCGTGACGTGTCGGGATGTGAATACGCTCAAGGCGATGGGGGACATTGCGCTGCGAGGCAAATTGCCTGGACAAGGTAAGTAGTATAACCTACTACTTCATGGTTCACATCATAGATGGCTATGATGAGACTGTTGCTTACCAAGTGCTGTGTTTCTGATTGCTTGCAGCCCTCTATTCTACATTGGGCGTCATCGTCAACGAGATCTGGGAGCTCGAGAAGATGAAAGGCGACAGGCTGGCAAAGTATATCCGGTGCATGTTCCACGCCGTCTTACCGCTCGATGCGGCGCTGGGGCAGAGGCTGATGAAGCAGGCCGTCGACGTGGCGAGGGATTCTCGCAAGGTGCGTTTGTGTTTCTGCAATTGTAGCCCTTCACCCCCCTGCCCCCCGCGGACTCTTTCCCTGTTGGTCGGCGCTTTTGCTCAGGCAGAAACTAAACGCTTTCTTACTTGACAGAGCCAGCATCCGTTTCCAGCCGAAGAGCTCGAGTGGCTCGTCACTATGGGCTTTAACCAGGCGGTGGACGCGTACAATGCCCGACAGGACGACGAGTGCAATACGTGGGCGGATTTGGCGCTGAATTTGGCGCATTATGGTGATGATGGTGGAGATTTGGAGAAGAGGGTGCAGGAGAATCGGATGAAGTTGAAGTTTGACTTGCCCTGAGATGAGTTGGCCACAGAGATATGTGGCTCAGTTGATGACCATTCGAAGTAGACCCATGACTGGTGTATTCTTTTCTCCTCTACAAACCTCTTGAGCAAAATACAGGTGCGAGAAAAAGTAGTACCGTTCCTATCCTCTCGTATAGTATATATCCCTCGCCGCCAGCCTACGTTACCCAAACCTTGCCCGGCCTTGAAGCCGTCGTAGTTGCCCCTGCCGCCGCCGCACCAGTGAAGCCGTCGTATGCGTCGTGTCAATCGTTTATTTCGTGCCGTAAGTAGTTTGCGTCTTTATGACAACAACCGCGGAAGGGCTTAGCAGATGGCATGCGTTTTGCCAGTCTTACCCTGTAGGGAATGCTTTTCCTTCTGGTTAGGCACGGCAAGGTTAGTGAAATCTCATCCTGGGTGGGTTCGCGCGGGACCCGGGGGGTTTGGGGACAAACTCTGAACTTTGGATGGTTGTGGGTCGATTTCGAGCTGGTGAGGTGGTGCTTGTTGATGTACTCCTGCTGCCTCTTGACACCGTCCTGGTCCATCTGCTCGAGCAGGCCCATGCAGAGCTTAATATCGGTGATGAGGGCGTCACAGCGCGATTTGGAAAAGTCCTCACGGACGACGACGCGGAGCATCTTCAGGTCGTCGGTCTTGGGCGCCATGGTGTAAGCGGGCACGACCCAGCCACGGACACGGAGCTGGTGGGCGAGCGCAAATTCGTCGTAGTGGCGGACGCCCGGCTCACCCTCGGCGCCGGAGGGGACTTCGGGAAGGCGGAAGGCGACGAGGGGGAGACCCTCGCCGGAGCGCTTGGACATGATACGGAAGCCGAGGACCTCGAGGGACTGGGAGAGGTAATCTGCGGTGCGGGTGAGGTTTGACATGATGGCGCGGTAGCCCTTCTTGCCGAGACGAATGAGCTGGTAGTATTGACCAATAACCTGTGAGGCGCCCTTTGAGAAGTTGAGGGTGAAGGAGGCTTGGTCTGCGCCGAGATAGTTGATGTTGAAGACGAGTTCCTGGGGGAGGAACTCGGCAGAGCGCCAGACGACCCAGCCGACACCGGGATAGACGAGGCCGTACTGTAGTTCGTGTGTAAGTGAGTGAACCAAGAAGTTTGGTACTCGGTAAATGGAGCACGGGAGAGGGGGATTTACCTTGTGACCGGAGACATTGATGGAGACGACATTCTTGAGGCGGAAATCCCACTCGAGGTCAGGCACGACAAAGGGGGCGACGAAGCCTCCGCTGGCGGCATCAACGTGGATGGGCACATCGAGGTTCTTCTGAATCAGCAAGTCATTGACAGCCTTGACGTCCTCGTACTCGCCAGTGTACGTGGTGCCCAGGATGGCGCAGATACCAATAGTGTTCTCGTCAATAAGGTCGACGGTCTCCTTGGGATCAATGACGTAGCGATCGGGCGCGCAGTAGACGAGCTTCTCCTCGACCTCGAAGTAGCGGGCGGCCTTTTCCCAGCAGACCTGGACGGCGGAGGACATGACAATGTTGGGGTGCTCGGTGGACTTGCCCTCGGCCTGGCGCTTGTTCTTCCAGCGCTTCTTCATGGCGAGGACGGCGAGCATGATGGCCTCGGAGGAGCCGACGCACGATGTGCCGACGGCGCCGACGCCCTCGCCCGCGCCCACGTCGGCGTGGAAGAGCTTGCCAATCATGGAGACGCAGCGGTTCTGGATGTCTGCTGAGGCGGGGTATTCTTCGTAGTCAATGAAGTTCTTGCTGAAGCTCTCGGCCTGTCCAAGGGAACATCATTGTTAGATTTTGAAATATGGTTTCGTGTATGCGGTACCTGGGGAGGGGAAGGTGTTGGTGAGGATTTACCATGAGCTTCTCGGCTTCTTCTTCCTGGGGTGGGGTGTTAGCTCGGGATGTCACTGCGGGTGTTGGATTCGTCAAGTGTGCACTCACCATGTAAGTCGTCACAAAGGAAGCCAGGCTAGAAAGATGGGGGTTAACGATGGTCAGAAATGACAAGACATTTCGGCATATGACGAAAAAGGAGGCCTACTTGAGCATGGGGTTACCGTCGAGACTGAGCTCGTCCTTGATCATGCGGTAGGCGACCTCCTTGGGCATCTCGCTCTCGGGCATCTCGCTCTTGGGGAGATCCTGATTGGCGAAGCGAGAGCCGTAGACGCTCGTGGTGTAGCAGTCATCGTGGTCGGCGAGCTGGAGCTGGACCTTCTTGAGCTGCTGCTGGACCTGGCGGAGGTTGGCGGCGGACGACGAGTCCTCGGCGCCGGAGGCAGAGCCAGAATCCGGGGGGGTGTTGACGGTTGTAAGGTGAACCATTTTGGAGTGAAGAGAAGAAGAGGTGGTGGAGGGTGTTGAGGCGAAGCTGTAATGCGAGGAGAGAAAGGGAGCTTTGAGCGTGGTGGGAGGCGGACGGAGGAGGATGTTTATATGAAGTCGAGACCGTTGAGTTCTTATCGGAGCCGGAGCTTTGAGCTGGACCTAGACCTGGAGACCGAAACGAGGCGAATGAGCAGGTTGGAGAGTAGCAGAATGGGAGAATCTGGGAGTGGGAGCGAGGGGGAGAAAGGAGAAGAAGGAGAACAGTAGGAGGAGGAGGAGGAGGGGCATTCACAGGGCCAAGCAATGGAAGCAACAAGCGGAGCTGGGAGGGCGGCCGTGGCACTGCGCTTGCATCTGCAGCTGCACCTGCATGTCTAAGGCAAGGAGCTGGAACTGGAACTGGAACCGGGACCAAGGAAGCTACCCGATCTTACCTCTGGGTGCTAAACGAAGGTAGCTAAGCAGCTTGAACCTACCTTGAAATACCTCTTGGAGTACATTCCTGGCGGGGTGCACGGCAGAGCTGAGACCATGTCCAAGAGACTTGACAGCTACAGCTACAGATACAGCTACATCCTCCCTCATCCCATGGCCCCTTCCGTCCCTTTTACAAGCCAATGGATCGTTGAGAAAGAAAGGCCGAGAGAACCGGAAATGGAGACTTGGAGTGGGAGCTCTGGGAAGAGAGACCGAAAGAGAGAGAGAGGGCCAAGGCCAATGGCAGATGCAAGTGGGATGACACCGTGACGCGCGACTTGGGTGCCCTGAAGCCAGCACGGATGGCGGGGCACAAGACGGTGTAGAATGGTACGTACCGACTTACATAAGGCACCTATTCTGAGGAATCGAGGATGCAGCTACATCATTGACAGAGTCCTTGGCAGGTACTCGAGAGGAAACCCGGTACATGCCGCCTCCAGTCCCTCACCTTGCATCCGTAGCGTAAGGTACTCCGTACTTGCAGTGTCGAGAGAGAGTTGCAAGATTGCTTAGTCGAGACACGTTCAACCGCTGGCCTCCCCCCTGATCGGTGAAGAAGTTGTGAGGTACCTTACGCATAGGATGGGACGATTTGCCGTCACCTTGCTCCCTGGGGGCATCCAGGGAAATCCCCGAGAAAACCTACGTACAAAGAGACTCGGGCAAAAAGGGGCGTAGAAGAAAAAATACCCGCAAATCAGCTCCAGCTAAGAAAAGAAGTTGGGATCCCCAATACCTACAGTACCAACAGAAACGGGATGACTTTGGGATGTTGCCGCGACCACTCTGTTGCCAAAAGCACGTGTTTTCCGGATGAAGCTGCCCAAGGCCTCCGGATTAGGTACGAGGGCGGCCTCCCTTCATCTCCGCTTGCTCTCTCTCGCATTCACTCTGAATCTTCCACGTCTCTCGTCTCTCATCCTTCTACATCACAGTCTACAACAACTTTCCCCATGTCTCGGCTCTCGAGGCGTCACAGCAGACACACACACACATGCGCGTCCAAGGATCCCCAAGTCCCAAAAACAACGCTACGCCCAAAGCTTGGCACGGGTGACATTTCGGGTGGCCCACACCAGCTTGAACCAGCATGGAACAGTGAACACACACCAGCAGGCACTGGTCCAGCACATCTCCACGTCCCCTCAACGCGCGCCCCACGTTTCGCCCAATCGTCAGCCGTGCCGCTCTTCCGCCACAGCGGGCGGTCTCTCCCTGGTCTCCAGTTCAGACTCTAGATTCCCAGAGTCCAACGAACCTGAACCTTGGAGCACATCGCTACAATTATCTCACCCTTCCTCTCCTCCACTGGCACCCGCTTCATCGACGGGTCTCCATCAACAATCTTTTCAGCCCTCTCCCGCCCTCTCATGCGTTGTTTGTTTCACGGCAGTGCTCGTAGATGTTGAAAATGAGGGGGCAGTGGTGGGCTCTGGGTAAATCGGCTCGGATATCAATGCCTAGCACCGTAACACAGCCCTGCATCTCAACGGCGTTACGGCACTCCATCTCTTTGCTGAGTAAATTCTGAAGTAAAACACACCAACACAGTCCAGCAGCAGACATGAATAGGAGAATGGAGCATAGCCGCGAGAAAGCGCAAAAAAGACCAAGGATGAAACAACCAAACAAACACCTCAGCAGAGAGTACCTAAGTCAGACGGGGGATATCAACAGCGCTCTCGCTCCGGACTATTTTCCCTCAGTTGCCTAATGACATCATGACCACCTGTTCCACCCCTAAATCACCTCAGCCAAATCTCGCCCAAAATCCCAGAATACCAGCTTCGGGAAAATAACAACATGCCATTTCATTTCCTCACCCAAAGAAAACACGGTCCCCTTCAACACCGAACCGCCAAGAAACCATCACCCAAAACAAAAAGTTCCAGACCGAACAAGACCTGCTGATTGATAGTCCGAATGAAGAAACTCCCCGTATCCACTAAAAAACAACCTGAACACCCCCACGGATCATCATCACCGCCTCACACTCTCCCACGTCTCCCGTTCCCCTGTGGCTTGGCTGAGCTTCACCCATCCCCGGACACGACAGCCGCCATCCGACAGTGGCACGAGTGGTTCGACTTTTGATTTTCCCTTCCCGCATCCCCAATCCGTAATCCATCCACCTCCCTTCACGAACTTGCCCAAAACTTTCGCCTCTCGTAATCTCGGTGAAGGACATCCCGAACCCGGTCAGCGAAACATACCCAACACAGCAACCTGTACAACACATCATTTTCGCCTCTCTTCAGGCTCTTCGTAATGTCCTCGTCCCCGGTGAAGTAAGCCCTGAATCTCACGTTGACCCAAAAGTGACCTTTCGGCCCGGGCCCTCCACGGCTTCAATTCCTCCGTTTGCTCTTCTCGCCCTTGAATACCCCAGCTTCCTTTTTACTCTACTTCACCGAAAACTGCTTCGTCCACAACTTCCGGCAACGCCGAGTTGGCCTAAGGTATCTGGGCTATTCATCTCCAGTTTCGGTCGCATGTTGAACACCACTTTGGGCCTCAGCAAATCTGCCTGATTCGAGAGCTGATTTTGTTTCGCTGTCACAAATACCTGATGTCTCGCTGTATCAAAGCCTATGCTATCCGCTGCATCAGACGCTTCCATTCTCAGCGCTCTCTTTCCAGAGACGTGTTATGCGTCTATTCCAGGCTCAATATCTGCTTGGGCCTGCCTATGTCCCCGTCCTTGGAGGGGACCTGAACGTCTAATCAACGAGAATTCCAGTGCCCCTTTGCCTTCCAATCCTAATCATGGTGCCGTATCCTATTCATCAGCCTTCCGTTGTATCCATGGCATCGCCGCCCGTCGCCCTAGCCTTGGCCGCCGCAATCTTCTCCTCTCTCCACTTCTGAATCTTCTCCTTCAGCTCAGTGTGCGGGATGGCATCATCCACAGTCATCGGCTGTCGCGTAAAGGGGTCCTTGGGGTCTGACAGCAAGTGCTGCACAATAGTTCCCCGATCAACAATATGCTTCGATGGCAGGATGACAGGATCCTTCATCAAATCTCCCATAATCGGGTCTTCGAACTCGGCCGGAATGTCTCCAAGATCCAGCTCGGCCTGGTCCGCAATCTGCTTCGACTCGAGGAACTTGGCCTTCAACGTGTCGAGCTGCTCGAGTTCAACGGCCTCCTTCATACTGCGCTTCGAGAGGATAAACCTGGCCTTATCAAATACCTCGGGCTTGTACGAGCGACCATCCGAGGCAACAGCATCGATGAACGCTTGGGATGAGCCCAAGTTGAGGTAGATGTCGATGAAGTCTGACAGCAGAACCCTCGGCTGGAAGTGATATTTGGTTGGGTTGTTCACCTTGAGCTGGCCCATCTTGGGCCCCGCGAGAGTCTCCAGGTTGTAGTTAAGCATGCTTGCCAGACGCTGGACAATCTCAGGCATCGTGAATGCTGATGTCAATGCCGATGTGAAGAGCTTCATCATCGCCAGCGTCTCATTGGCCAACTGCATGTATGAGCCCGCCTGGCCCTCCAATGTTGTCAACTCCTCTTGCTTCTTCTCTCTATCTTGCGTAGATAGTGTGTTGCCGAACTCCAACTCCTGCTGTAACGTATGGATTTTGGGGAACTTTGTCAGTGCCTCGTCAAGTACGTAGGTCGCATCATTGAGCAGCAAGTTGACGAACTGAACGAAGAATTGTCTGTTAACCCTGGAAGTTGTTAGTCACCCATCCCACACCCTGGCTAGAAGCTGAAACGGGACAAAACTTACTTGCTCTCTCTCGTCAACTGCTGCTTGTAGACATCATTGCCCCAAACGCACTTGATGACCTGGAAGATCTCATATCTGATGTTGAACTTGTCGTAGAACTGCGTGTTCACACCAGTTGACTCCGCTTCGATGTAGAATTTCATGAGGGCATGCAACAGGTTATCATTGGCAAACTTGGATCCGTAGAGCTGATCTCCCAATACACCCTTCTTAAAGTGCGAGAAGGGCCAGGTGCCCGAGAAGAGCAATGTGACCAGGGAAGACTTGAGGTACGGGTTCTTGATGTACTCTGACGAACGCAAGAAGGCGATGCAGAGCGCAATCATCTCGCTGCCAACAGCCGACGGCATAATCTGAGGAAGGTAGCGGTACACAAACTTGAAGTTGTCGACCACGTCCTGGAGCGCATACTCTGGCAGGCACGCAAAAGCCTCAGGGGCCTGAGCAGGAAGAGGAAGCTGGAGATCCTTGTCGGGGGTGTAGTTGGACTGGCTAGCAAGACGAAGAAGCCACACGGCCACGTATCGCATGAAGCGAAGAGACAGTTCTTGCATCTTCTCGTCCAGGAAGATGCCCTCAATCGCGTACTTCATTGCGATTGCCTTCTCCAAGACCGTAGTGTGTCGCTTGAGTGTCAACTCAAACATGGCAAGCTGCTGCGGCTGGTTCTGGACTTTAATCCGCTCAGCTTCCATGGCAGCCAAATGCTTCTCGTACCACTTGATATCCCTTTCCAGACCCTTCAGCTTCGAGTTTGTTGCCTCGCTGCCGTAGTGGTGCGCAGCCAAAGTCAAGAAGAAAACCTCTGAAATGAAGTTCGAGCTGCCCTGAGATTGAGTGCCATAGAACGCATCTGACGCTGACTGGTCGGCATTGAGCTTTGTCTCTTCCTTGATGTCCACACGCGGGTTGCGGCGGAAGTACTCGACTTCGATCCTGTCGACCTTTGAAAATGTTGTGTCCATGAAGGGAGAGCAGAAGCGGTCCAATACGACAGTGAGGTTCATCATGAAGCCATCTGAGGACACTTCTTTAGGGTCAACCTGGAGAGCTCTACGCTTGTGGTTGCCGTTGATGGCCGAGGCGAACCAGTCGAGTACCCGGCTTCGGGTGTCAGTGTCAGCTCGGATAAAGGCATTAGCGATAGTGAAGAGCTCATCCTGATGGACTCGAAGAATAGCCCGAAGAGCGTCTTGGGACGGGGCAGCCTGAGTGCGGTTAAGGGCGCGTGGGTTCGGGAAGTATGTCATTGTCACCTCGGTTTGCAAAGGAGAGATGCGGAAGAAGGGTCCCAGAATCGTCTCCTTTTCAACATGAGATCCCAGCTTGTGAGCGGTCATGAAGTTGGGATGTTGTGCCAGCGCATTCAGCAGAGGCGGGAACTTTGTGTAGGACATCAAGGCCTATCAAGTTCATGTGTTAGGTTTGTTTTGTTCCAAAGACTGTGGCAATGGCTGAGAGATAGGCAAAACTGGCGTCGCAAACAAACTCACGCTGATGTATGGCTTGTAGTCATCCTCCATGGACAAAGTTGATAACTTGATGCTGAGTGTGTGCATGGCTGTGGCGAAAGCAGCTGGGAATTGCTCATCCTCGGGAAAGCGCTTGACTGCCTCCCGCAAGAAGTCCAGGCAGACTCCATCGTCCTGCTCATGTCCTTTGAGCAGGTATGTGACCAAGCTCTCGGGGCGTGATCGTCTAGTACACCTGTAAGTAATTGGAATACACAAGATGGGTCTACTTACCCAAAGAGATCTGGTATCGTGAGCGCAAACAAAGCGTTGCTGACACACAGTCTCTTTGCCTCCTCCATAGCCTCCCTCTTCTCTGCCGTCTCTTTCAGTATGTTCGTCCGGATGATGCGTTTGAATGAGGGAAGTAGATAGCCGAGAAGGGGCTTGTCGGCGGGAATAGCCGTGACTGCCTCCAGCAAGGCACTATCGAGGATGGAGGTTGTCAGTTTGAGCGGCGATCCGCTCTCTTGAAGCTCTTGGCTGGCGTCCGGCAGGAAGGTAAGCTTGTGTCCATGAGTATCAACTACTCTCTCTGGGTCGACTGTGATCCGGAAAATATGGCTGAGGGTTCGATCCGAAAAGTCATCCAACGACTCCTCCACATTTGCCTTCTTTGCGGGAGCAGGTGCGGCTGCGCGGTCGGAGGCAATTCGCTTGTTACTATCGGTATTGTTCGATACAGCTGGCGACGATGCACCACTGCCGGACTTAACACCTAGCTGGGTGAAGGGATTCGAGGCGGCAGGCTTCGGTGTAGATGAGGGTGTTGGGCTGGCCGGGGCCTTGGGAGTCTTGACTTCGCTCGTTGCGGAGTTTGATGTCTCGGCGTCTGCTGACGATTCTCCTTCCGGCTTTGGGGATCTAGTCGAGGAGCCAAGCTTGGCGAGCCGTCGAAGTCGGATCTAAATAGACTGGTCAGATTATTTCGCATAGAATCGAACGATGACATCAAGATCCATGGCAGCTGTTGCCCTCATGTGGCCCCAGTGACATGTTTGTCGATTGCGCTCGTCACAACGGATTCTCTGCTCGGTTATCCGCGTCGTCATCGTGTGCGTAGGCCGAATAGAACGGCGGAAAGGCGAGGGCGACCGGCGAAAGCATTTTGTGCCAGACCAGAAGTTTATGGACAGGCGTGAGGGCAGTGTGGGAATCGTTGAGGTTCGAGAGTAGGAGCACTAGGAGGAGGAAGATGAGAGGACGAGGGGCAGACAGCTCTTACATCGTTCATCTTCTTGACGTCAGGCGCATCGGGCGCTTGGTTGCCCTCATTTGGATCCATGGCGGGCGGTATCGATGCTTTTGAGCGACGGTCGTAGTGAAGCAATCCGTTTTTATCGAGACTGGCAAAGGTGCAAGGTTGAAGTCCCCGATTGAAGGTGGGTTCGCTGGACGTTAACGTACAGGGCCTCGCGAGTTGAGGTTAGGAAGGTACTACAGTACCTAACTGCGTCGGTGGGCAAGCGCCAGGTACGGACGGCCATGTTGGTGGGGAAGCAAGCCAAGAAGGCGGTCAATGTGGGGCGACGGCGGACCTGTGAGGTACCATGGATGAGTCCCTGAGGCTGTTAAGTCCGACTCCGATAAGCGGAAAGACCCACCAAGGATCTCAAAGTCCGCCGCCGTGGGGATGGGTCGATTACTAAGCTTAGGCTTTCCTACTCACCTCAGGTTTTTGGTTCCAAGAGATTCGACACGAGAGGAACAGAGTAGGCATCAATGATTCATGAATTGTAGCTTTTTCGTGTTCAGCCGACCATTTGAATCGCATCATTTATCTTAGGCATCAAGAATTTCCAAATATCCTTATGTAGTCAGTAATATGGGGGGATGCCACCAAAGGAACAGCAACAAAGCACAGGATGGAAGCTGGTGCAGACTGCCTTTGCGCTGCAGGCCGAAGGTCGAATGGGCTCAGAAGACCCCTAAGACCCTTGTTTTGATGAATCTCTCCTTCGAAATGAAGCTACTGAGGCTTCAGATGAACGGGGTGAAACCTACGTCATTGGTGTGGCGATGGAACCCTTGGAATCTACCCGTCTAAGTTTTGCTTCAAACATGTGGACCTGGGTCCTGTAAATGTGCTTGCTTCATTTGGAGGGCTAGCCAAAACCTTGAGCTTTAGCCATTGTGGATGTTGACGAGCCCAGGTTAGTTCAAACTTGGGACAGTAGAGAGAGCATTGCAAAGCTGCCTCCTTGTGTCAATTAGACTAGATACGAGACCAATTTTGTGTAACTGGGTGTCTTGCTGAACTTGCAGACCTTCACAAGGGTATTTCCGTGCCTTTCCATTTCGCGTTTCGTTCCATTGTCCCCGTTTGTCCTCAACGCCAGAAAAATCAACAATTTTAGTAGTACAGTCAGACCAAAGTCTGGACAAGGTACGGGGCCCATCTTGGTCGAGGTGAAGATGTGAAGTGAGTAGAACGGAGGCTGCGTTGCATCCGTTCTTGCTCATATCTTGTATCAGCCAAGATCTACCCCTCGCAGCCATCCAAGGTTGCCCTTAGTCTCACTTGTATATGCAAAGATTTCCAAGGACTGAGCATGGTTATCAAAGCGCAGTCCAGGACAGGCATCTCAAAGGCGGGGGATGCCATTTGACCCATCGCTCAGCCGTCGGGACGTACTCGGAGTAGTAGCCTCCCCATCGCTGTCAGAGCTGCCCCTCGTTCGGCTGGTGCTACCAACGCTACGGTTGGCCATCCGGCTGCGCTCGACTTCCTCTCGGCTCTTGTTCATGAGCCATGCCATATGCATCTTGAGAATGCCCAGGTTGCTCCTGATCTCGGTGATCTGATCCTTAATCGGCATGACCTGGTTCAGGACCATCACTGTCTGACGGCCCTCAAGGTCTGTGAACTCTTTCTTGAGCTCCTCCATGCGACGTTCCATGTCTTCGTAAATGGTCATGACGGCCTCTGTGGGTTTGAACTTTGGTCCGCCTTGGACGTTGTTGAGGTTGAACACGTCGTCCCAGGAGATGCAGTCCCGTCGCTCGTCCTTCATCGCCATGATCTGTCGCTCCTGGTCTTCCGTCTGCTTCTGCAGTTTTTCGATTTGTTTCTCTTGTGATTTGACCTTTTCTCCAACGACAGCAACCACCCTGAAGATACACTCGTCTTGATGAGTTGCTAGTGTCTTGCGAAGTGCCTCGTGCTTGCAACCAAAGTCATGGTATGTGCAAGGGACCGAGGTTTCCGGGCAATGGTCGTCGCGATGTTGTCCCAACTCGGAGAGCTTGATGGTCTCTCCACACTTGGTACAGTCTGTCGTATTTTTCGGGCAAACTTTGTTGATGTGGTCGGCCATCGACGCGGCTTCCATTTTCTCTTCGCAGTATTCGCACGTCTGCTCAAAGTGCCAGCACTTGCCAGACACGGCCAACCACTGTTCTACCCTCTTATCACATGTCTTCTCGGGGCAGTCGTGCAGCGTATATCTGCAACTGATTGTGTGCTTGACGACCTCATCGCGCTTCATCTTTTCGCTGCATCCTCGCTCTGTATTGGGGCATTCGACTACCAGGCTGTCGAGGATGTTCGTCAAAAGTCTCGACGTCTTGCAGTCCCTCGCTCGAAATCTTGTCCGGTCGATGGGACAGGTATCGGATGAGAGAATATGGCGCTTCAGGCATTCCAGGCAAAAGGTGTGGTCGCAGGGCGTGATAATCGGCGTAATGACGGGCAGCTTGCAGATTGGGCAAAGTAGGTTATCGTCGGGTTCTTCGACATAGTTAAGGGCGGAGAAGTCGAGAAGATCCTTGACGTGACTAGGACTGATGGAGTATCGAAGAGCCTCCCGGGTCGCAAGTTCTTCGACAGGCCACTGGGTAGGAGTTCGTGCTGTTTGTCTAGGTGTTAGCTAATTGGACCCGGAGCTAATGACCCGGAGCTAGATCCGGGTGATTTCCATCAACTCACGCGTTAGAGGGATCGGGACTTCCTCGACGGAGCGCACGGCATTCTCGACGAGGTTGTGTACGAGATGGGTGATGGCCGCGTCTTCGTTGGGGAAGTCTTGATGCGACATGATGAAGGTCTCTCCTCTCGTTATCGACTGAGGCACGCTTGTTGTAGCAGAGAGGATTACGAGATGTCCAGGAGGACCATGTTTGGGGCCAAAGCAGCAAGGAGTGAGGGGGGACGAGCTGCGGTGTTTTCCTCGTGAAGTGGTTCGGGTGGTGACGGAGGTAGGGGATCTGCTGCGGTTGTGGATAACCTCTGGTGGCGCAGAGGGCGATACTCCGGGGGCAGGCGCGGGTGAAGAAAGTGGAGGTTCGAGAGATCCAGTTGAGGCCCAATCTCCAATCCAAATAGACTCTGAGGGAAGCACTGGAGGCTCTCGGCAACAGGTGGGAGGGTGACGTGACTCGAGCCGAGGGTCCATGTCCCCGATAAGCCGATAACGCTCAGGAAACGGCCGCTAAAACGCCGTGTCACTAAGCTTCGCACGGCTGAGAAGCACAGTCCCCGCCCATGGCATTGTCTGCCGAATTGCATGTGCTCGCTTTGGCCGATTGCTTTCTTTTGGTAATGAATAAGATGCTTCGTACATGGAGAAATGCAGATACCCATGTTCCCGTTCCCGATGATGACGTCGATTAAGGCCATCTTACTTTAAGTCGAGCCAACATCGCAAAGATGAAATCCCATTCTCACTACTGGGCCGTCGACTCCATGGCTCCACAGCTCAACTAAGAACGTGAGGGCAAGCATGGGCCTTTCATTCACAAGGTATCTAGCTCGATGAGTGAGAGCCTAGGTACTGGCAAATCCACTTCTCGGAAATATTGATTGTATTGAAACCAAAATCCAAGCCCGATAACATTCCAGATGTCAAATTACCAACCTTGCCAACAAAGCCAGTCATCTACAGACTAGGAGCCCATGTTTCTCCTCCTCTCCAATCTCCACCAGCAAGTACCTCTGGCGTGCGTCTGTAGGCGTCCGGCAAGATCCCCTCAAGAACTCCCTTGATCTGCAAAGCAATCACCTTTGAAAACCACCGATGCTGAGCCGTACCACCAGCAAACATCCAGAGGTTGTCGACTCCAGGGTGCCTCTTCCAAAGCCCACGAATCTCGCCCTGGGCGTCCACACCCCAAGTAGGCTCGAGCCGTCTCGCAATGTCCTCGGCTCCGATTCCCAGGGTATCTGGGAGATTCTTTCGGCCATCAACATTTCCGAAGCCAATGCACCAGACTATGGCATCTGCCTGCAGATTGCTACCATCGGATAACACTAGACCGTTGTCGGTGTAGGACTTGGGCACAACCCCGGACCGAACACCGACCTTTCTCGTCGTGATGAGCTCCATGCCGCTGCCCATGTCTACAAAGTGCCCTCCGCAACGCTCGATGAGGTTCACGAGCAGGTCGCCAGTCAGGGAGTCTTGCACGCGGAACCCTGCTCTCCTGGCCTCTGCGTATCGATCCCTGAGTAGTGAAGGTCAGCAAGGGGATAGGATTACGGTTCCGGGTGCTATACGTACGGCTCTTCTTGGGCTAGCATCGCGTGGACCAAACCCAGGAGGGCCCCGCCAATAGCCAGCGGGCCTCCGTTCACAATCACGTCCGCGTCGTCAGGGGCTAAGATGTCGTAGACCCCAAAGCCCATCGGGTGAGCAAAGTACGTCATGGGAACGACGTACGTCTCTGATCGCTGCACCATAGTGGTCTTGAGACCTGAATCGTGACAGTCGACCAAGACATCGAATGCAGTGTTCCCAGAGCCGATGATGGCTACGGACTTCAACGGAGGGGAGAAGGCATTAGCAGCGCGACGAGACTTTCTCATCCAACCCCCGGAGATACTTGTTGTCATCACTCACCTTCGCCCCCGCTGCAACCAGGTCGCTAGCATTTCGATACGATGCTGAGTGTATGTTGGGCCCCTTGAATGATTCTCGGCCCGGAAGATCTGGCAGAGGCGCGGGTCCCGCGAAGCCGGCGCCGCCCGTAGCGAGGACCATGCATGTGCAAGATAGGGTGCGTCGAAGATCCCCCGTCTGTATCTCAACATTCCATATCTTGCTCTCTTGATTGTACCGGGTTGCAGTAATTGTCGTACGGTGTAGAACGCGGCGGTCTAGGTCGAACTCCTTTGCGAAAGCGACCATTTGGTCGGCTAGTTGGTCACGTGTGAGACCATCATTGGAAGCCTGGGGATACGCTGATCCAAACTGTTAGGAACGGTTTGAGGGCCCCTTTGTTACCTCATGGCTACAAGATTGAAATAGGAGATTCTTCCCTTGAAGGAAGAAAGCAACGACGGCGGCGCGCGAATCGCCCTAGGGTTAGGGTTACGATTGTACTCTCTCCTGGCCCCGTGCCCATTCCATGATGTGCGGATGAACAAAAAGGCTATTCTGGCCTCTAAGAGCTCGGTAGTACTCACGAATGTATGGGGTCTCGCAGAACGACTTGTAAACGTGGAAGCGCATACAGTCGTATCTGGTCGCCCAATTGTCCCCCACCCTTGCATTCCGGTCGACCACGACGTAGTCGATGTTCAAGGCCTTCAATCGAGCGGCAAGGATCAAGCCTCTGTAAGGAACAATGTCAAATGCAGGTAGGTTTTCGGAAGGCGCTTACAGACTTACCCATTGCCGCCGCCGACAACCAGCACACTTGTAGAGATATGGCTGTCGTCCGTCACAGGAGTCGAAGGGACTCGGAGCAGACCCTCATCCTCGGGGAAGTCTTCGTACTCGGACAGGTATGTGCTCATGGACCAAATCTTCCATTTATTGTCGCCTGAGTCCCGGCCGCCAGGGATAAGCATCATCTTTCCTCGGCAGGATGCCTTGGGAGAACCAGTCAGGAAGATAAATTCGCAGTCGAGCCATTTCTAAATGGGGCTTCATCAGCATCGGGGTAGAGACCAAAGGTTTACTTCTTTCCCCGTACTGACAAGTTCTGTGGTGGCCGATAAAACCTGGGCCCTCTCAAATTGGAAGCTCTGGGCCTTGCGAAGAGCGAAGAGTTCTAGCAAAGCCAATGCAATGACACCTTTGCCATTGAAGGTTCTGATATGAGCTGTGAAAGACAGTGTATCTTTCCAGTGACTGGAAGGTTCGGCGAAGAAGGCTTCAATGGCGTGGTGCTGCCCCTGCTGAAGGGCCTTTGACAGGCCCGATACTATGTCGTTTGCGATCTCATCGGCATCGATGGTGTCCCAATTATCTAGTAACTCTGCTGTATTTGGGAGCGTCTCGTAAATGTCCTTCCTGATGTCGACCTTGGGAGGGTTATCTGGTAGCTCCATAATGGAGTCTAACACTGTGTGCTTTCGTCCTGCGGTTCTAGTTGAAGTTTTGACGCCAGGCTTGCAACCCGAGGCATGGCAGCGGGAGGGGCAACATGACATTTCTTATGTGACATTCTTCCATAAAGGATGAAACCCCGAGTGTACATGTGTGCTCTCCTAGTACCACGGACGTTCTTGCCGCAACCTGCAGGTCATGTTGACTGGCATTTTCGGAAGAGCATTCGGGATATGCGGGTGCCAACGAGGCTTGGGGAAGGCCGTAAGCAGATTCCTTCGTGGTAGAAAGTTTTAGTAGCTTGCTCACAAGGCATATGGGATTTCGGGGGGAAGTGCAGCATTCTGCTAACAACCAAGCAGAAGGTTGACATTCGCAGAAAATGGCGTACACTTGGCTTGCAGATGCATAGGGACGGTGTCCGTGATGATACGCTGACGCAAGATGTGCCCCAAAGCAGTAAAATGATAGGACGAAAAGGCCGATGTATCTGACGAGCGTCTGCTGTACGCTCAACCATTTCATCCTTGGGCAATCGTTGTGTTCCTCGAGGATGTTATTAGTGCTTACCCTACTAGTATGTTGTGAAACTAGCCGATTCGTAGGAGCGACAGCATTTCTTCTGGTTGAACGGGCATTGTGGGGAAGTATGCAGCCCTGATTCTTGAGGTAGTAATCCTACTTGCTAGAGGATAAAAGAAAAATCCAGTACTGGAGTAAACTTTGCCATGCCGTGCTATCTACCATTGTCTCTTCGCATAAAGCTCCTCGATCGAGCGTGAACGTGCAGCAAAGTATTAGTATTTTGTGACCACTTAGCGATAGTTGCTCGAAAGAAAGAAGGCAGTTGTATACGTTTTGTGCCTGATCGATTTGGCTCATCCAAGTGTAGTACCTGTGTTATCGTAGTAACCAATTGAAACTAGGCACAGGCTTGTATACCTTGCGATCTATGAGTTTCCGTGATACCTTGATGCCTTGCGGATTGGATTACACGATTAAGGCTGACTTTCCCTTCCTTAGTTCCGGTGGTATATGCTACTCTTTCCCACTTCTTATGGAAAACTCGGGTGTTTCGTGCCCAAAGACTGGCATGGCCGACGTTGATATCAAGATGAAGTTAGCAGCAATAGGTAGAGTGGCAGATTAGATAAAGCACAACGATAAAGCTCTCCATCGGCCGGTTCCAGGCGCCAAGCTGCTTGTGACACCCCGCGACGCCCGGGATACCCTTGTTGACGAACACGAACGGTGGCGCAGCAGCTCCCCCTGGCTGTTTGCTCCAGAGGATGAACGAATGGACGAATAGCACAACGTCATCTCATCACAGGGGCGGCGGTACGGCCAGACAACTTCCCCAAACGGCACCCAGCAAGACCAGCTCGCCCGGCCTTTTCGCTCCGCCGGTTACGAAAACCTCTAGGCAACCAGGTAACGACCTATGTTTGTCTTCCTTCATACGCATAGTCTGTACTCTCCGCACAACTCGTCAGCTCCAACCTGAGGCGAACAACAAGTAACCCCCTCCCCCGCAGCTCCGCAGCTGAGCTTATCTTAGCTCCCTTCAGCTCTCCAACCCCATCGTCTCACCCCAAGTCTTCATCTCCAACAGCTTCCTCGGATCTTCCATCCGTACCTTCGTCACATCCCACAACATACAAACCACCCATCGCAGCTCATCGGAAGCCGGACGGCCAAGTGACAAGATGCCTCCATTCCCCATGCCCCCCCACGATATCTGGAGCCAGGACGCCTTCCAGCACTCGTCCTATAACCCGACCCCGATCCCCCGTAGGCCCCACCCCCAACCCCAGCCTGGCGCAAGCAACAGCAGCAGCAGCACCCGCGTCAACGTCAACACCCGGTCTTCAGAACCTGGCCCCAGTGATGCCGTCACAAAGGAGTTCTTCAAGCACTCGAGCGCCAAACGCGTCAACACCGACGCCCTCATCTCAAAGGCCCTCAAGGAACAGTACCCTCACCTCGAACTCGTCGTCGTCCCTGAGTCCCTCGGTTATGGCAACGGCTGCAACCTCCTCGCCTACGCCCAAGGTGGCCACGCCACGTTCGAGGTCATTGACGACAAGGATGGCAGCAACCTACCCTCGTCCCTCGAATGGCTGCTGTACCTGCCCCCCTCCCGGCGCATGGACGGCAACCTCGGCGGTCTGGCTACGATTACCAGCTTCGGCAAGTACCTGTACAAATGGCAGGGTCACGAGTTCATCGTCTACCTCGTCGATGGACGCGACGGCGTCATGCCGTACCCGATCAAGAACTACTACGTCCTCGCGCCGCAGACCTACCACGTCGATCAGCTCGTTCTGGCCGCAGGCAAGTGGAGCAGCGACCTCCACGAAGAGGTGTGGGTGTTTGATCAGGGGTACTGGCAAAAGAGCCACGAGCTGTTCAAGAGCTTCCGCGATGCTTCGTGGGAAAACGTCATCCTGGACGCGGACATGAAGAAGGCGCTCATCGAGGATCACCTATCCTTCTACAACTCGAAGGAGACGTACCAAAACCTAAAGGTGCCGTGGAAGCGCGGTCTCATCTACTATGGGCCGCCGGGCAACGGCAAAACCATCTCCATCAAGGCCACAATGAACATGCTATTCCAGAAGGACATTACGACTCTCTACGTGCGCACGCTGGCTTCCTTCATGGGACCAGAGTACTCTATCCAGCAGATCTTCGGCAAGGCTAGAGAGTACGCGCCCTGCTACCTCGTATTGGAGGATCTCGACACAATTGTCTCCGATGACGTCAGAAGCTATTTCCTGAACGAGATGGACGGCCTCAAAGCCAACGACGGGATCTTCATCATTGGCAGTACCAACCATCTCGACCGCCTTGATCCAGGCATCTCTGTAAGTTTTTCACCATCGCGAGGCGAAGCGGTGTATCCACAAGGTCTACAGGGCTAACACGCAACAGAAACGCCCATCCCGCTTCGATAGGAAATACTTCTTCCCCGACCCCAACCTAGAGCAGCGCATCGCCTACTGCCACTTCTGGCAAAACAAGCTCAAGAGCAACAAAGAAATCGACTTCCCCGACCAGCTCTGTGAGGCTATCGCCAAGATTACGGACAAGTTTAGCTTTGCCTACATCCAAGAGGCCTTTGTGGCGGCCCTGCTTGCTATTGCGCGACGCTCGGACCACCGCGGTAGCAGGAAGCGAGACAGCATCGAGGCTTTGACGGAACAGCTTGAGGATGACTGGCTTGGTGTTGTCGATGATGCTGAGGATGACGGTGACTTGAAGAAGTTGACGTTGTGGGTTGAGATTAAGAAGCAGATTGAGATTCTGAGGGATGGTATGGAGGAGAAGAACTAAGGTTTGCGTCGGTTACTATCCCAGGACTGCATATGGACGGGACACGGCTTTGCATTGATCGAAGTGTACGATAACAGCATGCTTCGTAATGATTTGAACGATATCGAAGAGTTCCTAGGTTGTGTCTGTGAGTGACACTGGTGCCGATGCAGAAGTCGAAGTTGCAGGAGCCGTGCTAATAGCAGCTGGCCCACCACGCAGTCGATCGGCTGCCTGGGTGAAGAACGAGTCAATCCGAAGAGTGACAGGAAGGAGGAGCAACTCTGAGATCGAGTCGATGTGTCGATTCAGCCGCTGCAGGGTGTCGTGAAAGCTCTCCAGTAAGTTGAAGGCCGACGTGACGTCTCCTGGCTCAGTTGCCAGCACAAATAAGTAGGTGATGAAGTTGCCGCAGAGTATGAATTGAGATCGGGCGTCTAGGCATGGCTTAGATGTCGGCACACATTTTCGCAACTCTATGGGGATAAGGGTATGGGCAAAACAGAACGGAGACGTACGGCAGCCCCAAAAGCCTTGTAGGTCCCCAGAAGTTAGTTCACTCATGAACATCGTGAAGCTAGCAAAGTCGGAGAGTGCCGTGCCAAACCACAGGCGAAGATTAGATGATGGCATTGCCTTGGAAACCTTGGTAGCTGGGTTCATGAGAGCGCGGTAAAGAAGCGCCAAGTGGGCGTAATACGCTAGATGTAGGGGCGCTGCTCCTGTCAGATCTAAATCTTCGCCGGGAAATCTTTGAAAACATACCGTTGTTGGATATATCTGGCGCCTTACCGGGATGAGGTATTGAAAGACATTGCGGCAGTAGTGTCGACCAGTTGTGAAGCTCTCCCTGGAGCAAGACCAGACGCCCTCGATTCTCCATTTCTAACTTCTGTGAGTATGGAGGGGAAAGCCTAGTTACCTGACTGAGCCAACCATTAGTCCTCTATCCTCGGTGTCCAAAGAGGTTTCTGGAACAGAAGGTACTTACAAACTGCAGTCAATTACTTCTCGCAAGGTCTGGCTCACCTTTACCAACTCCAGAAACCGCGCTCCAGAAGCAACATCAAATCCTACATTACACGGATAAACCAGCGATTTCAAGTCCTCAGGAACGCTCTCATCGGATCGCAAATCTTCCATAGCAATGGATGACGTGTTGAAAGAGGTAGGATAGATATGCGGTGGGTTTCCGTGGCATAGTGCCGACCATACGTCAGTCACATACGTAGCCCACCAAAGCTTCCTTCGCAGCCTCTTCTCCCACGCCGGGATATACCACTTCTCAGCGTCCTGGTGTAGCCCGGTCATCTGGGCAGCGGCTACGGCCTGCGCTGTCGATGTCCAGGTTCTGGGATGCGCGATACTGTCTGTCCTGTTGGGCGTCATGTGAAGGAGGAGCAGGGATGCTTGGAGCTTGGCCAATTTTGGTGAGTCGAATTCTCTTTGCAAAGAGCCTGTGGCTAGGTCGGCGAGCTCATGCTGTTGGAAATGAAGGGAACCTTGTAGCGACGGCTCAGACTTCCAAAAGACTGAGGCTAGTGCGTATACTGCCCCGCGGAGGGAGGCGGGAAGCTTTGATTTGTCGTCGGTGTATTGTCTTAGAAAGCTGACCTTCGACAGAACAAGCAATACCGGGTGAATATGTCTGAAATATAGACGTACGAGCGTAGGACCGTGAGGCTCAACCAGTTCCTCTATCGCACGAGAGGCTTCTTCCCGGGCCATGTTGTCGTGGGCTGTGAACTCGTCCTGTAGGAGACAGAAGTGAACCGGAGGATCCCACGGGTATCCGCCCCCTTTGTAGACCTGAATGAACTCTGCGTCGATTTGATTGGGCCCGCTGAGAACGTCTGAGCGGAAGGAAGCAAGGAAGTGGGTGTCTTGTTCAGCTGCCGGGCCCATGCTGTGTGCTGTCCTATTCTCGTGATCTTCTAGTGTCTGCAGGTAGGGTGCTGGGATTACTTCGATTGGGTCACTACGAGTCGAAAGGCTTATGTTATTTGACGTTATCCTCGGAGATTCCGAGTTACTGGAAGGCCCATCTTGCGCTGCATCTTGAGGGGCTGATGCGGATGCGAACGAAGATGCAGATGGAGCCGACCCAGAGGCAACACTATCCGAAGCCGATGACCTGCATTTAATGCCTCTCCCCTTGCAGAAAAGGCCTGTACCCCATTAATCACGCATCTTGAAGGCACATGGACCTGGGAACCCACACGACTTACAAGGTGGTGTAGAGGTGATAACACACGCCGTCTTTCTCTTACGGCATGCGTCACAAGGGCGATTCTTTCGGCTTCTCGGTTGTCTTGCCTGGCCGAACTCGCTCGGCACTTTGAACCTGCGTCTTTGGGAAGACTTCTTGATATCATTAGGCATGGTGTCGATCGGAATTCCAATTCCATCGAGGGGTCGTGATAAGGTTGGTCGATGGCGGTTGGTGTTGTGGAAGGGAAGTTGGCCGATACAGTTGGCCGATGCCGATACCGCCTGTGCGCATTTTGGTCATCAATGTTAGTGGCTTACATGCGGGACCTGTCACTGCGACGCTAGGGCGGGGTGATAACATGCTCCGCCGGTCAACACTTCACAAGGGTTCAACCCCCTTTCTCATATTACAACTGCGATCCTCATTCTTGCTGTCGTTTTGATCACGATCTATATCAAAATAACACTTACGGTTTCATCATTATGAAACCCTTAGTACGTATTTCAGGGACTTTACCGGGTCAAGATGGCTCGATAGCTCGATAGGGACTGCAGCAGTGACAGAAATAGAGATAGATGTAGATAGCGAAAATGATAATGAGAGTATGTGTACTATAGTATCTATACATTCTCTTTGAAGGGTGTGGCGGAGTTTGCTGGCTTGCCTCCATGCCCAGAAAGCACTTCAAGAAGTTCAGGAGTCTCGGCTAGCGTCACATCCCACCTGCTTTGTTGCATTTGTTGGAGTTCACGGGCCGAGGGCGCATCTTTAATAAAAGCATCTAGACTTCTCGCCGGTAAAAGCCAATGTAGCAAGGCGTACACCAAGCCGCTCGAAAGCAGTCCATAGACATACGACATGGAGTACAGCTCCGTGGCGCCCTCGCTGACAGTTACTGACGCGTCGACGGCGGCGATAAAGCCAGGCATGCAGGGTATCACACCAACAAGCCACTGAAGAGCGAGTCAACAAAAATTCTAGTCAGGTAAAGATGGAAGGGAGTAACTCACTGCCACCGGTGCTCGCCAATTGCAACCGTATGAGAACCAGTAGATGCTCCCTGAATCGCCGCGGTACAAGTGGTCCACGTTCACCTTGCTCTTGTTGACAATAAAGTAGCTAGATATCATCAGTCCCGTCATCGGAGCCAAGAAGACACTATAACTCGAAAGGACAGTGAGGAAAATCGTTGCAGTGTTGACGAGACGCCACGGGTTGACGACTACGCTGAAAATCGCGGTGATGTAGGCGCCACGACGGATGTTCAAGTACTTGGGAAACGTCGCAGCCAGGTCAAAGCCGCCTGCTAGCGCGTTTCCGGGTACATTGACTCCGATCTGGGATATTACGAGACAAAGACCCGCGAAGAAACACGCCGCCCGCGTCCCAGCCGTCTCGTCCTGGGCCAGCAGCTGAGCAAAGAGCGTAGGCGGGTTCCAAATGGCCTCGCCACCAAATCGCTCCTGGGTCGCTGCGGTGACGAGGATACCAATCAGAGAGCTGAAAATGCTATAAAAAGGGAACGAAATAGCTTGGCCTACGATGGCGTGCCTGGGCTGCGAAGCGAAGCGAGAATAGTCGTTTTGGTTCAGGATACCCGCTGCGATGGAACCGATTGTTGATACGATGCCGTAGATCATCAGCCAAGCCACACTGTCCGGTCCTCCTGTGTTGGGCAGGGCTGACCCTGAGGTGATAGTATCACCAAAGCCTGAGGCTCCCATGGTAGTGAGAGCCCATATGAGGAGCACAACGAAGAAGGCAAGGGTTATGGAGCAGGCAAAGTGGAAGAACTTCTCGAGACGGTGAGGACGGATCCAGACGACTGGGAGAGAAATGACGCTGAAGATGATGTACGAGACGAATTGCGCAGTTGTCATACCCGTGTCCGCTGGCATGCTGTTGGGAATGTGGGATTCAAGCTTTGGGTCCCAGGAAAGAAGGATCACATAGATGCACTCTCCTCCGACCCAGGCAGTGAAACCATACCTATGTATAATGTGTTAGTACAGATCAACATGTCGGCAATGTTGATATCATGGGTACTACGAACCAGACTAGAGACAGGCAGTATGAGTTTATGATCTATTATGTGACGTGATTGTATGACGAGTAGGGAAACTTACCAAGGGACAGAAAGATGCGATTCCAAATGACGAATTGTGATCCCCACATTCCCCATACCGCTCGACTGAATACAGGAAAGCCAACTAGGTAGAATCAGCAACCAAGAAAGCCTGCTGTAAGTTGCACTTTGTAAACGTACTATGATAGTAGCTGCCCGGAAGTGAGTTGATAATTACGACGGCGGTGGCAATAAGATTGCCAAGAATGATACCTTGAAACACGTTAAACAGAGCTGAGGAAAAGCGGAAGATGAATCAGACTCACATATGAAGGCCTGCCACCAAGTCAAACCTAGAGGGATGAGGGCACTGCCGGTCAAGTAGGTGGTGACATTGCAGTTGACCAAGAGCCCTTGCAATCGGTTAGCAAAGAGGACCTAGTACATATAAGACTTCACGCACAAAAGTTGTGAAACGTCAAGAAGCCCCAGGTACGTCTTTGAGCCTCAATAGGTCGAATGTCATCGTTCTGTCGAATGTTGCGTTAGTGTTATCTTGACTAGCGACCCTCCCCTAACAGCCGACGACATTAACGATGTGCGGAGGTGGGCCGAATTTACGTACAATCCAGCGGGAAACATGGGGGAGTTCCACCCGCTTCAAGGCGGCTTGCAACCCCATTGTTTCCTTCGATGTTGGTTATTCTAGAGCAAGCGAATGAAACGATATTGCAAAGAGTTGTAGACGAATGGGTCACTGTCTATTCGAGTCCTTTCGCTTCGGGCATAAGTGCGGCACGAGACATGTATGATTTGAAGAGGAGTGCCGTGGAAGATATAAATGTTGGTCCATGGTGGTGTTATCTCGGCACTCTGCAGTCATTCCACGTTGCGCTAACAAGGATACTTATCACTCTCTGGAGCGTTTTCGGGATTTCTACTTGGTGTTATCTCAATTCAGGGAGAAGAGCACAGGGCCTCGGCTGGGGATGACCCTTGTCCAAGCTGAAGTTGGCCGATCGATCGGCCAACTTGGAGGCCATGGACCCCTCAAGCGGGGCTTCCCCGGTGATTGTATGCCTCCACTTACATGGACACCAGTAGTTGATCTAAACTCTTTGATCATTCAATGTTTCGTCGGTGTTGTTGTCGGCCAACTTCTTATCGAAGCCACTATTTGCTAAGACTGTCTTAGTCAAACCTCCTTTGTTAAGAGCTTGCCATCCGCCAACCACCATAAGAAGAGAAAGATAGAGCAAGTAGTTTACTACGGGACGGAACCACACCAAATATTCCCCGTCAACCTCACCCCTCATTCATTACACCATACCAGAGTTCATCAATCATGGCTCTTTACCGTATAGGTGTCGACGTAGGTGGCACAAACACCGACGCCGCTATCCTCGACATCACGGCCACAGACACGCCTGGCCGCGGTGTCCTGGCTTCCCACAAGGCCTCAACTACACCAGACATTACCACCGGCATAGAAGCTGCAATCCGTGCTGTCGCTCAGAGCTCAGAAATCGACCAGAAGCGAGTCCTGAGTGTAACTATAGGCACAACGCACTTCATCAACGCTCTTATTGAGGCTGACAAGCGACGGCTTAGCAAGGTCGCTGTCGTCCGTCTTTGTGGACCATTTACAAGACAAATCCCCCCATTTTCGGACTTTCCCTCTGACCTCCATCGTATTCTAGATGGTGGAGTCTACTATCTCGATGGAGGACTGGAGATTGATGGTCGGGAGATCGCGCCGCTCGACCACGAGCAGATTCGCCAAACAGCAAGAGACATCGTCGCGTCTGGGGTGAGATCAGTTGCCCTTGTTGGTATCTTCTCACCGCTGGATCACTCCGGCCTGCACGAAGAAACTTGTAAAAGAGTCATGCTGGAAGAAGTGCCAGATCTTGATGTGGTCTGCTCCCATGACATAGGCCCACCTGGTCTTTTGGAGCGAGAGAACGCGACAATTCTCAATGCCGCCATTCTCAGAACAGCACACAAGGTCACCCGAGGTTTTAAAACCGCAATGGCACGGCTGAAGCTCGCCTGTCCACTCTATCTATCGCAGAACGATGGCACACTTATTAACGCTGATACGGCTGCCGAGTTTCCCATCAAGACCTTCGCTAGCGGTCCGACAAATAGCATGACTGGAGCGGCTTTCCTCGCCGGACTGGATCGAGCGAAGAGGACGACCACAGATTCTACCAAGATCTCAGAAAGGAAAGAGATGGAGCCTCAAGTGCTCGTCGTTGACATCGGCGGCACAACCACAGACGTATGCGCCTTGCTACCGTCTGGCTTCCCTCGACAAGCGCCCGGGTTCGTGGAAGTTGGGGGCGTGAGAACAGCATTCTCAATGCCCGAGGTCGTCTCAATCGGACTTGGTGGTGGTAGCAAAGTGAAGATGACCTCCGAATTCGGGGATGTCACGGTTGGTCCGGGGTCAGTTGGACACTTCCTCACTGAGCAGGCGAGGGTCTTTGGCGGTCTGACACTAACAGCAACGGATGTTGTGGTGGCTTCTGGGAAAGCGAGCCTGGGAGACGCGAGCCTCATTAAAGATATCCCAAGCTCAGTCCTCGAAAAGGCGCGGCAGAGAATCAAGAAGATGCTAGAGGGTGTTATCGAGCAGATGAAGGTCTCCGCTGCACCCGTGCACGTGCTTCTTGTGGGAGGCGGTGCCCTCCTTGTCACAGACAACCTCGAAGGCGTCGAGAAGTGTATTCAGCCTATTCACCAAGGCGCCGCTAATGCCGTTGGCGCTGCTATTGGCAAGGTTTCTGGCGAAGTGGACGTCATTGAGATCCTCGAGGGAAGAGACGAGAAGGCAGTTGTTGCAGCGACGTGCCAGAAGGCTATCGATCTAGCCATTCAAAAGGGTGCAGCTTCTACAGACGTCCACGTTGTCGAGGTGAACAAGATGCCGCTTCAATACGTCGACAATGGCGCCATGAGGATACAAGTCAGAGCTGTCGGCAAATTGAGCGTTCCCGGGGATCCCACTTCCTCGCCCGAGAGCATGACGCCAGTCGAAGAAGAGGATAAGGAGGCCGAGGCGCCAAAGAAGACTGTTTCGGACGCTCTAGAGCCTACCACCAAGCCCTCACTGCGGGTAGATCTCGAGACCTACCGGCCTGACGTTCAAGAAGGGGCGTGGTACGTCTCAGAGGTAGATCTGGAGATGATTTCAACAGGCTGTGGTGTACTAGGAACTGGCGGCGGGGGTCCAACCCACCACGAATTCTTGAAAAGCTTGCATGTCCTACGCAATAGCGAGCCAGGCAAGATGAGGATCATTTCACCTTCATCTCTCGCCGACACTGACACCGTATGCTTTGGCTCCTGGTACGGCACCCCGAGTGTCATCAACGAGAGAATTGCTGGTGGCTCTGAGATCCCCAGCGGTATCGATGCAGTGCGAAAGATCTTGGGAGATGTGCCTCTTCATGGGGTTTTCATCGACGAGATGTAAGTGGCAAATCTGAGGTCGGTTAAGCACGTTGACTGATGAAGAGCAGTGGTGGAGGCAATGGTCTCAGTGCATTTCCAACTGGAGTACATTATGATATACCGATCATCGATGGCGACGCGATGGGAAGAGCATACCCAACTATGTATCAAGGTAACAAGTGAAAGCCGCTGCAGAAGCCATGATCAGCTAACAAGGCGTCTTGAATAGCCACGCTGAGCGTCTATGGTCACCCGCTAACTCCCTGTGCTCTCTCTGACGCAAGGGGCAATGTGTGCGTTGTGATGGTAGGTTGCTTCTTCGAGCACAACCATTCTTCCATACTGACCTGGTTCAAAAATAGAGTTCTGATACGCCAGTTCGCCTGGAGCGATTCCTGCGTACGGCAGCAATTGAGCTCGGCCTCGGATGCGCCGTTTGCGCCAGGCCGCTTCCCGGCTCGGCCATAAAGTCCCACGGCGTCCCTAACACCCTATCACAAGCCTGGTATCTAGGTCGTGCAGTTCATATGGCACGGAAGAGGAAGTCTAGCTATGTCGATGCCATTGTAAGTAAATTGTCGCACGCGCCATTTGGCCCGGAGTAGAGACTACCCCTGAGAGGTCCAGGAGGAGTTTCTCTATGTTCCTGTTTCTCATGATGCTGTGCCGGATATCTTCGACTAACCCGCTCCCAGTTCGAAGTATGTGCTGGGAAACTTCTTTTTACAGGCAAGATCATCGATGTAAGGCGCTATGTGGGTGGTGGCTATACGATGGGCAGTGTCCTGATCGCCGCCCTTGCCGACGAAGAGAAAGACTCCGAAACGAAGAACACATCGTTTCCAGACCGGCATATGATCATACCGTTTCAGAACGAGTACCTTTACGCGGCTCTCACAGACGAAGAGGGTTCAGAAAGCGGCCAGCAAGAGGTGTTGTGTACAGTGCCGGATCTTATTTCGATTCTAGGCCAGGATGGAGAGGCTATCGGGTCTCAGGATCTCCGCTACGGCTTATGCGTGAATGTTATCGCGCTACCTGCTCACCCGCTCTGGAAGACGGAGAAGGGGATGCCCGTGGGAGGGCCTCAAGCCTTTGGGTTGAGCATGCCATTCATTGGGGTTGGAGAGTATACCGAACCCAGGAGTGTCATTGACGAGTACGGGGTGTAGGGAATTACAACACGTTGCCCGTGGAAGGTTCTTACGGCACGAGTTTACAACCAGTAATTGACACACAGTAATCAAGGATAACGATCAATCTCATGAAAAGCATGATGAACGGTTTATTGCATTGAGAGTGCCATCCTCTGCCTCACCACAGCGGACATGGTACCTATGTCGGCTACTTATGCTGATCCTCTGCAATGCCGTTTCCGTGTGTTCCATTAAATCTCCGAGTTCAGGACTTTCGCATCATTCAGAATGTGCTGAAAAGGGGCAGAAAGGGGTATTCGGGTAACTTGAAGGTCTCTACTGGCCAAAAGCGCGGTAGTGACACTCCGCAGACCTCTTGACTACGCTCTAAAGAGTGAAACAATTAGCCTTAAAATTCAAAGAATGACCTGAGATTACCGCGAGAATGGATTGTAAGAGTTTACCTCGCCTGTGGTGTTCTTGATGATCTTGCACCAAGGACCGTTGGCAATCTTGTTGCCCCATTGCTTCATGGACCATTCCTGAGTCAGACCACCAATATCCGACTTGAGCTCGTAGGGCTGATCACCACCCTTGAAGGAAATGGTCAACTTGGCACCCGAGTTGTCAGTGGTGACAAGCTCACGAGGAAGCTTGACAGGACCTCCGCCATTGCTGTCTCTGTTTGTAACAACGTTGACCTCCTTTCCATCCTCGATCTGGACAATACTGACTGTCGCAGTGTGATTCGAAGTGCCATCACCCAAAGCAATGTCCTGGGTGATGCGGGCGATGCGCCAGATCTCGGCCGTAGAGGTTGGAGCGGCGGCCGAGGGCATGACAGTCAGGGTGACACCGATGTCGTTGGTGACGGTGACTTCGGCAGTGGCGGTGACCCAGACGACAACCTTGCTCTTGGAAGAAGGAGAGTTGCTGACAGGGGAACCAGACATCAAGGACCGACCGGAAGACTGACCACCAGGGGACTGACTACCAAAAGGCCCAGACATCGAAACTTGACCAGAGGACTGACTACCAGGGGAGCCAGCTGAGGCAGACGCGGAAGCGGGAACGGAACCGGAAGCCGAAGCTGAGCCACTGGAAGCCGCGGCGGACGACTTTGCAGGAGCGGCGGGCATCGGGCATGACTCACTTCCATTCTCGTCACGCTTCAGCTCAGTGCCCGGGGGACACCAGGAGAACTCGTAGACCGGCCAGGTCTCCCAATAGACCTTGATGGTAGGCTTGCGGATCTGCGTGCCATCAGGAAGCACCTCCACGACATGGGCTGGATGATACTGCCACCAGATGAGGCCATAGGGTGGGACGTAGTTGTCCATCGGATAGTTCTCGTCCGCATTGGGCCAGTAACCAGGGCCTTTATGGTATCCCACATTGGTGAACTTGTCCGCGGGAAAGCCAAGGTGGTTGGAGACCCAGTCTTTCCATTGCTGGAGCCGCTCGGGATGTCTAGGCGGCAAGTAGTCGGGATAGTTCGGGGGTACAGGGTTGCTCCATTGTCCGCCAGTAAGTGGGTAGATGAAAATGACTTGGAGAGTGTCCTCGGGAATATTGTCGAAGATCGGGGTCGTCTCCTTGAGTTGCATGATTCCAGGATATGGTGTTTGGAACTGACCTCTGGTGCCGTCTTCAGGATCAGGCATCGGGTTGCCAGGTCTAGGAGGCGGAGGGTTTGTCAGTCTGTTAGGTCTGTTCGGCTGCAAGACAAATTCCCCGTCGCCAGGGCGATCACCTGAGCCGGTCTCTAGAAACTCGAGAACGCCCTCTCGGAACTCCTTATCAATGTCGTACTGCCCGAATCCTTGGTTCCAGAAGTTGGGAACCTCCCAGACGTGACTGGTGTAGATGCCTCTCTTCGTAATGATGATGATTCCGCTACAACCCCAGAGTGGTCCGGTACCTCCCATCATAGGCTGGTCTCCCCAGACATCGGCATGCATTGTAGAGTAACCGACCAGCTTCTTTGTGCCGTCAACGAAGTCCCCAAGAGGTCTCCAATGATCCAGACCATCGCAGTAGTGAGCCAAGTACTTCCAAGCGCGGTCAAACCAGTTTTGTTTACCCGCAGGCCAGGTCGCAAAGTTCGTGAGTCCGTCAGGTCCGCCGAGAATCTCAGGATCTGGCTTAGGATTCCACTCGACGAATTGGGAACGTTTCGAAAGCCCTGATCTCTTATCCTTGCAGTTCTGGCAGCTCGAGTCAACGCCGCCGCAGTAGCTCTCTGTTGAGGTTGCGGACACAGTTTTGATGGTCGTCGTTGTGGTAGTTTCAACCGTGGTGCTGCAGACTATAGAGGGTCTGCAGGTGGCCGTGTTACAACTGGTGGTGAAGCTTGTAGACGAGTCGGAACCGACAATAGGGCTGGCGGTACATCCCTGGTTGCAGTCGGGGTAGACGGTGGTGGTTGCTGTGCAGGAGGCTTCAGACGAGGAAGTGGGTGTCTCGGATGGCTCTGATTCATCGTCCTCGGGATCTTCGGGATCGGTAGGGTCATCCTTCCTGACTTTGCGAGGCTTACCCTTCGGCTTCTTGGGAGGCGGCTGGATGTCTTCATTAGCGGATGCGTCGAGAAAAACAAAGAGTCAACTAGAGGGATGGACATACCTTGGCCCAAGGGAAACCGAGCGGGCCCGGAAGATTGAGGGCTGGGAGATCGCAAAAGAGGAAAGGAATAAGGCACTTCGGATGACATAGAAGCTGTCCTCCGATGCAAGACCATGCGGGGAAGATTGTCGGCCAGGCCTGACCATCACGAGTCGTTGTCTTGGTGACCTCGGTAGACGTCCAAGTGAGCCATGTCCAAGGTTGGACACCTTCGGGCGGCTTGATCGTGGCAGTCAAGTAGAAAGTCGTGAGATCTCCACCCTCTGAAGAGGTAGAAGATGTGACCGTGGAACTAGGGCCATTCGATCCACTGCTCCCTGGAGCAGCAGTTGAGGTCGGCGTAGCAGAGTGCTGAGTAGAAGAGGCATGGTGTGTAGAGGACACGGTGCTCTTTTGTGTGCTGCCCGGGGATGCGTTGGTAGATTTGTCGTCATCATCATCGTTGCCCTTCTTTGTAGATGTCTTGGAATCGTCATCATCACCCTTCTTGGTTGACTTCCAATCTTCCTCGGTAGAAACGATGGGAACTAAGGTAGACTGCTGATCATTCTCTATCGTAGATACGGAAGTGGTCGTTGCGTGAGCGCTGCCACCGCTGGAAACAGATCCCGACATGGATGAAGTCTCAGCATCGTGATCAGTGCCAGAGGGAGATGTTTGAGGTACATCGGTGGTAGTAGTCACATCTGAGATTGAAGTCTCGATAGAGACAGAGCCACTGGAGATGCTGCTGGACGATTGAGATGGTCGGGGACTGATGGTCGACGCTGGGGAATGGTCAGGGCCTGTGGTGGCACCAGAGGTCTGGGCTGTACCACCTTCGGACAAAGATGTCTGCATCGAAGAGGTGGGGGCAATGTCACTTGAGCTACCATTCTGACTCTTCTGAGAGGTGGAGGGTGATTTGGTAAAGGGCTCAGGCAGATCGCGATTTCCGGTCTCAGTTGTTGTCGCTGCCGAGACAGTTGGCTGGTGACTCTGGAAGGAGGATTCAGAGGACAACAAAGACTCGACTGGACCAGCAATTGTAGAGTTCCAGTTCAGAACAGTCGACGAGGACCCATGATTGACCGCAGTCGTGTTCCAGTTGGTAAAGCTAGAAGAGGAAGCAGAGTGGACGATTGTAGAGTTCGAGGATTGAATCAGGCTGGTTCCAGAACCTCTAGTCGTGTTGAGGTAGTGGGAAGAGGACTGGGTGGTGACCAGGTCGGAACTGAAGGAATAAGAACCCTCAGAGGCGCCACAGGGAAGCGTGATGAGAATTGAGGTGGTCACGATGCGAGTGACAACGCGACCTTCTTGGAGTTCAGAGGTGGAGATAGAAAGACTGGTTCCGTCGGTGGGAGCGGTTGAGGCGAGTGATCCGGTGAGATCGTCTCGCTTCTTGTGGTCTAGACGGAGAGAGAAGATGGTTAGATGAATCCACATTGACGTGAGATTGATAATTCTTACCTCTGCCACGAGCCTGGCAGATATTGACCGCAAGAGCGAGGAGCAAGAGCGGGATGAGACGGTGGCACCAAGCCTTCAAAGAAGACTTGTGCTTGCCCATCGTAATAGGTTTCTCCTCTGTGTCGGTTAAGCCAGGGTCTCTTTCGATATCCGGCGCCGATGGAGTGAATTGAAAAGATGGATTGCCTGTGAAGAGAAGGGAGTTGTGGGTGAAGACAACTCAGAGTTGAGGGTGTGCGCGGGAAGAAGAAAAAGAAGGAAAAGCACAACAAAGAAAAGAGAAATCGGAAGGGAGTCAGGTTGCTCTTGTGGCAGGTCAATAAATCTGAAATTTGTGAATGGGCTCACAATTTAAGCAATATGTGGGCGGGCGGTCAAAAATCTCTTTGTTTTCCCAGTCCCTGGCTTGTCAGTGGTTGGGTCAAGACGAGAGCACGTGAGGGTGAGGTGAAGTAAGATGCCATGGAAATCGAGAGAAGGAACAGTTCGAGGTGAATAAAGACGGTGGCTGCTCCTCCGTTCATGATCGAAAAGCTCGCATGTATTCTATGTGAATACCCAGGTCTTCTGAGAGTGAGTTTGGCAACTGAGGTATTACTGAGGGCTCCCTGCTATAGCTCCCTGGGGTTAAGATTTTGACTCTGGCATCTCTTTTGTAAAGTAATGTAATGATACCACTGCTTCCACCCCGGGATCGCGATGTCCCATTGGCCGTGAATGTGGTATAAAGCTATAACGTCTGCCCAATGACACAGCATCCGAAGATAGGGGAAGAGAGGAAATGTCTTTGGACGCGAGTTAACAAATCCTTAGAAAGAATTGTAGGATAAGTTAGTTTGAGTGTGTATGAACTTTGCTATTTGCTGGCCATGTGACAAGCTAGTCGAACCGAGTTTCTAATTCTCCTATAAAATTGGGTACCTGCAAGTAGAGAAGGTCCACAGGAACGGATTACGCACCTTCCTTCAGACCAACGTGATAACAGAGTGAATAATAAAATATTCATCCTTAATTCCTGGTTCATTTCATCGGGTGAAAAACTGTTGGTGATTGTTCCTAACCGAAAATCAAACCCTGAATAGATAGTCCGTGGCAGATCGATGGTATTGATCTCATGGTCTTTGCAACCTTAATCCCACCTCGTTTCGATCATAAATGACTAACTAAGTGTCCTGATCATGTAAACCTTCACTTCAAGGCATAATTTCATTGCTGTTAGCTTGTAAAAGGAAAAAGAACCTAGAAGCCTGTATCTCAATGTCTGCTTTGTTGATCATCTCGATCGTCAATAGTCTTGCGGTGAGGTTCTAAATAATGAGATTTGACCAATTGGTTTCACTCGTGTACATCGCTAGATCTGGTTTAAGTCCCGATCTTGGATAAAAAGGTTTCTAAACTAGAAGCGAAGTAGCAATTTTCAATCCAACTCTTCTTGGGGCAACAATCTTTTGTGTAATTCAACGTCGCCAAGAAGTCGAGCTACCTTAATCTCAGCACAACTGGCGTTAGTATTCGTAAATACATTCGAATGAAAGAAACTACGTCAGCCAACAGTGACTAGAGAGATCGTTGGACCTCCAAAGACTGTGTTCCTTGGCTCGATGTTCTACTCTCCGACGGTAGCCCCTATTGGACTAACTATTCTTAAGTCCTCCCTACGAACAGAGTCATATCCATGTCAATCCTCATCGTCAAGAGAGAAGGTTTCGCGATGTTCAGAAGTATTCCCTGGCTTGGAAACCTTGTTGAGGTACGGATATCGCCATTATGTGAGATTAAGAGCTCAAGCCTGTTGTCAACACCGCAAGGCCTCGATCTGCTTTTGGAGGCGTGACTCCGGTATTTTACGGTTAAAAACTGTGGTTTCGAGGTAAAAGTGATGGAAAAACTGAATACTAATGTCGTTATTACCTACTCATGAGAGGGGGGGGGGGGATTTGGTCAAGCAAACTCCAATTGTTCTGTCATGGAATAACCATCCGTTTGCTTCTTTCCACCTAGTCGACAATCGATACTGATACCGCGGTTATCTCCCATAAATTGGAAATTTGCCCTATAGACTTGAAAATCTATTGAGGCTACCATCTGACATCGCTGGCGGCCACAGGCGTATGCTGTACTTGATGTTTGCTGAGGCGCGACTGCAGCGGCATTGGATTGTCCATCTTGGCCAGGTATTGACATAGAAGATGGCAAGGAAAATGTATTGCAGAACGCAATCTTTACATCGTTTCAACTCGATGAAACCCGGGAAACCTCCTTAGCTCTTATCGGAATACTTAGATCAGGGCGGCTCATCTTGTCCCCCAACCAAAGAGGACAATGGGGGCAGGTGTTAATCACTGAGCAAACATATACTTAGGTGGGTGTCGTTTTGGATGATTACTGCGTCTGGGCGCGCAGAACAACCAACACAGAAAGACAAGGCTAATCTTATGAATCCTTGCTCCAGCAGTGTCTACCCTTGCATGAAGATATCTGCTCAAAGCTTGCAAGTCAACGTAGGGACTGTGGCCGTTGCCGATTTGCCGTCTTGGGCGTTATGGATAGCGCCGGCAAGAACCTAGCGTGGGCGGGTGGCTTGCAGACCACATGCACTTTGTGTGGGTGGGCGTCTAGAAGTGCGACGATGAATTTGGTAAGATCGTCGTGATGTGTGTGACTACCTTAAAACGAGAATGCCTAGCCCCATTCAAGTATGTATTTCATATGAGGTGGACATTGCTTGGGACACAAGATCAACGAGTCCGACGGATGAAGACATATAGAAGATTGCTCAACAATGTAACGACTTCATATCCAACACACCTTCTATATCCTCTTTTGCATTATCTTGCTGCAACAAGTGCTGCAAGCTGGCTTGCTTTCCCCATTAAAGTGTGAGAGACAAATTGCGAGTCAATACATTATCTCTGTGTCCCCAAAATTAGCAAGCCTTGAAGTCCCGAACTTCTGGTTGCTATACGCGAACAACATTGTAACTTCCAGTGAAGGTGACTTCAAGGTATCCTCTAAAGTGCAGATATCTAACAGCCCAGATGTTGGTGAGGGAGATCGGTTTCACCTGGGCGGGTCACCTGGGCAGGCGCGGGTCTGGCGGCAAAGCCATTCTCGAGAGGGATTTGTTTGCATAGTCGGCATCTCAAATTTATCTTCGTCGGCGTCTATGGCTTCCAGTCATATGAATGGCTCCATTCGCGGCCTTTGCGGCACAAATATCCTTGTGTTCTTGGGTGTCTTCTCTCATTAATAAGTACTAGTAATTGCAATCCCATGGCGAAGGGGCTGAGATTGCACGATATCTACATTGAGCACTCAACTAAGGCCTGCGCCCGAGTGTCTCCTACATTCACGTTCGGCCTATTGCTGCCTCCGTCATTTCGTGTCGTTCTACCGCTTCATGAGTCGTTTTTTATAGGCCGGCTCCTGTCCCCTATCGTCATCACGGTCGGACTCCTTACGTGGCTTCCCATCGTCACTCATCTGAGCAACTAACGTCGACCTGGGCCGCTTTCCTGACGCTTTGCATTCCTGTTGTTTCTCCTGCTGCCCCTGCTTCTCTTGCTGCCCCTTCAGCTTTTGCGGCATTGACGTGGTGATCCCGCTCGACTCCCTCAGTCGATCATTGTTCTCCTTTTGCAGATCCTGGATCTGATCGTTTACCGCCTCCGGGTCGCACGGCACAAGCTTCCCGTCTTCGGTCAAGAAGATGCCGCTCTCAAAGTCGGTACTCTCGGTCTTAACCCGGTCCAAGTTGATCAGGCAACACCTCGAAGACGTGTCGTATTCGAGGGGAAAGGGGCCGTAGGTCATCCTCTCCAACACGGATTTACCCTTCCACGACAGCTTGTTCTTTCGGATTATCAGCCCCAATTTGCCGTCACCGAAATCATGCAGTCGCAAGCAGTATTCCCAGTGGCCTTTGGTAGGCGGCGCTAATTCGAGAATGTCGTAGCAACACGCCGCTGGGATGTGGTCCCATTTGGCAGAGGCTTGCAGCTGAGGGTCACAGACGATCTTGAGCCTCGTGGTCCCGCTGTAGCGCTTTCTAAAGTAATGGGTACCGTCCTGCCAGATTGATCATTTGTCAGTGAGAAAAGCTTAACGATTAATCAGCATCTAGCAACACACGTCCATAGACCGGGTCGAGAACGCGAAGACCTAGGTAGCTGGAGTTCAGGGGAAATCTTACAGAATCAAGAGCTAGAGTGGCTGCACTCTCCCAGCTTATGAAGCTGCCATTGGCGCCCTTTAACGGGCGACCTATTTGGAAACCGAAAGCAGCCCCCCGGTTGATGAATTCTTGCACGGTGATATTATCAACCGCCGCAAGTGCAGCGCCTTTGCTGATATTGAAAGAGCTGTCGAGCAGGACATATTAGCAACTTCTTCATCTCCGGGCTTTTCGGAAATTTCAAGTTCTCGATGTACATACTCTTTCTCGCCCACTGCCTCGTAAAAGAGGAACGGTTCGTCAATCTTAAGTTGAGCACAAGCTTGCTGAAGATTCGCCTGCACTAAAACGTTCTTGCCACTGCCGCCGGACAGAACTATCTTGACGTTTGAGCCCAGGGCGACAGCTGCGTCTATCTTCTTCCTGGCGAGTCTAAGAGGGGTTTCTAGCCCGTCGAGGAAACATTGCCTGGCATCGGTCGCGCGTAAGTGTACTGATATACTACTGTGGTTGTCTGGATCCTCCGCGTGCAAGACCATGCTCGCGAATAAGCCTGTCTGGAGCCTCTTGATCTTGAGGTGGAACATCTCCAAAAGGTCTGCTCGTTGGCTAGGGAGCAAAGTTGATTTGAGTGACTTTTCGACGTAATTGGTCGCAAAATCATCAACTCTCTTCTCCCATAGCTGTGTACCGCCATGAGCGGCTGGTTGACCCTTTGTTAGACGTGGCTCTGTGGGTGGGTATATGGAAAATTTGGCTGGACTTACTAAAGGGTTCCCCAACTTGGAAGTAGTTTAACTCATCACCACTCCGTCGTACGGCGCTGAATATGCAGCCGTTCTGCGCCACCGCCGTTAATATCTCTACCGGCTAAGACCATACAGCTCCGGGCACTGCTATAGCTAACTCACCATTGTGTGTCCTCCAAAATCAAGAAAAACCAAATGACAAGGCTCGTCTACCTTAGTGAGTATCTGCTTCATGTGACGCGGGCTCGAGAACAGAAAGTGAGCCGACGCCAGACTCTCTACATGAAGCTTGATGCGACCGTGTGCGTTTGCAAATGTATTAGACTCCATCATGGCGGAGGCAATCAGGTTCTCGTAGCTGGATAGCTCCTGGGCCGTCCAGTGGGCGGGATGCGACAGGCCAACCTCGTCAATATGGAGCGCGCGATCGGTACAGAAATCTGTCACCTCTTTAAAGACGGTCCTCACGATGGCTTTCAGGGCCCTTCGGATTTTCGTCTCCATGCCCCTGAACTTGGCCAGGAGGCCATCGAGGAGCGGGTTACCGGTCTCGCGGTCTTCGCACAGGAACCATTTGGAGGGAATGGGCGTGCAGCTTCCGTTGTACACCTCACCAGTATACACTATACCGCCGCGGTCGTCGACATAGAGAGTTGAGTTGAAGGCTCCGGTCTGATAGCGGATGTCATGTCCAGGAACCGCGCCGCGGTTCCATATCGGGTGCAGCTCCTTGGTTTTGCGGATGCAAATGGTTGCACGTATGGCGGTGCTGCCCCAGTCTATGCCTAGGATGCTGTACGTCGCGAAGACAGCGGTCAGTCAGTTTATGAGATGAAGATCGCGGTTAAATGATTGAATTCGAATATGGTGATGAGTAAGGTTATGAAGGACTTACGCTGCCTCTGACTTAGCGCGAGCCTTGGACATGGGAAGCGAGATGTGACCACTCGAGCTGTCACAGTGGCTGTTTTGAGATGACGTCTTTGGCTTGGATGAGGCTCACATAGACCTTGTAGGCAATATTTACTCGTGAGACGCGTGCGAGACGAGTTGGAAGATATTTGCGCGCAAGTTGGAATCCGTCTTTAAACCTGCAGGAGAGTGAAGCTCTATGAGCACGTCCGTTGCCGCACTGAAAATGATGAATGAGGTGAGAATACGGATAGATGGGGTGGGTCGGCCTATGTTCTGGAGCACGTCCCCCTTTGCGAGAATGGCTGCTGTTGGCAGCGACTTGCTAGGTTACTGGCTGGTACGTGGGATTAAGGTAGGATCAAGTACATTAAAGTCTAGAGGCAGGTATGGATATGAGGGACGGCGTTAAGGACAGGAACTTGTACAAAGGCAGAATTACTCCACTGGGCGAGCTGAGAAACGCTGGCATGAGGTGGCTAGGGAAAAATTGCTGAGGGGCAAACGCAGCAGCAGTGTATTTCAAGTGCAGGCTTTCTGACCAACCTGGACACAGGTCAAAGAACGACGCGACTTTTCGCGACGCGGTAAGCTCTAAAGTGAACAGGCCAGGGGGGCCCATTTGTTTTACGCAGGGTAAACAGGGGTGACGGCCAACCTCACATGCTCTGTTCCACCTCATGCATCAGTGCCGATACATTCCATGTCGCTGCTTCAACGTGCGGACGGATTGAAAAGGAAACTGGGTAGTGTTTGACTTCACACTGAGTGCACCCGTACTCTTGTGACTACTCCAAGTAGCTGACCCTGCCAGTGTTCTTAAGGGTTAAAAGGAATGGGATGCCATCTCTTTCGCATGTCACCTCAAGACTGTTGCGTCTCTAATGGTATTTAATGGAAGCCTTCAATTTATCTCATATTTTTTGTTTGTCGAGGATGACGATTTCTTAAGTTCATCTTACTACCTTGCCTTCCTTTTCCTTGTCCATGCCATTACAAGCTCAATGAAATTCCCACAAAACTTCGCCGCCCGGCTTTTCGGAATCCATGACAGCGTTAATGACATCCACAACAACGTGGCCAATCATTCGGTAAGTGCAGACTTCGTGACTTGGGCAATAACCTAGCTCCCAGCACTCCCCAGAACTTGGGGGCTAACTGACGATTTCTACCTTGTCCCGGTACCATCTCAATCCTCAACTTTCTTGGATGACTTCGGAGATGACACCTAAAGCTGAAATGCTACTACCTTCATGGGAACGCTTTCACGACTCGTCAGTCAATGAAAGGTACGCCGCGAGAAGATAAGCAAAGCAAGGATGTAGACGCGCTTACCTGGCTTCCGTAAAACCCAGTCATGGCCTCTCCAGGAGCTGTGGCGACTCGAAAAGAAGTATTGCTTGGCAGGTCGGCATGAAAGGAGAAAAAGCAGGTCCTTCCTCGGTTCGTGGACACCTCAACGTAATTACTTTAGCGCAAATTTCTTGCGGACAATTTTGGACAACGGGCAGGCGAACATCGGCGACTAACCTTGAATGCAGCTATGAATCCTTCTTCAACCATCCATGTGTAGGCATCCTCAGGGTTAACATTTTCCTGGAAAATATCGACCGCACTGATAAGTTCGCCTCCTGCCCCGTCAATTGCAAAGTCGATTTCCTTGGTCAAATCTCCAGGCATTTGGCAACCGAATGCTCTATTGAGTTCTAGAGTGTCGTATGTGAAGTCGATGCGACGTATGCCGGCGGGGCTTAGGACAACTCTGAAATTATTGAGTCTTCGGAGGTGGGCACCACCTGGGCCGCCGAAGGAGGTCCAAAATAGTGGTTTGAATCCGTCCAAGTAATGTTCCCTGGGGGCGAAAGAAACTTCGTTTAAGCAGAGGTCTGGTCCCGGGATCTCAGGGTACCACATCCCCATATTTCTCAATCTGTTCTCATCCTGTGCTAGTCTTACGATAGATGAAGACTGTGGAGAGAGAGCCAAGCTCACAATTTTGCAACCCTGTGAAGTTAGCATAGTTGCATAGGACAAAGCTTGGGGGGTCCACTTGACTCACGTCAAATCCAATATCAAGGTCGTTGATGCGCTCATCTGCATTCAAGCGCAGTGTCTTGAGCGACATCTCCGGATTGCCAAGCCAGTGGGAGGTATCGGAATTTTGGTCGATGCATTGCAAAGCTTGAATCCCCCTTTCTCCCACAGCTAGCTTGAATCCGCGTATGTCTGAAATCTCCACGGACTGCTCGGTTGTAGTTCGGTAGCCTATTTGACGAACATCGCCCGTGGCCGTGGCAAACTTCAGTCCAGCGATGTATAGAATCTCGCCTATGGGAATAGACCAGATGGAAACCATCGATAGGTCTTCAGGGATGGTCAAGCGGTACGTTTCGCGTAGAAGGCAACCTTTATCCAAGTGGGAGTGGTGTGGCCCACTCGGTCTCTCCCACAAGTCGCCAGACACCTTTAAACACTGGGTCGAGCCTTGCTGCTGGGAAGGTTCTGAACCACTGTCGATCCATTGGAAGTCCAGAGCTGCCACAACTTTCTGGGCCAGGTTCCAAACACGAACTCTGTTCTGAAGGCTAGGACCTATGTGCGCATTGTTGGTTCGATGGTACAGCCATCTCCAGTCCCGAGGCTGAGCCCCATCCTGGGATTCAAAAAGCCATGAGCGGTCTGACTTTTGCTTGAATCTCGAGGCCCAGAACTGTTGACTATTAAAAATCGTCCAGAACGAGCGTGAGGCCAATCGTAGGTTCAATACATCCAAGGTCGGCAGGTAAATGGCGATCGCTGACCGTAGCTCTTGTGGGAGCGCATGGAAGCTGTCTCGCTCTGGCGCTGTTGCATTGGCAACAGGCCCCTTTGGACTTGGCCGCTCCTCGGGCGCCTCGGTGAGCAGGTGGTGGGCCTCTTCAGCTTCGTACGGGTTGGCGCAGAGAACAGGGTCGGGGTCCATGTAGTCACGGTCGGAAAATCTGTCCTCGAACGGAAAGTGGTGTTCATTATCGACGATGCTGGCTCCCCCTTAGTTATGGCCCCAGCTGATGCCCACTGACAGTAGCGGAAATGGGAGTGATTCGCAGACGTCGAACAGTCTCGGAAAGGGAACTGGACCCGGATTGAAGACTTTCTCTAAAAGGTCCCAGCAGGCGTCATGGAAAATAAAGCCATATCTTCCGTTAACTGGAGGGAAGCCCATAGCGCCAAATTGGTCTTCATCTGTACCGTCGTAGGTTGGGTCATCCCATCGACGGTTAGGGTCGACTGGGGCGATGAATGCGCCCCTTCCCGGGTCATCGTATAGGCCAACACCAGTGAGAATAACGCCATTTGTACTTGCAATGACTTCGGATTAAATTAGGATGCTTTATACCACCAAGAACAAACCCAGAACACTTACCTCCGCGGAACTGATTCAACCAAGAAACACTGCCTGGTGCATCGACGACGACCCAACCGCAGAGAGTGCACGAGCATACACGGGGACTCATGCTCGTGGCGACGTGGGAAAGGATTTTGGGAAGAACACAGAGCAGGGTAGTTCGGAATATTGGGCGGTTGCCTAAAAAGGTCCCATTCCCGCTACGAGCCCGATCGGGGGAATGTTGGTTCCGTGCCGTCACCCCGAAACCTGGACCTGAACACGGAGGGTACCTTGCTGCTAGGCTGCAGTTATCCACGATTCCAAAAACTTGAGCTGTTCATATTAATGCGAGATGATTCCATTTACTATTTCATCTGAAGATATACTGATACTTGATTCCATCCCATGGGGATGCTATCTATGCCTGTTGGTGTTTCTATCGACGTTCCTCACCCCGAAGACCTTTCCGTCAATATGGCGCTTGATTCTACCCTTCCGCGTCATCGCTTGCATTCACTCCAGTAGTAGGGATTTCAATGACCATAGCAAAGTATGAGTAGATTTCCTCAGAGGATGGCTCGTTGCCGTACTGCATGTACATGTTAGCTAAATCCAGATCTGAAGGTGGGCGACAGGGAAACGTACTGCCATATAATATGACACCTGCATATTCGACTCGCCGTTGTTCTTATTCAGCCAGATGATCTTGCTGGCGTCGAACTTATCCTTGTCGGTTCTCATGGCCTGGTTGATGATGCGTTTCATGTCATCTTGGTACTCAACCAGCTCGTCCGTGGAGTATGCTTGATTGATGAATCCTACGGTTCTGGTGTAGTACTTCCTACTGTTGTCGTCTTCCGAGTCCGATGCGGCCCCATTGTTGTTCTTCGCCAATGTCGGTTGCCTCTGAAATGGCTGGGAATCTGTATCTTCATCAGAAAATTCCCCATTGTAAAGCTTGCGCCTGCGAAAGCCTTTCGGGTTTTCGAGAATAACACACAAATGGACTTCCAAGCCGAGGCTCTTGAAGGTGTTGTAGATCACCATGTCAAGACCCTTGAGACAGAAAGGAAGGCCATGCTCCTTCTCCGTATGAGGATAAGCGTGCGTGCTGTAGACTCCTAGAAGTCTATCCTTGGACTGGAATTTCTTGGAGCTGAGCAAGTCTACAATCTGGTTATAGAGTGGCAGCGAAGTAGGGCTGAAAGCAGATTTTTGACCTCCGAGGTCTCCGTTTCCTGCTGTGGCATACAAGTTGTATGTCAGCGTAACCCTGTGACCGGACTTGACCTCGAACACTTCGTGTTCACAGTCGCTGTAGAAGGCGGCCCACTGAATGACGGAGTTGCTAGAGTTCTTGGCCCAGTCGAAGGAATGAGTCTGTCCAAAATGTCTCACGGCCAGCTTGCCACCTTCATGCTTCATCGGAAGACAGACAACCAAGGAGCCAATCCGATAGGGCGAACGAGGAGTATCGACGTGCGCTTTGAACTTGCCCGAAGGACCAGAGTAGATCTGTAAAAGGTCATGTCAGAGAGATCGAGGTTGTACACCACCATATATCAATTCACTTACATTCATGTTGTACAGCTCCGCACGGATTGCCCGCTTGTCTTCGTCCATGTCGTAGCTGGGGAGAAGAACCTGGCAGACAGCGTCGATGATGCCTGTTTCATACGGTCAGAAGGTGGTGCAGAAATCACCAGCACCGAGCTTCTGAGCCTTGCGGTACGTTTCATCGAATTCGTGTCGTCCGTCGAGACCAAATTTAGCCTTTTCAGAGACTTTGAGGAGGTGATCGAACGCTACAGCGTCGTCATTGGAAGCGACTGGGAAAGAGACTCGCTGGGGGCCAGGATGCTCCGCTGGATTGTCCCACCGAAGAACGACCGAAGAAGATACGACCTGAGTTGTAGGGCCAGATTGGCCTTGGAGCTGCTCGATTGCGATCTCGCCGCCAATAGCAAACGTACTACCGCCCAGATGTTCGTCTGAAATGGATTCAGAGACTTGCTTTGCAAGCTCTCGGAGCGTGGGTACGGAAGCCATTCTGCACTTTTGGTCTGTGGGGGCGGTGAACTGTTGATCGTAATGTCAGTTGAGACGAAGGTGGAAGTCAAGAGACGGATGTTGAGATGATGCAGAGTGAAGATATCGTGGAGGATTGCAGGGAGAAAGTTGGATTATATACTTTTCAATAATGTTTCTCCGATGGTCAAGGAACTAAGAGAATGCCCAAGTATGGTGGTACCGTACAGATCACAAAGGAAGGTAACTGATATACTACAAAGTGGGTCAATCAGGCAGCTGAAACTCAATAGAGTATTCGTCGAATTCAAAGGGTGTTGAATGGGTGGCTTGTATTTCGTGCTTAGGCACGTCGCCTAAAGCTATATACACCTAGGCGCAAAGTGGTCGTCGTTTATTGACTAAGTAGGTTGGACGCTCATCTCATATGTCCTATTTTTGCGCCTTGAGTTATATCAGCTTGATAAAGCCGTGCCTGCACACGCCAACCTCAACTTTGTAGGCTACTGGGGAATTTCACCAAATATTACATAGCCTCCTTAGTGATTCATGCACATCTCTTCCCTACTGTACCTGAAGGTGCGGCGTTTCGCGCACTTCACGGCCCTACATACTCAGAGGCCCTTTTCAACCTCCGCAAAGGCCTCTGCGAACCCAGGCTCCTTCTTCGTCTCTGCCCATATCCTCTCCTTGAGGCCATCCCCCTCAGATGTGTACATCACAGCCGGCCATCTGAATTCATGTCAGCTCCATGATCGCGCCATCTTCACCTCGCGAGATTCTTGTAATTTGACTTACGGCTTGATGAGTCCGTCCGAGGTGAAGCTCCCGTGACTCTCCCTGCCCTTTACTATTGCAGCATCAAGATAGCTTCTAGCGCCAACTTCCACACTGCGACCAATAGTCTTCTTCATCAGGCCCATGAACCATGACTCGCTTGCTGGCTTGACGATATTGGTGCCGCTGGTGAGACCCGAATTGGCCAGATTGACGATGATCTGGTTCGGATTGACGTAAGTCGCCAACTTGGCGACGAAAAGCTGGCCCAAGAACTTGGACTGCTGATAATTTTTCCCAGATTCCCACAGGGTTTCCTTGTCAGCCGGCTTGAACATGGAACCCGTTACCATATCCTCCTCGGGCGTGTGCCAGTACGTGAAATCAGAGCTGACAATGACTAGCCTCGCCTGATCTCCCGCTGGCTTCTTCTGCTTCATGACTGGAAGAAGAAGCAGGGCTAGTAATGTTGTGGAGAGGAAGTTGACCTGAAGCATCAGCTCGTGGCCTTCCCGCGATACTATAAAGTTTTGCGCGACCACCGCAGCGTTGAGAATGACGATATCGATCCGCGTCAGCTCCTTCTTGCACCGTGCAACAAAGTTTCTGACGCTCTCGTATGACTCCATTTCCAGGTGCCATACTTGAATCTGCGCCATGGGGAATTCCCGTCGCAGGCCTTCGGCGAGGGCCTCCCCTTTTGATGTGTTGCGGACGCCCATGATGAGGCGACCGAGTGAGCGCTCAAGGAATTGACGACTAGCTTCGAGGCCGAGGCCGCTACTGGCACCCGTCATGATGAGAGTGCAATCGGACAAGTCGAATTCTTCCGGGATCTCGGCTGGTGTGATGACGGCCTGGCGGTACAGGAAGGATAGCGGGTTGGCTTCCCAGCCCGCTTGGCTAGCCAACTCATTGGACATTTTGAGCGATTTTCGGATAAAGAGAATAAGCTAGATGAAGGTTTTGGCAATAGTTGCGGCGTCTGTTTCTAGAAACAAGCTTGGAAGAGCTCGAAAGGCGACGTCGACGTTTGATATAATCCCGCCGGCCGATCCGACAATTATGGAGCCAAGAAACACCAAACAAGTTGAGAGGGCCCCTGGTTCCAGCTCCTGTTCGCATGTGGTCGGAGAAGGGGTTATCTGGTGTGGTATTTGATGTCATGCGGTCTGCTCTTGTGTCGCAGAACCTTTGACTTTGGACCGGGTTCCCCCACGGGGGGCGCGGTGTGCATCGAGGACCGAGCGGGCGGACGTTGAACGGTCTTGAGACGCGCCAATGTCCCTCCGGGGGATCGGACGCTTATTCGCGCTTGGATTGGGCGCTTAGGGGGTGTCGTGGTCTATCATGCGTGCGACGTCAATCAACCATCCAGCTTTGTGTCATTCTGGCGCAAGTGCTGGACGGGGCCTGTCAAGGTCAGTGATGGACGTTTTGCATGAGGGGCTGTTTCGTCGCACGATCTACCGCAAGGTCGACTCGGCGCAGGGGTCAGGGATATCGGGATGTTAGGGGTCCACGACGCTCGGTGTGCGAGGTCTAAGAAAAGATACAGCTGCTTAGTCACCGACTGCAATGCTGTTGACTTGAGTGTCGAAGCAGTACGGCGACACTAAAACATCGTCTGAATACCTAGGCTGTAAACTATTGCTCCATCTGATGGATGAGATGTATTCGAGCAAGGCTTTCGTGTGAATGTTTCAACAGCCGCTCAGCTTTCAGCCACTGTATCGGGGTGGCATGATGTAAATGTATATCGGTGGGGGCCAATTACACCGAGACACACCGAACCAGGTAGCCGAATGCACACAGTTCGGTGGAGAGAAGATCTCGGTAAAGCAATCTGATGACTCAGCATATAATCACTTGATCGGGGGGACTTCGGGTGAGGCCGGCCAGGGCCTGTGCTTGGAGACTAATCACCATAATTAGGTACGTAGACAAATCTGCCCCTCCCCCTCCAGCTTGATTCGCCCTCGGATGGTGGGGTTAAAGGAAAGATGGGCGGGACCTGGAACCAGACGAGTGGGAGAAGAATGCAACATTGGCCTTTCTGGACGCCGTTTCGTCCTTCGCCAAACGTCGAGTCCCGTCACCGCCAATCCGCTGCCACATCTCCTCGAACCACTCTCATCCAAGCACCTACACAATCCAACGACCACCCCTCCCACTGCCTCTCCGGCCCCAAACCGCCTGCAGGATTCGAGAAGCGAAGAACCTCTGTTCCCTCTCGGTCTATCTAACTTTCTCTTTGTCTCCAACCTTTCCCGCTCACACCCGGACCTGAGTCTCCACCAAAGGGACCACCCCCTCCTCGTTCCTCCTCCGCCGCCGTTCTTTTAGCCTTCCCGATCCCGAACATCCGCCAGCCTCAAGAAATGTCCGGTCTCGACGCCCCCGAAATCGCCGCGGCCTACGATGCCGTCCGCTCCGACAAGGACGAGACGAGCTGGCTTCTCATCTCCTACGCCAGCGCCGTCGGCAACAAGATGACCCTCACAAAGACGGGCACCGGCGGCCTGTCCGAGCTGGCCTCGGAGCTGGACGACTCACAGGTCCAGTACGCCTACGTCCGCGTCGAGTACGCCAACGATGTCGAGAGCAAGCGCGTCAAGTTCGCCTTTGTCATCTGGATTGGTCAGAACACAAAGATTATGCGCAAGGCCCGCGTCAGCATCGAGAGCAGCGAGGTCAAGAGGGTGCTGCCGCACCACAGCATAACGGTTAACGCCGACCACAAGGGCGACTTGGACGAGGACGACATTGTCAAGCGGTTGCGCAAGGCTGGCGGCGCTGACTACAACGGTGGACGCGGCTAGATGCCAGGCAGGCTCGCTCAACCAGGGACAAACGTCCCTTTTTCCGAGACTAAGAGGGGAGAACAAAAAACCGCACGCATATATATTTCAGGAGGGAGTTCAGAGAGTGGCTATGGCCGGTGAGATTTGAGCTACGAGTACAACGGTATCTGGCCAGGCGGAGGCGCTTCAGGGAGCGGCATGCATACTCTTTTTTAAATACAGCATACACCTTGGATAAATATTTTGGAACCCAACACGGGGACCCGGCGCAAGCCGAGAGAATCAAGGGACTTACATTTCTTGTCAAGCATGCCGTTTGCTAGTCCCTCGCCCGGTTGCCAGCGATACGCTGACGCCTGACCATAAAAGTAGGGTCAAGGTATCGAGAATTCTCTCACCCCCCGGACCTGGATAACAGGCCTTAGAGAGGAATTCCATCCAGCGTTCACTGCGAGAGCGCCGATGCTTCCCTGCCTTGCCATCCAATCTTGTGCTACCTTATCTTGCCCTGTATAAGCGTACCTCAGTTGAACTCTGTCCTCTTCTCGAGCTAAAAGGGCATCATCGTCTGGCGGCGAATTAGCATCTGGGACGATCCCTGTATCGTCGACGCCTCCACATCCGGGGAAATTTAGGCATGGAGTAAATGGGTGGGTTAAGCAATTAGGCCGTTGGCATCGAACTGGAAAATCCACTTTGTCCTCTAGGACAGCCCACCTTCTGCGAGTTCCCCCAGTGGTCTCACCGGGTGCGCATCCCCCCAAGCCAAGACCCTACCCTTCGACAACCCATTCCATAGTTGTACTCGGCTGTTGTTCTAGACCCCGGGTTTACTGCCCGAAGGATCGCGGGAGGTCCGGACGGGCTCGCGTCTAAGCATGTATGCTAGATTCCTCGGACTTTTCGGACTCGTTGGGTGGACAAGTTGCTGAGTAGCAAATGTGGACTAGCTTGGAGCGACGTCAAAAGAACTTCCGCGCCTGGAACCGAAGAGCATAATGAAGAACAATCACACATGCCATCATGATAAATGCCTAATAGGTTCGAGAATTACCAGGGGAGCGATCTGTATACAAGCACGTGAGCGGCGCAGCGCCGTTGTTAGGCTCGAAGATACAACCCCGAATACATCCGTTCTCGATCAGCACTTAATACATAAGTCCACTAGATAGCCGTCCCTAGCCGCTCGGGACAACATTGAACATGGTTCTGATATAAATTATTCCCTCAAGAGCCAAGCGGTGGAAAAGGACTTCAGTTCTCAGCTTCGCTTGGCATAAGGGTGCGCTATGCCACGATAATCCCTCTTGGCGCTCGGTCAAAATCTGAATAGGCATGATTACACCTCGCACCGGGCCCTTGGCCAAAATAAGCTTTACTTCAAGGAGACTCTTTGGGACTTCGGATGCTAGTAATAGGCATGCACTGGAACTCCATTCAATGCCAACGTCCTGCCGTAATTAGCTATGTAGCCGAGGGAATTCATCGAATTATTAGCCGCAAAAATCCCTCGCTTTGATTTGCTCGCTTTTTGTTTACACTGCAAAGCCCACTACACTTAGTTCCCATCGTCCACTTTATACTAGTTCCAAGGAATTACTAACTCTCCTGTTAGTTAAACTCCTTTCCTACTGCTACCTGAATTGCTGCTTAACCTTCAGGAGGGAAGATGCGTTGCAGCCCACGATACTAAAAGCATAGTTGCAATAATCAACTTGGGAAGGCCCGCGACCGTTCTCTGCGGCCTCTCTCAAACCATTTGTTGTACCATTCCCTAACACAAATCAAGCATTGGAGATTTCCGTCAAGCTTGAACTCAATTAGGGAGTTGAATCAGGCCACAATTAGGGGGGTATGCTTGGTGCCAAGCCATTATAAGAACTTCCGTCAGTGTGGATCTCTCAGTCCATGTGGCACCAAGACAGAAATTCAGTCGACTGTGCCCAGACCTGAACCTTACGAGGCTACTTAGTCTGAGATTTTTGATTCACAGGAATTCTGGAATCCCTCAATCGCTGCCAAGCTTCATCCTGGCGGTCCAGAGCTATGTACTGCAACTTCACTATGACTTGGCAGATCCCGCAGGATTAACATTGGACTTTGAAAACCTTTGCATGCGTTAATTTGGTCTAGTGTGAAATTCTCGAGGAAATAAACCCTCTTCTTGAGACTTCAGAGCAGGCAGTGTGTCGAGTCTGATCTATCCTAGTGGGAAGACCAGCCTTATGGCCGAGGCTTGAAAGGTTCGGCCCCTCACTCACGGAGTATAAAGACTTGATCAAGTCTCACTATTCATAAGGCTCCAATCCACCTGCTCATCATCAACCGAAAGCTCTCAGTCATCATCAGAGAGTCTAATTCAATCTACTTTACTCACCATGAAGACTGTTCTCTCCGCGCTCGTGGCGGCCACCATGGCTCGCATCACTTCTGTAAGTCGCGGCTCTGACAACATTTTCTTCTATAGATAATAGGCCCCCTTACTGAATCTTGCTTTTCTATAGGCATCCCCAGTTGATTCTGGCCTCGTTGCTCGGGATGACAGTGTGATCCCCTACCCCATCGGCCTTTTGGGCTGGGAGGGACCCCTTACCCCTGGAGGTCCTGATGTTTACTACGAGGGCGCCGACATCGAGGCCATCAACGCCCAGATCCTCGCCGATACCCCCGAGGCCTCCATCTTTGTCAACATCACCGAATCCGGTGTTGAACAGAGAGATGCGCACGACAGAAGCCCTCTCAAAGCTCGCCAGGTATGTATTATCACCACACCTCAACAGCAGTCTTACTAATGAATGACAGGCTTATTCTCAAACCTGCGGAGCTGGCCGCTGGGGTCTCTTGTCCCAGATTGATATCCAAACTGGCATCAACCACTTATACAACGTCGGTCGCTGCATCGTGCAGGCGCGTCAATGCATCCGGACTACCTGCAACCAGGATTCGGCCATTGCGTGGTGCAACGACAACACGTACGCCATCAACGTCCCCTGCCGTACCGTCGCCGACTTTGCTTCCCTTGCTATGTGGGAATGCGTCAACTGGCGGGAGATTCCCTTCCCGAATCTTGCCTCTACTCAGCGTTTTCACGAGGCTGAGCGCTGGAATATTATTCTGTCGGAGTGCGGCTTCTTTAGCCCCGGTGGCCAGCCAGTTTAATTTTCCCTGGGAGATACTGGCAAACTTGTCTGTGGTCACAAAAGAGCGTCGTTGCTTTGATGTCTCTTTCGTGACCACACAGAGGCTCAGTCACTTGACCACATGGACAGATTCCGACCATGGGAAGACTTAGGCAGGTCAAGTCATCATAATGAAGCAGAAGCTATCAAGCCTAGCAAGAAGTATATCGGATGTAGTCTCTTCTTATTTCATTTATTTGTATGTCTCTCATGCATGTTTTCGGAATGGACCTTCGCTTGCTCGGGTACGCATTTAAGGCAAGGAATTTTAGTGCCCGTCTTCCAACACATGTTGTCTCCGCAAATGATGTTCTTCACATTCGCACAACGATCCTCATCGGGTTAGACTGCAGTCTAAGTTAATGGGTTGCCTAAAATCCAGAAGAGGCTTCCGCTCATCACACTCAAGAAATCTTGCATTCCCGTCACCAAGGTCCAGTAAAGCTGTTAATCATAATATCTTACCTCACACCGCTTGTTTAAATTCAACCCTCAACCCTCATCTTCCAAGATGGCCTCGCCTCCAGATGACATTGCAGCCTCGCTCGCTGCATATTGCTCATTCATCTCAGCGCAGAACCGCCGCGCTCTCGAGATATACGTACCATTCATTGCTACCGCGGTCCCTGACGATCTGGAAGACGACGATGAAGTCGAAGAACTTCGCCTGGACGGCCTCAATACGCTTCTTGACACCAATCTCAAAGACCTTGGCGTTTCAGATCCCGGCGAGATTCTTGCACGTTTCGATGAGCTGGCGCCGAAGATTGGCCTCGACGGTACTTACGTGATGCAAGAGCACGAGGGCACCTCTGAGGAACGTGATGCTATTCGTCGCGAGTACCTATTCGTTATCGAGGAGAGTCTGAAGCGAAAGTCTAGAGAGGACGTGCGAGATTCCATCTCAATTCCCGAGGACTTTCGCGCGCTGGCCGGGCTTGTTGACGGTATTGTGGGCTACGGGCTGCCCGTCTTTCGGAACAGGGCCCATCCGGCCTTCTGGTGGGGTTGCCGAGATGATCTGTGCCCGCACGCGGGGAGGGTGATGACGCCTGAAGATTTGACGCAACATGCGGCTCTCCCGGAGTGCTGGCAAATCGCGGGAGGATGGGCGCCAGGTACAGGGCCTGACGCCAACTTCAGCATTGTGTATAGCCGGGAGTCTGACGAAGATCCTTGGAAGTGGAGATACACTCTTTCCACATTGGATCACGGCTTGCAGATCTTTGAGAGGATTCCAGAAGTTTTGGCTTGGTACGCGCATTTCAGGCAATCCGACGAAGTTCCCGGGCCTGACGAGCTGGACGCCAACACTCTCCTTTTCAGTCAGATTTAGCCATGGTTTGTGGCCTCAAAGTCAAAGTGAATGAAGAGGAAATGATTGCTAGAATAAATGACTTCAACACCATGATATACAGGCGATCTCAGTGAGGCCTACATCTTTTTGTCAACTCACTCCCCATTAGTTCACAATGCTTACATAGAACGGCTCTGTGGAACAACTCATCAATTTGATCAGGTCGCTATGTGTTATGTGTAACCACGAAGGGAAAATGGGGAGTACTGTCAAAAAATTTGTTGAGGAAGTCAATAGGTCGGGTCTTTTAGGGCCTTCACATACTTACTCTGCAATGCTGGTGAAAATGACACATGAATAATCATGAGCAAAAGGTGGTTGAGAGGATCGGCGACGTGGCAGCACCAAGTTGCAGAGACCGTGAACCCACTTAACAGTACAAGACTTTTTTCAAAAGCGATAATCATCGTTAGGAGGTAGTATTAGCTTCAGATGACCTCCTACCTGAGGCAGGTGTTCTTTTCCCAAGGTGCCGCTGGATAAGTCAAATCCTCAGAGGGGAAATCCTTCGGCACTAAGCTAGGTGTTCCACATATTTTGATAATTCGAAGGCGCATGACTTTTCCTATGTACAGTTCCTCGTATTTCCTTTTCTGATTGCACGGTAATTATTGATTTGTTTGACTTCGCTAAGGCATGTTTGATCTTACAGCTTATGCACGTAATATTGCCTCAAGGAAACAAGGTAGATCGTGGCCAATTGATGTAAGTCAGCCTTGGCCAGCGTCCGACTAGCGAATGTCCTTCCCGAGGCAATATCTTGCGGGTCCTCATAGGCAGACCTGCAGTTGAATGGACTGTCGTAAGCCCACCATCTTACGAGCGGTGTGGAAGATCTGGGCACAAACAGGACACATACATATGCGGAATGTAGACAAGAGACTAAAATGTCATTACATTACCATATTGAAACACGTTTCGAAGTACTGCCGAAGGTTGATGGACATCAATATAAATAGGACGAAGCCTCCCATGGTAACTTAACCATTTCAAATCCAGATGCTCACGAAATAATTTGTGCGTTCTTACGGTAACTTTGTTACCAACCTTCCTCATTCTAACCAAAGCCAACTTCGAAATGATCATCCGGGCCATCCTCAAAACAACGGTTCTTGCTGCTGGTGCAATAGCAGCAACCATCTCCGCCAGGAACGACGATGGCACCAACAGTTTTCGTCTACGGGCCAACATGCTTTACCCCGATTCCCCGGGCAATGGGCCTGTTATCCAGGGTTACGAGCTCGGCTATGTCTCCGGTGCCGCATGTCAGGCCACCGTGATCCTGGTACCCGAGAGTCAAGGGTCCGTATTTTCTGCCAATAATAATACCATTGGCGTTTACCTTGACGGCGACTCACCCTCCTTTGCCGGCATGGTGGTGCCCTGGCGCGGGCCTGCGATGGTACCCAGCGGTAGGCCCGTGGAGCTGAAGTGCGAAGATGGTACACAAGGTCTCACTCTCAATGATAACGGCGTGTACTATCCCGGGGAAATGGGTCCGGATTTTAATGGTGCGTTCATGGTGTGCGAGGATGTAGGTTACCCGTTTCTGAGCTTCTATGGTTGGGGTCAGAGGCCTCTTTGGGGTTGTACTGTAATTCAGCTTCTTCCTGTTCACTGAACCCGAAAGGAAGACTCCCTGCCATCCGATAGCTGAGGAACTAATTTGCTGAAACCTGCCCGTACGGCCGTTGCCACTTCAAATCTTGGACAAGCGCTTTCTTCTCATGTTCTGCATCGACACGATGCTAAAGGGAGTTTTTGCGCATGAGCGAGCAACGTCGTGTTGACGCACAAATATCATGTCAACCATTGTTTTTCTCCTTAATTCGCACTGTATGTAGAGGTAGATAGCATTTGATAGCCGACGTAGGCGCCCTTAGCCCTTGCGGGTTGAACCGGCGTTAAACAATCAAATAAAAAAACAAACAAATTGATGATAGAAAAAGTTCCTTCACGGCAGGTTTCAAGGAATATAGGGCGTGACTAAGGGGGTCCTTGTGTCGCTAGGGTCTCTATTAGCGACCGCTAACACTGTAGCACCAGACCGGAGCAAGAGCGAGCTACGACGCCATTGGGGTACATGTCTACAGACGCACTCTTAGATATGAGCAGAGATTAACGCCACGGACTGTATACATTTTGTGGTCATCCAAAAGTACGAACAGAGGACGATCTTCAAGAGGATTTGAAAAACCCATCCAAGTTTCCGGAAACATATCTTCTTGGGATACGGTCGTAACGGAAACCTGATAAACCTGAAATTGTGTTGGACAAATGGTACTCCGTATTCAGGGTTTTGGTCTACTTAAGTGTCCTGGAAGCTAAGGAGTAAAGAATTGTTGCATACATATTGATGTGTGGGTCGGATTTCAACCCATGTCATAATCTGACCCTGTAGCCAACTCGTCTCTGTGCTCATCTGATTCAGGCTCGAAGCTATGATCTTTCTCGCTTTCAGTTCCGTCAGGTTTCTCCTCCATCTCCTTCCCGCATGCGGGAATATTGTGACAGGTACTGATAGGAGGAGAGTCTGTGTTATATCTGAGTGAGTCTTGAGCGTGCATCTAACATGCCACAGTACTATACTTACTCCGCGGACTTGGTGATCTTCGGGCTTTCACTCTGTCGTTGTGTTCTTTCACCCAGCTCTGCTTAGCTGGGGTGTTCTTCGGAGATGTGACTAAGTAGTATTGGTATCTTAGATTGTTTGAACACAGGGGAAAGAGCACGTCCTCGTTTACATACCTGGCCGAGCGTGTTCACGAACAATATCATCATCGCTGGTAAAGGCGACGCCACAACTTCGGAAGTGCGCAGCTGCTACACCCTTTTCGAAGGGATCCCTTTTGAAAATTGGACTATGGCAGCCTCTACCCATATTTGGACAGGAGAGAATGTAGAAATTGGTGTCGTCGTTGAGCTTGTAGGAAAAGACAAAGTTATCGGGGTAGAACCGTGTGATTGATGACGTCAAGACGCGTGTGTTGTTCTTCTGTCTAGCACGTTGAACGCGCTTGGTGTTCTGCTTCTTCAACTTAAGCTTCTTGCGTTCATTTTGAGGCAACATCTTTCGAAGCGGCTTCTTGGTTGATGGGGCAGAGTATGATCTCTGTACTGGGGTATCTTTCGAGCTCTCAAGGCCATGGCCCCGCCCGCGTCTCTTATTTGAGTCTGAACGGTGGTGGCTTAGCACCGAGAAAGAAGGACTACGAGATTCCAAGTGATGATCTGTGATCTTTTCAGTCTGTTCTGGAGAAGAATCGTCTGATAACTGCCGTAATTGTTAGCGATACGAAGTGAAGGATAGGCCGTGGAGTCTGGTTGAGTACCACTATCGGAGTGCCATTGGACTGATCAAGTTCAGGCGGTATAACGAACATCGATTGCTTTGAAGGTCCATAGTCCAATGACGAGAATATGAACCCTCGAACCTGGTCGAGATAGAGATTGCTGACGTTACAGAGAAAGTTGTTCTCAATCTGAGCAACGATAGACTCTTTCTCATGAGGGGGGAATCGATTCGGCGTCTCGGATAGGAGTTTGTTGCGCACTTTTTTCCTGAAGTCTTCGTATTTATCGACGAGTACTTTCATCTCCCGGTTCAGTTGATGTTCGAGATGGCCATTGTACTGCTGTATCAGCCTTTCAATATATTCTACAGTGTCCCGAGAGGTTGAGGATGTCATCGGCAGGTCTTTATCCATGATGAAAAGGTAAGATTTGTCTTGTGGCGAGTTGTAGAGAGAATTTGACTGATAGGTGCAAGATATGGCAGATGACTCTCTTGCGACACATTTATCAAGAGTTTGGAAATTTTCAATTGCTTGTGACATGAGTAGTACCAGACAACCAAGATCAGGTTTGTCTCAACTTTTCCTATGTTTGCCTCTAATTAGACGCAGTCGATATTTATAAAGTAGCCTGCAATGCACAGATCAATGTCTTCAGTTGCTTTATTTGTTGTTTCCCTTATTTTCGCGGCAAAACAAGCAGACGTATCGCAAGCAGACCAAAACAAGGAAACATTAGCTGCAAGGGCGTTCTACCCCGGTGGTTTCCCAACCGCCGTGAAATTTCGTACGCAAACATTCAACCTGTTTGTCTCATATAAGCATTTCCCTGCAGCTTTCCCCGATTATTTCGATGAAAACAATAAGATTTACTGCGGAGCCTTGAAAGCCTTAAGGTTCTCGATGTTTCCTGCTAGTCTTTCGAACTGCCGCAATGGCCCGCAATGGCCCCTTTATCACAAACCTTTACTTTATAATTATCCTCCATTGTACCGTTGCGAAGTTTGGGCTCTCAGTGATATGTTGTTTGCTTAATAAGCCATAGTGCCCACCTACCTCGACTTGAGGGGTCTCAAGAATCGATCGAGACCAACCTACACTCTCTTCTGATCCAGCACTTCAACCGCACTTTCCGGCCTCAAGCTCCCAAGTATTCTAAGATCATTTCCTATATGACGATATGGACTCTTCAGAGATCCCTTCAGCGTAGGTGACAAGACCTTCTATCCGATACCATCGCACGAACACGTTTAAATGGTAGCCACTTTCCGTACATCTGACAAGATGATGTAGGATATTGGGCTGGGATTGGGGCAGCACCGCAATCAGAGTCAGTCTACTCGTTTTCCAAGGTGGTGAGCGGATTATACAAGAAGTATTCAACACAGAATCTCATCCCGGGCACGATGAGCGGTACCAAAAGGGTGCATTCAACTCGGCCCTGTATCTAGACGGCAAGGGCGACGTGTATCCTGGTGAAAGAATGGACGACAATCGAATTGCCACCCCATCCAAGGAACTTTTCAGTATGAATTCAACCGCCAGCAATAGTTTCAAGGCTATCAATAAGAGCCTGAACCGGGTGAAAAGCAGTAGCTCCCGAGAGCTTATTTACAAAGGAATGGAGGCCATCGCCAGAGCTGTTCTTCAACAAGTACAAAGTCACTGCCAAGGAGGGTATTTGCACGGTCGCATGCTCAGCGGGGTCAAGATCCGTCGGATTGGGCTGTCCTATCCAGCATTCTGGAGGCAAGAGGAGCGTACCTTCTACGAACATATCATTCGAAGAGTCATGCCTGAGTTCCCGAACATTTTCACAAACGACACAGATGTGGACTTCCATGTGGAAAGTCTGGCTTCAGCCCACAACTTATTCTGGAACCAACGCCTCCACAATAAGGTTCTTCAAATCTCCGACAAACCTACATTGTTAGTCTTCTTGGACTTTGGCGGCTACACGTTGGTAGGTATCTAGCCCACCTTGCAACCCTCATTTGGAGCCGCGTCCGAAACGAGATAATACTTACATCTCCACCAGAACGGCTGCATGTTTAGCATTGTCCAGGGTACGAAAGAGGTCTTTAGCTACTATAGAGTAGGCGACACATTCTGTAAGTCTGCGCTTCGATTGTCTTGTTAACACTGCTGTGGCGAAGCTTTGGCTGAAAGTTGTCTGCCCAGGCACAAGTGGCGGCACTCAATTGTGGGAGCGAGCCTTCGCAGACTTTGCAGCCAGATACTTTGAGATTCAGCAGGGATTCAAGCTGCCTCCAAGAGAGCGGACGCAGCTTTTGCAAAGCTTTCATCTGCAGATTAAGAAGTTCGACTCAGATGAGATCAATGATATGTCGCTGCATGTCACAGATCCGGAGAATGCAACGAGATCACGCACGGTGTATCTTACGGCAGCACAAGCTGGGCGATGCTTTTGGGACGGGATGAAGCAACCCATCGATCTGGCGAAGGAGAAAATTGCGGAGGCGGCGACTCTAAGCGACAGAGTTCGAGTTGTCGTTTCTGGCGGAAGCGGCAAGAGCTCCATCGTTCAGGCTCATGTCCATGATGCGTGCAGGAAAGCCAACATTGATGCTCCGTATCCTTTTTACGAAAAGGCAGGAGATAAAGAGTAATTACAGCAAAACCAGAGCTACTCTCGAACCTTATGTCTGCTGACTTATGCTGTAGTTCATGGAATATTTCCAAAGGTGCGGCAATTGCCACGGCAACTACTATGACGGGCCTCGAGTTCATGGAAAGAGGGGCAGCATTCGGAATCCAAGTTGGGTACATAAGGAACAGCGACGGGTCTACAGGGAGGAGAAATGAGTCAGCCGTCTCGAACAGGACAACCTTTTGGCAAGAAAAGGTCAAAGTCACTGTTGATGCAGTATGTACACCTACTTTTCTCAAATGCCATTGATGCATGTGAGCTTCAAGTTGTGAATGAACTCAAACGCATTCTACCTGACTCTCCTGAGGATTTGGAAACTGATATATTCACACAGAACCAATCTTATCCATTCACAACATGGTTTTCTGGGCAGAAATGTGTCAGGATCATATGTGATCCGTTCTTACAAGTCTCAGAACGCAGAGAGCAGCTCACAGCATCATTGAGCTACGATATACTCGAGCTGCCTCTTCCCAACAGAGGCTACTGGCGTTTCACACAATGCATCGTCTACGACGGTGACTCTATGGTCTTGTTGCTGCGCAGAGACTATTTGGGGAACAACAAAAATGCACGTACAGTCATAAGATCCGAGACTCCTTTCTCTTGTCCAATGTATTTTGAGAACTCTTCAAATTGCTTTTTGCTTGACACGGATGTGGATGATGGAGGCCGTGGTCTTCGACTTGATGAAGAGGGGAAGCTTACATGCTGCACTGAAGAGTCCGTGAGGGAACAGCTCAGAAGCCTGCAGAGGAGCACAAACAAAGATCATACACATCGCAAACGCCAGAGACAAGTCTCGGGACCATCGCCACGGACGAAGAAGCGACAACGTGGATGGAAGCCCACTGGTCATCTCCTTCCTTTCCAACCACCTCCAGCAGCAGGCTGCAAGTCACCACTGGTTGAAAGCACAAGAATCTTAGGTGTAGAGCTTCCCGGTGCTGGTAACGCTCATGACAGTAGTTCTGATTCCGATTACGAGCCTGTCAGTCATCCAGTGACGCCTCCTGAAAGGTTTATTGAGACAAGAAGCAGCTCATTACGGAAATCAAGCGAGTACACTCAGTCGTCATTCGAATTGGGAACTGAATACCCGGTAGCCTCCTCAGAAGACGACAGTGACAATGCTTACCTTGGCTCGTACTATTACGGGCTAACTGACAGCCTTTGAACGGTCGCAAAATCAGCTATTCCCCTTCCAACACCTTATCCGAACAGCATTGAGTCTAACAGTAGAAGTCGAACGAGGGACAAGATAGTTTGCTGGCCAATATACGCGCTCTCTTCTTTCTTCACACTGTTGCCATTCCAATAACCTCCTACGTAGACCTCTTGGAGTGTACTGTTCAAAGGAAAAAGAACGGGGGGTGTTACCACAAGTAAGATAATGGATACTAAGTTGTGATGTTGACAAAGTAGAAGTGATTTGTTTGGAATTTATTGTTCATGGAACGTGATTCAAGCAATGAGGCCTATCCGTCTTCTTATAGGGGGCTATTTTCACTTGTAGGCGAACCGACACAGAGCATGACCCAGAGCCCGCCCGCGTCGCTTAATGACGCATACAAGCTTAGAGATACATTAAACATCCTTACAAGGTCTCGAACGGTTGCCATTTTAGCTGTAACGGGGCTTGTATAGGGTGTAAGCCTGGCAAAGCCGGCACAAGCTGTGGTTATTGGTGGCTTCGATAGAAGCGCATGTGTGAGAGCGACGACTTTGGATGCTATGTAGCATGACCTCTGTTCTATGGTGATTCATGCTGCATTACATCACTTTTGGTATTGAGGTCATATAAGATGATGCCCTCACATTGAGGTCATCCGTAGAGCGTTCTATCCCATCAACTATGGAATGGCGACAGTACATGTGTACGTGCTTTTATGAGGGTTGGTAGCTGATAATATGCTACTCCGAACCTGTTTCCCTTGTTTCCTTTAATCAGAAAAGTCGTAAAATACAAGAGTTGAAGAAAATTGGAGGACTGATGTACTTGGCGCCATTCCGGAGTTATTAAAATAAACGTAGCGAGGAGATTCAAAACAGCAACCCTTTCGATCTTGACTCCAAGTATGCTGCTGCGGTACCTGCGGAGGATGCTATATGAAGTTTGAACTCTGTTTGGCACTAGCATGATATGATAGAAGCATTGATGGCGTCCTGTGCCTACGTAAAGCAGGTATAGATATTGAAGCCACACACACCGTGTCTCTAATCCTCCACGGACTTCAGGTCTCGTCTCATTCTCCACTTTGGCCCGACCTTCATTTCTATATACATGAGGGGAAGAAGAAGAGCACAAATGCCGCCAAGTAGAACATAACTCCAGCTGATGCGCAAGGCAGCTGTCATCCTGTCAATGAGACCCACCAAGAGGGCTGCCAGCAAGCATCGTACGAGGTTCGTCTGTGACTAGCATTAGCGTTTCCAAGTTTCGGTATAGTTCTGAAGAGCCAGTGACTCACACATGCTGTCGCGGCCGAGCTCCTACTTTGTAAAATATCGATCATGAGAGTCATGGTCGTATTGAGGATAGCAATCGACGTATACCCCACTAGAAGCGTCAGTTATGGAATCGCGACCTGACTAAGCATAAGTATGTAGCTTATGATAACGACTTACAGACAATCTGAAGGATGAGAGGGACAGCGATATGAACCCCTCGGTCGACACAAAATCCCCATGCTATCACAGCTCCGGAGAAGAGAACCAGCAACACCGGCATCGTCCTGAGACGTGCATACTCCTTGGGAAACAGGATAGCGCCATCGGATTCCACAACCTTTTTCTTAATACGAGCATAGTCACAATCGAGGAACTTGCCGGTAAGGGTGCTGCCAACGATCATGCCGAATCCCGTGGGTAGGTAACACAGACCGAGGGCGGTTTCAGACAGCCAAGGATAAACTTTGGCAAAGGAAGAGGCGACCGTCGTCACGACGGTGTTGTTGACTGCATAAACGACGCCCGTAAAGGTGAGGGTCATAGCAACGTCCGGATATACGAGGATGACGAAAGGATTGATTGATCGTTTGATGCCGGACTTGTTGCGCTGGGTCTTGTTCTTCCTTCGGGATCTACCTACTACGGGTAGGAGAGGGGTGTAGACCCCGCCTAGAGAGACGCTTCCGTTGCCAACGAGATTACGAAGAGTTTCCGGAAGGAACCTATAGAGGTGGGTAATTGTCAGCGCACTATATCGAGGAAGATAAGAAGGGCAATGACTTGTCCAGATTGCAAGGCGAAACCTACAATAGGATGAAGAGAAGGCAGCAAACAGCCATGATGACTTGGAACCAGAAAATGGAGCGCCACCCAAGTTTATCAGAAAGCGCACCACCAATGGCTGGAGCGATACAGGGCGAAAGCTAATAGTGTCAGCGACATGATAGGATAAGGTCCCTCCGGCATAGCTCTAGTAGCTGGCTAGACGTACCATAGGGCCCAGATTGAACGTGCCGAAGAATCCTCCCCTCTCTTCGGGAGTCGAAATGTCCCCGATGACACCCGCACCTGGTCCCCAACTGATCAGCGTCGCACGTAGAGTAGAATGAAGAAAAGGACGAGTTACCAAGAGCGATTGTGCTAGCGCAACCTGCAGCCTGCAAGCATCGGAGGACGATCAAGAGCCAGAAAGCGTCTGTAGGAATTACGGCTATTCCTATACACGCTCCGATCAGAATGGTCAAGCAGACTAGGAAGACCGGTCTCCTCCCGTAGCGGTCGGAGAGGGGTCCCCATAGCATCGGCGCTATTCAGGTATACGTGTTAGGTCATAGAGATTCACTGAATAGCTGGTAGGGTAGAGATCAGGGGGTAATGCTTTGCATGTCGTCTTTTACTTACAGACGCCCTGAGTTGCAAGAAAGGCTGTCACTGTCAAGTTCAGAAGCTCGATAGACTTGCCAAATGCTTCTGACAGCTTCGGGATAGCAGGTAGGTAAATGTTTGCCGGCAGCGGGCTACGCCGAATGTCAGATAGGCGGTGTGAGGCACGGAAAGACATTATTTACCTATAAAATCCCGCGACAGCGACTATTGCGACAATGAACCACTTCTCTGTGCGAGTGAAGATGCTATAGGGCTCCGCTGATGTGTTTACCTCCAGCGGAAGCACGAGGGTCTCCTGTCCGGGTTGAAGGTTCGGAGAAGGCGCAGCGCCGGTCCCGCGATCGGGGCCATCGGTTTTAGGTTCACCCATCGTGGGGCACAAGTCGGAGGCCGGAGATCGGGGAAGTGGAGGCTGTGATGGAACCGTCCGGACGGCTCAATGGATTTGGATTCTCTTGGCGGCGGGAATGGTTGAGGATAAGAGGAAGAGATGCCCCTTTGCAGTCCCCCTGCTGGCGAAATACCCTACCACCTCGGTCTACGAAAAAACTTGACCGATGACATTTTGGACCCCACGCAGGCCCAGAAATCGGCCAAAATATTTCGGCGCCGGTTTCGGAAAAGGCGAATAACGGCGGGTCTGCCGCGGCACGGCCATCCGAGAAGGGAGAGGGGCCACCCCCAGTTTCTTAGGCTATGGACGGTTCGCATTAGTTAGCCTGGACCGTCATTGATGTGATCCGCTGCTAGGCCTGCTAGGTAAGCGGACTGGCATATTGGCAGAGAGGCTCTTGGGTGGTGGATCTGTGTGGATTCGGCTCGTAGGGGCTTCAGGCCAGCCCGTGGTGATGTTTCCGGCGCATATCCGGGGGGGGGGAGGGGGGGCGGGCAAGTTTCAAGGTTAGTGATAAGGCTATCATAGGCTCATAGCAATCAGGAGGTCGGATATATCGGAGACTATGACCTTGAGATCTGGCAATCTCCTTTGCTTGTTTCTTATCACATCCAGAGACACAAGTTGCGGCTTCGAAGGGCCGAGGCCGATGAAATCTTGGCGCCCGGCTTCAACTTGGACAGACCTACGCTCGGAGAACCCTCACCTATCACGTTTACTTCGTCTAAGTTGAGCATATGGTGCCCTGTCCTCAATCGCCTGAGCGATCGGGCTCAATAACGCGTTTAAGAAACAAGAGACCTAGCTTCAAGGATAACCGAAAGACCGGTCGGCTCTAAACTCATCGAAAAGTGACAACCATCTTGTATGATTTCGAATCCAATATCTTGCGTCGCAATTTCCCATAACGAAACAGACCTGTAGTCATCACGACCACGAATGACCTTCCGGAGTAGCACAGGTTCCACAGGCTCAATCGACTCAGCAACTGGCTTCTCCAGAGACACCCTGTAGCAAGAACAAAGCATACATAAAGCAAGTGTTCTATCGAAGATGAGGGTAGAAGGGCTAGGAAGGCATCTTCTATCGTCGAGTTACATTCGACTGGTTGCAAGTGGGGGGCACTGCTCTGATTCCCATCGACGAGCGAGTCGTTACCAAGACGGTCAACATCTCTATCTTGTGGTGGTATATGAATGCGAATACGGTCCCGTGAGTGCCTATCTAACAGGGCGTCGTCCTTAACTCCTCTTCTAGCGGCGCAAAGAGTTCATCGCTGAGGTAGGGGGTAGAGTCACCTTCGAGATGTTAGGCGCAACGTATGGGGTTGCTGTGAGGGACTCGGCTCTGGTCCTCATCTTCTTTACCCTTCTGACGACGACTTTACCGGCCTACCAAGGACCAAGCACTGCCCGAGGATCTTCTTATACCACTGTGAAGGTCACTCTGTTCCCACAATTCTGCTCATGACTGGACCCTCGGCGAAGAAAGTGCGGGAGCAGCAGCCAGCGGGCCCTGATGAGAGGCTGTCTACGAGAAAATCAGTCTCTGGTGTTATATCAGCGATTTTTAGTCCAGCAGGTATTTGGGCAAGTTCTGTAGCGTATCCATCTCCTCCACGCTCTTCGGTAACATCGCAGCGACAAGCTACTCTGTAATCCACAGCTTCCAGCTCCTCCTCTCGTCCCTCTCCTGAAGGTCCGCACGTCTCTCCTGCTACGTGTATACACTGCAGATGACAGCGGTGATTCTCCTATGACATCCGTGCCGCCGCAGACTTCATCGCGAGTCTAGAGAACGTCGTCGCGTTCATACGGGATTGGTCTGCGGCCCTCCTTAGCGTCGATCGTGGTCCTCATCGACCACCTCTGATGCCGTGGCGTCAACTGCGCAAGGTACGATCCCGACGCCTGGGACGACGCCGCGAGGCTGCCGCTCGGCGTGGCTTCGTTTGGGTCGTGCGTCTCTTGCCTCGGCGTCGTCGTTCCCTGCATGGCGCAAATGTGGTGGATCGCCGAGACGGCCGGGAATATTGGGTGTAAGCTGACGTTTGTGGTGTCTAGGTTGCTGAATTTGACGATTAGATCGTTGGAAAGGAGGGTATCAGGGTGACGAAAAATAGCTCTCAAGAGTCGAGACCAGTGTGAACCGACCCGTGGCGGTGATGTCTAACGGGCCTGCTGTCGGATTGGAAGTCCAATTCGACCTCGCAGCAGCGCAGGGGCCACCTATTGATTATATAGTCAATTATCGCGGCCTACTTAACCTATGGTTAAAATCTCCTTTTTATATCTACGTAATAGATTAATATAGTTAATTAACCTATTTCGTTAACCTACGGTTCGAACTAATCGATTAATATCTTTATAATAAGGATATTAATATTAATTAATAGTTATTTTCTATTATTATAGATTAATAAAGTATTTTATATATAGAAGAGACGACCTCTTTAAATAGAACGCGATAAGAGAATTATATTAATTAACTTTATAAAAAGTAAGCGATAAAACGCGAATTTTTATAATAGAACGAAATAAAAGAATCGTAGCCCTTAACTATTTATAGAAGGTCGACGTTTATTATATTAAAAATAACCCCTATTAATTAACGGAAATATAGAAGCGACCGAGATACTATCGTTGCCTTTATATACCTTTTTTATTATTTAATTTTATTACGGTAAGCTCGCAATTAAAAAATAATAAATCTATATAGTAATAAAAATTATTTACGTAATAGTCTATATAACGATTATTTATTTAATTAACCTGCGCAATATACGAGCCTTATTATATAATATAAAAAGGTACCCCGCGACTAATAAAAAAGAAGATTTTTAAAATATTTTTTAAAGAGGAGTTAGATTTTATTAATATTTAGTTTTATATAGAAGTTACGAAGTATAGCAAAGTTAGCGACGTATAAAAAGGTCTATTATTATAAGGATTTTATAAATACGACCTCGAGGCCCGCGATTTAAATAATCCCCTCGTAACCCCTTTAACTACTCCTAAAGTATTATTATAGAATACTATATAAAAGGCGTTACGAAGAGAAAAAAAAGGATTTAGAGATTATAATAATCGGGGCCCGGTAATTATAAACTTCGAGTAAATGATTAACTTTTTAATACTTTAATATTTTTATTTAAATTAAAAAAAAGGCTATATATTACGTTAAAAAAAAAAAAAAGAACCTTTTAAAGGACCGCTAAGGGGCTCCTTTTTATATTACTAGCCCTAGGTATAAAATTAGAATTCAAAAAGGTAAAAGTAAATTACTAACTAATAGTAATTCGTTTAATATATATATACGCCTTTGGTTTTAATTTAAAAAAAAACGCTATATAATCGAACGTTATTAGCTATTGAAAATCTATTTTTAAGTTAATTAACTAAATATAAAAGGGTAAAAAGAAAACCTAAAAAAAATAGTAATAATTAAAAAAAAGAAATAAATAGTAACGAGCTTAGGTAAAAAAGGAGAAAAGGTAGAAGTTTTTAAACTTTAATAAATCTAGCGAATAAGATATTATATTATTAAAGCTAACGAGTAGCGCTAAAACGACCTATTAAAATTAAATATATTAACTATTACGAATAGGAATATAAACTAAGTATAACTAGAGGCGAGTTAAAATATAGTTAAAAAGAAAAGATCTTTATATTATACGAATAGTAATAATTAACCCGGATTATTAAGGAAAATGGACGTTTAGAGATTTTAATAATCTTAATAGTAATAAATAGATACGGTATTAATATATATTATAAATTATATAAGCGGAGAGGGCTCGAAGGGTAACCCCTATTTTATAAAGTCGTTAGTAATTTAGGCAATTAAAAAACGAATAGTTTATTAACGCTAATCTAATCGTTATAAAGGAAATAAATAATTCCTTTATTACCGAGGCGTTTTACTAACCTAGGGGGTAAAATAAAGAGTTTATAAACGCTCGTAGTTATAGTACCGCTAACGATTTTATATTATAGATTAAAATTAAATTAATTAAATAGTATTAAAATATAAGAGTTTAGTAAACGAGTAAATTAACTAAACTTTTTATTAAAAATTATTAACGGTAATATTTTAGTACCTACGGTAGTACGAACTATAGAGATTATATAAGAAAGATAATAATTAGCGATTTTATTTATTTTCGTAATTAACTTAGCGACGTTATTAATACGCAGCCTATCTTTAATTTATTAAAGGAGTACGAAATTAACTATATAAAGTTAATATAATTACTTTAATACGCAGGAGATATATAAAAAAAGCGACTTAACGGTCGTTAATATATAATAATTTACCGACTTTATAAAGATCTTTTTTAAAAAAAAATTATATTTTAGAGGGAAATACGAGGTATTATAAGAGACCTTTACGATATTCTATAATTATTATAAAAAAGTTAATATCCGAGAGTAATAATACTATTTAGTAATTAACGTCGTATTAATTAATAAAGCTAAAGAGTATTATTATTAAGCGGTATATACTATTAATCGAACCGATTTTCTTATTATTATTAATATAATCAAAGTCGTTTTAAAACCTAAGATAGGAGTCTAGAGCTCTATCCGAGCTAAGGGTACTTTTATTTAAATCTATAACTAGGACTATAAAAAGAAAGTGAGACTAGAGATTTTTAAAGAGCTTATTAACTATATTAATAAACTAACGAAGACGTAACTAAATAAAGGATAAATAAATAAAAGGTTAGATATTTTATACCGCTATATAGAGAGTTTAGAGGCTAAAATAACCTTATATTAACCCCTTAATAATTATAAATCTCTACTCGAGGCTAAGATCTAGTTTTAATATAAAACTAGAATACTTATTAAGTAAACTTTTAATTTTATAATAGCCTTTATTAATAATACTAAGTTAACTATATATATAAAATAAAAAGAGACGCTAATATAGTAGCTACTAAGTTAAAAAATAAATTTATTAATTAGCCGCGGTTTAATTTAAATCGAAGTAATAGAACGGAAAGTATTTATTTATAAAAAGGACGGCTATTAATTTAGTAATTACTTTAAAAAAGAGCGTACTAAATTATATAAATAGTATAAAAAGTCGAGGGGAACGTAGGTAAGACTAGCTTAAATTAATTTAATTAGTTCTTTATTATTTATAAGGGTAGCTAATAAACGGCATAGACGGTATTATTAATAACTAAGGAGTCGATTTTAAAGAAGTAAAAAATAAAGAAAATCTAACCCTATATATATAAAGATCGATTATAACGAATTTAATAATATTAACTATTCTTTTTTTGCTTTATTAACTTTAAAAAGATATACCTTACTAAACGAACGAGAAGTAATACGAGCTCTTAACGAATAGGTATTTTTCTATAAATAGAAAAAGGAAATCCCCGAGTATAGTATTACTAAATAGAACCGTCGATAATAAAAAGTTTAATAACGGATCCGAAACTATAGCCTATATAAAAGTACGGCTTATAGAAGAAAAAGAATTAAAGGGCCTAAGAGCTCCCTTTTTATATTCTTTAAAAGGACTAATTAATAGTACTACCTAGGCATTCTATACTAACGAACGGTACGGTTTAAAAATCTTTTATAGGATTATCTTAAATATAGGAGTATTATAATAGTTAATAAGAGGTAAAGGGTAATTCTAAATACTCTAAAAAATAACCCTAATTACTTTAAATACGTTAATAGTAAGTATTACGAGAATTAGCTTCGGCCCGGGTAAGGAGATATACGCCCTAGGTATAATAAAAGTTAATATACGCTTTAATATAATAATCTTCTATATCCTACCCGTTAATATACTATTTTTATTATGCTTAAAGGATATAAACTAGTTAGGTATCGTGTTTAATAATATAAGGAATAGACTATTTAATAATAAGTAATTTAAGTTTATTAAACGGTAATAAGGATATACGTTTATAAAGCTCGAATTAGATATTAAATCTATTAATTATTTTATAGAGGGCGAGTTTAAGCGATTATACCGACGCTTCGGTTATTTATTAATTACGAAGCTATATAACCTTTTAAAATAATTAGGGAACAATATTAAAATAGGAGCTCTAAAGTAATTAACGAGGGTATATTACTAATACTAAATAAACATATAGAGCCCCTATAAATTTAAGTTTAGATTATATAACGACCTTAACTTTAATTAAAAGATCGTCGTCGATATTTTTTATTTAAATAATTACTTAGTACTGTATATTATTAACAGGGCTATATTATTTTAAAGAGGATAATTCTTTAAGGATATATAGGCTAAGACTATTTAGTTAACGCTAAAAAGGGCGTAGATTAATATATATTAAAGATTACTAAATAGCATTAAAACCGATACCGGTACTAGCTTTAAGTTTATAGAGTTTAGGAATAATATTACTACGTATAGTATATAACTAAAAATCGTATTTATTAAAGTATATTATAATATTGGTAAAATAAAAAGGGTATATTAATAGTTTAAAAAAGTATTTAAAATTATCCGTAACAAGAGCCCTAATACTATAGATAAGGAGTATCTTTAGATAGTATTTAAATACTATAACGATACTATAAGCCTAAAAGGGCTAGTTTTAACGCTTCTCGTATTTAGAGTATACTTACGGACGACGACGGCTTTATTATTATTATTAAACGTAGCCTAGCGAGCTTAAGTAATTAATAAAATAATAAAAGTACTCTAGGAAGTAAATACGAGGAAGTAGATTAATAAAGCCGTTATTACCTATAATAGGCTAAACGTAAGCCCTAACCTCGATATACTATTAAATTCGGAAATAAGGGTATAAAGGGAAACTATTAAATAGTAGTCTAGACTATATAAAGTAATCTCGGTTAACGAACGGTTATATATTATTACTAAAGATCGGGACTAATTACTAAAAATATTAATTATAATAATACGACCGTACTATATTAATATTAATAAAGAGATTTTTATTTAATAAAAAAAAGAAGAGCTAGGGGAATCCCCTTAATTACTTAACGATAAATAAAAAATTATTTTTAACGAAATCGTCGTAATAAAATAAATAGATAATAAGGGCGAAGGTAAAGTAATCCCTCTGCCGCTAAGAAAATATTTAAAAA